GTTGATTTTAAACATTGGCATACATGTTTGATGTAAGTGTTTTTTAAAATTATTTCTTTTTTGGTTTGTGATATATAAGAGATTGCAATTTAATAAGTTATAACTTTGCGATGATGCTCATAGAACTGTTTTTAGCTGAGTCAGTCATGAATTTCTATTTTATTTTTCTATATTTATTAAGTTACATACAATTAAAATAATGTCAAAATAAATTCCAGCCCCATGTCAGGAATGAACCATGAATATCTTTGGGTGCAGAGGAGCAAAACTTATAATCTTTGAAGTCTGCAACCCATAATTTTTGTTCAACCAGTCAGAGGCGCCATTATGAAACGGAAAGTTGGAAAATGCGAAAATCATGCACTTTAGCAAATGTCATTTATTTAAGAGTATCTAAAGATTACTCCTACTAAAGCAATGACAGATTTGATGTGTGGACAGCACTGGCATTATGTTTAAAGGGTGTGATGGAATCATTGATCTTTGAAAATACCAGCCTAGTGCAAGAACTTTTGTGATTTTTTTGTGTGAAAAAATTAAACAAAAAAAGTTAAAGTTTTGACATTTTGTAAAACATTTTATCATGCTATATATTACATGGCAACTAATATTCTTTAATCTTAGTAAATTAAAATGACTATGAGTGAATAATATCAATGTTAACCCTTTACTTGCTGGAATTCTTAAAGGCCCATATTGCCTCAGACTTCCGTACAAAATACTTGTTCACTATTGATTATACCAATTGCTAACCGAGCCAATTTTAAGGTAGTAAAAGATAGTTCATCAATGTGACAAAATTTTATGATAATTTTTCTGAAAACAGTAAAAAGAAACAAAAAATAAAATTATTTTAAGAAATTATAATGATAGCATATCTGAGGCAAAATGGGCCTTTAAGGGTTTAAAATGAACAAAACCCACACACTGGTGTTGTTAATTGCTGTTAATAATTGGTATAATATTAATTAGTATGGCACTTTTTTACTTTCTGACACTTCCTAGCAATATAATATGACATACACCAGAGGGTTCTAACAGCTTATACAGTATAAGCATAAATTCCAATAGAAGGAGAAATATTCTCCAATAACCACAGTGAAAGTTACAGCTCAGTTCTAGCCTCTTTAATTCTGTTAATATCAAACATAATATTTATCTGTGGATTATAAATCGTGCTGTTAAAGGTAAATTCAATATTTAAATTATTTCCTTTTATTAAGAATTAGATATAAATTAATTAATTAAATAATTAATTAATTAATTAAGTCAGTACTGATTTTTAATTTTTTTTATCTAATTTATGATTTTTAGATTATCTATAGGTAAAAGATAATTGTACAGGGTTTAATGTTTTTTTTAAAAAAATATATATTTTGTATATATATATTGTTATAAAGTCTGTATTGCTTCCTTTTCTTTAAGACAGTTTTTATGCGTTGAATCTCCATGGTATAACTATTATGAAGTAATAATACTTAGTTGAGTACAATACTGAAGTCTATTGATTGAGTACACAGGTGTCAAACCTGTATTGGACAAGGCACTAGCCAAGTCTGATATAGATTTTGCAGCCATGTACGAGTCCAATAGAATAATTGTTTTGTTCTCAACCATATTTTGAAATTTTGAACTTTAAATTATAATGTTTTACTTCAATTACAATAAGGATAGATATGGATTTATGATTCTCAAATTATGAATACAGGGCTAGATTGGGTATGATATGATTTTGATATGAACCTTTTATGGCTATATGAGGTGTGATATTGATTTGATATAAAACTTTTGGACTCAGGAAATGAAAACGAGGCTATATCGGAGGATATATATGATATGGACTTTTTGGAATCAGTAAATGAAAACGAGGCTAAATTCAATAATGATTTCTATTGGAAATTCATCACATGGTGCATTGTAATTAGCATGTTGAAAGCATGGCACACTGAGCAATGGTTTCTTATACAAAATTACCTATTTAGACATATACCTTTTTTGCAATGCACCTTTTTGTGCATTAACATTTGCAGAAGTCCTGCAGGCTTGAAATATGTCCTTATGTGCTTCTGCAGATGTTGATGCATGAAAAAAATGTGCATTAACCCTCTTATTAGATAAGTTGGTCAAAGATCAAGTTCACACTTATGGTTTCTCTTGTCATTGGTAAATTTAGAATAACTTTATTGTGTAAGATGAACTGCAGATACCTTATTTATCTCATAAAATGTTTTCTGTTTCATTATAATTATATACTGCTAAAGTTCGGGATTTTATACATTCCTACCAGATCAACAGCAACAATGATTTATTTAAGTACAGCATTTTAGAATTTCCTTTTTCATAAATTTATGAACTGTGGTTTGAATAAAATATTATTATGAGTTATTCTGCAAATTTACAAAAGACACCCAGGAGATGCCAGTTAGTTCACGCAATTAATTAAATTGCTATTGCTGATGATATCGCAGTGAAAAATGCTGCGCAGCACTTCAAACACCAAATGAGGAAATTTAGTTTGCAAAAGATTGAAGATAGATAAAACATAGTCTAATAATAGAATTAACAATCAGGACGTGAGTGGAAACATGATGATGAAGAAGCCTTTATTACTTTAGGTGGGGAAGATCTTGAGAAATGGAATTTTTTGGAAGATTCGGCGAGAAACACCTTATTACTGTCTTTAAGTTTATATATAATGAACCCTTATCCTCTGCAGCTTATTATCTTTAGTGGACTTGTCTTTCCTTTAATCTGGACTTAACAATTTATCATTTTTAGGGTAAAAATTCAAAATATGTACTCCGACTAAATAGGGAAAAGTGCCGACCATCTTCAATTGGTTTTACACTGGTAGCATTCCTGTTGCCATCAATTGGCTAAAAGAGTTACTGCTTTGAGTACCGCTCAAGCCCACATAGTGAGGGGGTGTGAGGGGGTTGCAATTTTTTATTATCCCTCATGTACAGACTCAATCAAACTGAATCTGAAATTTTTATGTAATTTTGCTGTTTTTCATGCTTCTAAGGGATTACTTTTTTTCCAGATGTCATGATATTTGGAAGACAGACACATCAGATTTATTTCTTTTTCATTTTTTTCCTCAAACATTTCCAGATGAAGACTAAGTTTATATAATTATAAGTGTCTGTCTGTAAAAATAGTGATTGGATATTTTTTTCTCTTGTCAGATTGGCGCCACTTTAGATATGTTTATGTTTTGTCTGATTTATATGTATATACATACTGGTATGTATGAACATATATATTTAATCAATGAGAAAGTCAAGTTCATTATTTTTCATATATCGGGTGTATTTTAGTTATATTATACTTGCTAAAAACAACATTTTATTTACGGCATGCAAAAAGAATATAATAAATACAAACGTCTGTTTTCAATTTTAAAATGAAGTTTAACAAATAGCAACTAAAATGATCAAAGTGGCTCCTATAGGGTTAACTATAAAGGTTGAAGAGTATTCTAAACATTGTTCAAGTAGTTCCAGATATTCTGTTGTTAGGATTACTGTCTGATTTGTGTTTTTTAGGTCTTAATAACTTGCAGATTTGTGTAAGACTTGTGGTTTAGTGTAATTCCTTGTGGATTGGTGTGATTCTTGCAGATTGGTGTAATATTGCCTTGCTGGTTCAGTTGTAATACTTGTGGATTGTTGAAATTACTTGTGGATCGGTGATTTGGTGTAATACTTGTTAATTGGTGTAATACTTTTGGATTGGTGTATTTACTTGTGGATTGGTGTAATTTACTTCCAGATTGGTGTAATTTGTAGATTGGTGTAAATTTACTAGTGCATTGGTGTAATACTTGTGGATTGATGTAATACTTGCAGATTGATGTTTTACTTGCAGATTGGTGTAATAAATACTTGCAGATTAGTGTTTAACTTGTGGATTGGTGTAATACTTGTGTATTTGTGTTTTTTTCTTGTACTTGTGAATTGGTGTAATTTCTTTAGGTCTTATCTTGCAGATTGGTGTAAATCTTGCAGATTAGTGTAAAACTTGCAGATAAAAGTAAAATATGTAGATTGGTGTAACACTTGTGGATTGGTGTAATACTTGTGGATTGGTGTCAGACTTGCAGATTAAAGTGTAAAACTTGTGGATTGTTGTTATTACTTGTGGGTTGTTGTTATTACTTGTTGACTGTTGTTATAACTTATGGATTGGTATGATTATTTATGGATTGGTTAAATATTTGTGTGGATTGGTGTAATACTTGTGCATTGGTGTGATATTTGAGGAAAATGGCGTGCCATCATTGTTGCAATAAACATTTTTAAGAACTGTCCATTATCAGTTTAGTGTTATTAAGATTTATTGGAGAACTTTATAATGTTTAAAGCTGCACACCTCCAGATGAGCAAAAATATTTCGATAAAATCATTTAACCTGAGAAAAATGTAACAAGATTTTAGGAAAGGTATTCAAAATTTTAGTAAAAATTTATGTGTTATGTGCGATTAATGACCAAATTTTTCAGTATGTATAACTATATTTCCAATGGGTTACTAACGCCGTAAGGGCTGTTTTTGCATATTTTGACCTCTTTATAGTAATTTACAATTAGGTTGTAAGTGCCATCGATAATGTGTTAATTGCATTCTTTTAGGTGACTATATTACAATATGATACTGTTAAATACATTTTCAAATTTTCATGAAAATTTGCATGAATCTGGAGGTGTAGTGCTGCTTTAAGTGAACCGACAGTGTAGAACCTGGTCAGAGACTCAGACTGCATGGATCTGCTGACTGGCCGGGCTCTTTACATGTAGTTGTGGCAATTAAAGGGTTATAGTCCCTAGTAATTATAAAAGCGCTTTTGGTTCCAGCTGGGAAAGGGTTAAAACAAGTCTTGGTTTATCAACACAAAAACATGTTAGCTTTAATATAAGCTAACTTGCTCAGCTTTTTATTTCCATTTATAATGTCACATGATTAATACCTAATTGGTTTTATATTTTCAATCTATTTCAGGCTAAAAGAAAACTCAAAATGAGGTTTTATTTGGTCCTGTTTGTTGTAAAAGTTTGTCATGTTGCCATAGCAACAGGAGAGGATGTACACAAGCCCCTGACAGTACGCAATGCAACATATTCCCCAGCTACAGTAAACCCTGTTACATCTGGTCATGTGACTTCAAGTCCACATGTTAAAGGTATGCATATTTATGACATGTCAAATGGCAAAGTTTTTTTTCTAATCAGACATATAAATAAGTTGCTGATTTGACCTTGACATTTGCCATTGATTTGACCTTTCAGAATTGACATGTTGTATGGCATTGTTAAGTTTTCTTTCAATCAGACATAAGCAAGTTGCAGATTTGACATTGATTTGACTTTGACATTTGCCATTGATTTTACCTTTACCTTTTTAGCAGCAACCAAAATTTAAATTTAACTGTTTTTTTTTTAGAGAAATGCGCGAGTGTTAAGCAGCAAGCAAAATCTAAATTTAATTTTTCTAGAGCAATGCCTGTTATTAGCAGTAAGCAAAATAATAATTTAACCTTTTTAAAGCAATGCCTGTTAGGCTGCAACTCCCAGGGTTCTACCCTATATATATAAAAGAGAATTTTTATCCACATGACATGCTGGTAATAATAATAACATTTTTGGATCACATGTAAAATACTTCTTGATTTAATTTTTAACATTTACATTGTCTGTCTGTACAATCACTATAGATCATTTTTGTCTACCTTTCAGTACCAGCATGTTTCACCAGTAATTTTATGATCTTTTGGGTTTCAAATCAACAACAAATACAAAAAAATGACCCTACCCTGTCTGTATCACTGATTATCCTCAAAATAAATATTTGAGTAACATTTATAGCTTTTAGATTGAAAACAATTTTTTATCAACAAATAACATCAAAGCTTTATAATAATGAAATGTAAAACAAAAGTCATTATTTTCATCCCACTCAATGTCATTGTATTTAATAAATTAGAAATGAATTGTTGTTTAACAGTTGCATTTGGCTTTAAAGTACATTTTGATCAAATAAAATACAACAGCTGGAACTACATGAAGATCTTTTTTACTGATCTTCTTAACCCTTATAAAGAACTCTCTTTGCTTATCTTCTAAATTTCTTTAATTGTTCTACACCAAATATGCATTCAGTAACCAAACATGGAAGTTTATTGTTTAATAAATTCTGTTTCTGTGATATAAGAAGTAATCATAAATAAAAATATGTAAAGTTTTAATAAAATTTAATAGTCATATGATATTAATATCAATGAACTCTTACACTTGCGTAAATGAGGTCTGGTGAACATAAAGACACATTCTGAATTGCGGAAAATTTCAAATTTTCACTTATTTAAGATGTTGATGATTATTTTGAATTTACTATTAAACTGTGACTTCTTTTTAGCTGCACTTTTCAAAGAAACTTTATGAATTTCTTTTTCCACAGTTAATTGCTCCCTTTTTTTACTTTGAATGTTTTAGCTTTTTTGATGTGATACAAATTTTCTCAGAAAGAATCATAGATGCTCAAATAAACTTGGAGAACTTAAATTTCACTGTCAAATTTGAAATGCATTTCTAAGAAGCAAGAATTATCTTGGAAGCTATTTTTGTCAATTATCACTCTTTTGACTTAGAATTAAAAGTTTGAAAAACTAGAATTAAAAGTTTGCCTTTTTCTCAAAATGACATTACTTGCGCTTTCAGAACTCAAAAAAATATACTACTGGGCAGACCTGCATGACAAAATGTCATGATTTAGAACTGTTCACTATTAAGGGAAGAAGATGTGTAAGCAGCCTGATATCTCAGTCTGAAGAGCTGTGGAACAGTATTTAGAGGGTCACAGGTTCAAGTCCTGGTCAGGCTGCACTTTTTTTCTCACCCAGTGAGTGTGTTTACATAATATAACTGATATTTTTTGTGAAAGGACACCATTTCAAATTTCAGATACCAATCACAGTAACCACGGTAACAACCACAGTGAGGCAGGATGTAAAGATTCCCATAGTGACGGTCTCCATGGAAAGGAAGGTCATGGTCATAAAAGCAAGAGAATACATGTGGTAGAATTTAATTTTGACCATGTCAAAACACCCCTACTTTTTGGGCTTGTGGTAATTATTGCAGGACTGAGCAAAATAGGTAAGGAAACAGCATGGATAAAAAGAAATTGTAACTCAGTTTTGTTTTATAAATGATTTAAAGCTGCATGCATCCATGGAGAAAAATCAGGACAAATAACTATGTGCAAACTTTCAGAACATTCTGTCACTGTACAGTAGAATGATAAATTTATGACCCAAAAATGAAGAGCATTGCAATGCTTTTCAGTCATTCCTGCTATAAATCGCACACAAAATTGATTTCCAATTTAATTATAAGATGCTTATTTGTTATCCTTTGCACATCTAAATTGCATTTTAAGTCAGCTTCATTTGATATTTTTAAGATTTTCAAGTTTTAACTTTTTTAGGTCTTCCAGGGCCTCAGTGGAGTTCCTTTCACTTTAATTTTTGATGCCTGCTTGATTACAAGTATGAAAGAATATAATTATATACAAATATATTTAAATAACCCAATGCACTTATCGTACAACATTTAACCTTAAGATTTAAAGGGTCAAGGTTCTTCCCATCTGTGCTGTCTGATAGTGATCTCTACTGTTTACTATTTTAAGTTAGTACTTATTTTGGAAATTCCATTCTTTTGTATTTGTAAGAGATATAACTGACTTGAAAATTTAAAAAAAAGACAAAAAAATTGTAACCTGAAGTAAAAATTATTTTATCTTGTGGATTCAAGAAATGGTACTTCCATGCACAAATTGTATCACAATGCATAGACAACAGCCTGCATAGCATATTGAGATTCTGATTTAATTTGTGACGAAATAATTAAAACCCACAACTTTAAAGTGTTGCGAAACAATTGATACCGAGTGTTTCCCATATAAGGCAAGGAAAATAATTGGAAAGTATCAGTATTCTACGAGGTATATATCGTATTTCACGAGACCCACGCATACAAATCTCCTTGTTGTATTAGAATGTCAATCTTCGTCAGAACTTTTGTCTACACTCTTGCAATTCTCACTGGATTAATGAAACGTGCATCTTAGAAATATCTTGTCAAATGAAAGTAGTAAAACTCGTCATGTATAAAGCATTATAAGTCGGTCTTTGGGCGAGCTTATTTACTGAGCTGTAATGTACAAAATGGGGTATTTTATACGGTTAGCCTAAATGCTTGGAAGAGCTCCTGAAATTTCAATTGATTAGGTTTTTTAGCTCACCTGTCACAAAGTGACAGGGTGAGCTTTTGTGATCGCTTTTCGTCCGGCGTCAGGCGTCCGTAAACTTTTACTTTAAATGACATCTTCTCATAAACAACTAAGCCAATTCATCCAAACTTCACAGGAATGTTCCTTTGGTGGTCACCTTTGAAAATTGTTCAAAGAATTTAATTCCATGCAGAACTCTGGTTGCCATGGCAACCAAAAGAAAAAACTTAAAATATCTTCTTCTAAAAAACCCAAAGAGCTAGAGCTTAGATATTTGGCATGAAACATCTTCTAGTGAGTGTCTACCAAGTTTGTTCAAATAAAAGCCCTAGGGTCAAAATTGGCCCCGCCCCAGGGGGTCATTGATTTTCCCTATATGCATATAGAAAAACTTAAAAATTCTTCTTTTAAAGAACCCAAAGAGCTAGAGCTAAGATATTTAGCATGAAACATCCTCTAATGGGTGTCTACCAAGTTTGTTCAAATAAAAGCCCTGGGGTCAAAATTGGGCCCGTCCCAGGGGGTCATTGATTTTCCCTATATGCATATAGTAAAAACTTAAAAAATTTTCTTTTAAAGAACTCAAAGAGCTAGAGCTAAGATATTTAGCATGAAACATGTTCTAATGGATGTCTACCATTTTTAACAAATAAGAGCCCTGGGGTCAAAATTGGCCCCGCCCCAGGGGGTCATTGATTTTCCCTATATGCATATAGAAAAACTTAAAAAATCTTCTTTTAAAGAACCCAAAGAGCTAGAGCTAAGATATTTAGCATGAAACATCCTCTAATGGGTGTCTACCAAGTTTGTTCAAATAAAAGCCCTGGGGTCAAAATTGGCCCCGTCCCAGGGGGTCATTGATTTTCCCTATATGCATATAGTAAAAAATTAAAAAATCTTCTTTTAAAGAACCCAAAGAGCTAGAGCTAAGATATTTAGCATGAAACATGTTCTAATGGATGTCTACCATTTTTAACAAATAAGAGCCCTGGGGTCAAAATTGGCCCCGCCCCAGGGGGTCATTGATTTTCCCTATATGCATATAGAAAAACTTAAAAAAATCTTCTTTTAAAGAACCCAAAGAGCTAGAGCTAAGATATTTAGCATGAAACTTAAAAAATCTTCTTTGAAAAAAAACCAAATAGCTAGAGTTTAGATTCTAAGCATGAAACATCTTCTAGTGAGTGTCTACTAAGTTTGTTCTTATAAAAGCCCTGGGGTCAAAATTGGCCCCGCCTAGGAGGTCATTTATTTTCCTTATATGTGTATATAGCAAAAACTTAAAAATCTTCTTTGAAAAAACTCAAATAGCTAGAGTTTAGATATTAAGCATGAAGCATCTTCTAGTGAGTGTCTACAAAGTTTGTCCAAATGAAAGCCCTTGGGTCAAAATTGGCCCCGCCCCGGGGGACATTGATTTTCCATATATGTGTATAGCAAAAACTTTAAAATCTTCTTTGAAAAAACCCGAATAGCTAGAGTTTAGATATTAAGCATGAAACATTTTCTAGTAAGTGTCTACAAAGATTGTTCAAATAAAAGCCCTTGGGTCAAAACTGGCCCTGCCCCAGGTTTTGTCATTGTTTTTAACTATATGTGTAAAGAAAAAACTTGACCAGCTAGACCTTAGATGTTTAGCATGAACCATCTTCTAATGGGTGTCTACCAAGTTTGTTCAAATAAAAGCCCTGGGTTTTAAACTGGCCTCGCTCCGGGGGCCTATATACAGGTGAGCGACTTCAGGGCCATCATGGCCCTCTTGTCTAGTTTATTCAATGACATTACTCTTATAGGTCAAATTTTTTTCTGAAAGAAGACAAAATGTCGAAAGCTAAAGAAAAGGGATTGTTTTTATTGAACTGATTATATACAATCATGTATATTACTTTTTTACGGCATCTCATATGCATAGATCATAAATGAGAAAATGGATTGGGTAGAGTCATAACAATATAGGAATGTGTGAGATAATATTGAATTATGTCCAAAGACATGAAAAAGTGGGATATGTACAAGAGTGTTGAGCCGTGTCACAACAAAACCAACATAATGGGTTTGCGACCAGCATGGAGCCAGACCAGCCTGCGCATCCGCGCAGTCTGATCAGGATCCATGCTGTTCGCTATCAGTTTCTCTACTTGTTATAGGATTTGTAAGCGAACAGCATGGATCCTGATCAGACTGCGCGGATGTGCAGGCTGGTCTGGATCCATGCTGGTCGCAAACCTATTATGTTGGTTTTGTCATGACGCGGCTCATTTGTACAAATGAAAAGAAATGTAGAAATTCTGCTTAAAATGACTGGAGATACCTTATCATGAAAGTTTGTAACGTTTTTGACTTAGAAAATACATTTTTTGGCAATGTTAACCTGTAGAAAATGTTAGAAACATGGAAAATGTCAACTCTTTAATCAACGCTTGCTCCATATCAAAATGTTAACCTAAAATGTTATTCCTTTTTACCATGCAACACCTGTTAAGCTACCACATTTGATGATGTTAACCGAAAATGATAACACTTTAATCTTCGGGCCTTTTTGTCTTTCCACCAAAACTGTTAACCCATAAAATATTTTAACTTGTAGAAAAAAACGGAGCATTTAGATATATATATACAAAATGTAGTCTAAAAGAACCTTATGTAAAATACCCTTCAGATTTAATATAGCTGCCATGCACCGATCCAGTAGGCTCTGTTTATTAGATTAGGTATTGAATAAAGTATCAATTTTATTAAGTGTGACTTGAGCATGTCCAACTGAATTAGAGCAGCTTCTGCAGCAAATAATTCAATTTTCATTTTACATGATGTCTAGCCATGGTCTTATTGAATGAAATTCTATATTAGCACTGCCTCTATTTGAAATATCACAATATTATTGCTTCCTGGTGCACAGCTGAAATTTAATTTAAGGATTGTTTTTAAGTAGACCAAATAATAATAGTCTACCCACAGGACTGTGTTATATTGATGGATCTGTCTGATGAAATTTTATTTTTGCATGTTCTAAAAGTATAGATTTCAGATTTAGCAGGATTTTGCTATTAAAGGAACTCCACTGAGGTTCATTAAACAATAAAAACATAAAATTTGAATTTCGTACATAGGTCAGCTGGGGCACTTACATCACAAGGTAATTCAGGAAAATATACACAGTATAAATTGAAAATTATATTTTTGTGCTTTTCTTAGTCTTATTTAAGTGAAAAGCCTTGCATAACTCTTCAATTTTAGGCAATTCTCCACAATTAATGTAATTATTTTGGAAAAACGGTGAGAGTGTATGACCAGAAATTTTGTACAAAAGTTATTTAAGTCTAGACCTACACCAAATGGAACAAAAATCTTGAAAAATTGTTATCTAAAAAACCTTAGCTGAGTCCCTTTAATGTTCTTGAAAGTTTTCTGGTGTGGTTCAAACCCATAGTGGAAAGGAGCAAAGGCTTGAAAGTAAGCAATCTTTACCCTGAACCAACTGATTTTCTATAAAGGACTTGCCCTACTTTGAATTTGTCTATTTGCTGACTTTGAGGCCTTAATGTCCTTATACCACTGTGTGGGATAAATCACGCCAGGAAACTTTTTTTTGTCATGTGTGGAAGATGTGCATGCAGACTAAGCTCACGGCAAGTCAGTGGTTCTACACAGACGCCTGAACTTGTCTCAAAAAAAGAGAAATGATCAAAGGTACACAATGAAGATTTTCACAACAAGTTGAGCTGATTATCATGCCATAAATATTGCCATGTGTAACATTTACAATAAACATAAACTTTTCAGCCAAACAACAAAAAACAACAAAATGAATTTCTTGGAAAACCAATTCTATTTCTCTTGATTTAAATTAAGTGAACACACAAGTTTTGCCCATGATTTATATGTCCAGGCATTGTTATTTAGAATAAAATTGTGCTATTTTTTTATGAATACCATAGTGACATGCTGGTAAAATTTTTGTCATCCTTTAAAATGTCTTGTTTCTATTACAGGATTCCACCATGCCAATTTCATGTCGTCAAAAGTTCCAGAATCATGGTAAGGATTTTACATGCAGTTTTATATCATTATTTTACAAGGTTTCAATTCACTGTTTGAATTCTTTAATTAATCTCTCTTGTAAAAGAATAATTTCTTAATAAGGTTTCAGTTGACAGTTAAATTCTTGAAGCTCTGCCATCGAAAAGTTAGCTTATAGAGGTTTCCTTTGTTTTAGTTATATAATAATCATTGTCAATCAAAGCTACATGGCTGCAGATGAGCTAAAATATTTCAAGAAAATCAATCTTTAGAGAATGACCTAAGAATTTAAGAAAAGTCAAAAGATTCAAGAGTAATAATTTGTGTTGGATGTGCCCCCTTCATGTGGGATGTGCACCCTTCTGTTTGGGGGTTTGAAAAAGGGCAGTAGTCCCCCTCATAACCAAGAAAATTTTTGACTTGTGAGAGTCTTAAAATGGCCTCAGATTGATCATTGCACTACGTGTTAGTTTTTGCATATAATTTGATGTCTCCAAAACTACTAAAATTTTCATTGTCAGTGGAAATATTGTTCTGGATTTTTCAAGAAGGTAAATAAATCTTATTTAGAAATCTGTTGGGAAATTCTTGCGCTGGCGTCCTTGATAAAATGATGCACATTAATGAGGTGGAAAACAGGAAAGATTTGAGCCGTAAACAATAATCACGGAAAATTGTTTTTTAACAATCTTTGTCTGCATTTCCTTTATAAAAGTTGTTGTTTCTTTTAACGAATAATTATATCATCCGTACTAAAGCATCGTTAAAGGAAGCAATCGTCATGGGAACTGTGTCGTCTGCTTGACTTGCAATGAAATTTGACGGTAAAATTACCGTCACTAATGCATGTTTATTCATGTCGACATTAACTTTTATCTGTTTCCATTGTGATTGAAATGAGGTTAATTGTGCACGGTATTCAAGAAAAAAAAATGTCAAAAAATCCGATCTTAACGTATAACAGTAACCAAAGACATAATGCAGTATTTTAATTTATTTTTATAAAACACGTTAAAAGTTTATAGAATTGAATATACTGTATAAATCAGAGATTTTCCTAATACCTTAACCTTTGGCCAGCTCCAGGCACCAAAAGTGGTTTAGTCTTTGCCACCAGTATAGAGCCAGGCCAGCCTGCTTAAAGGCCCCCACGATTACACGTTTAAACGGATTTGTTTCGATTTTCATTCATAAACGTTTACGATATTGTTAACCGTTTAATCGAAATGACTGTATTGTCTTACAAAATTTCTAAATCATTGCCTGTAATCATGGATCTAGTGGTTTATTCCAAAGTAAACAAACGGAAAATGGGTGTTTACAACCCTCCACACAGCATTAAGGGGTTACAATGCAAAAAATGTGTGCTTACTCAATTGTGATGAGCCCTGCACATTCTTTATTTGTAAGTGTATTAAACATAGAAAGAAAGACATCATTTGGCGACTCAAATACATGGTGTGTATAGTATATAGAGGAACCATCGTTTAAACGGCATCGTTTCGGTTCTTAGCAATCGTGTAAACGTTTAGAAAAAATTGTAAACGTGGGAGCCTTACAGCCTGCACATCCTTGCAGTCTAACTTTTGTATTTTGATATTGAAATCCCTTAATCTTTGAATGAACTGTTCCAAATTCAAAGCTGGGCAAATCCATTATACAAATTCAGCAGGTTAAGGGTTAATGTATGATTTTGAATAATTTTGGTAGTAAACTCCCTCAAATTAACATTGGAACCTTCCAAATTCAAAAGCAGGACAAATCCATTTTACATTTTCAGGCATTGCTTGTTGGTATTGTGTTAAAGCAAATAGTGAAAAAAAAAAATTGTTTTCTGTTTTCAGTATTTTGATCTTTCTCGGTGTAATATTTGGTGCAATATTTCTGTAAGTATTGATTAATATAACCTAATGTTTACTTATTTATATATATAACAGCAATATTTATAAAACTGCAAAATTTTACTGGCAAAAAATTAACTGTGCGATATATTATAAATAATGTACAATCTGTCAATTTAGTATTTTAATTGAAACATTCCTGTTTATACAGATAGGAAAGCTTTTCTATTTCTGCAGAATATGTTGATGCATGATTGTACACATATTTGTGCATTTGTCATTTCATGTAAACAAGCGACTACGGAAAAACAAGGAATTCTGTGCCAAAGCCGTTGAAGTTTTTCACTTTAATTCATATTGCCCACACTATTTATTTCTTTTAGGGACTTCAAACTCTTTTATGTATAAGCCTGAAATTATTTGTTGAGAGGCACCAGAGGTTCTCTTCTTTCAATTAGATAATATTAAGAGGCAACCATGGGTGAGCGGTTTTGCTCCTTAACTTCAAACCACTTGCCTCTATACAGCTGATGGTTTGAATCCCATCAAAGAATTCTTTCAAGTTAGGAAGCTACTAGTTTCCAACCAGTTTATGGAATGAGACAAAGGGCAGTGGTTCTATTCAGGTGCCTTTTATGCCTGAAGACCGAAGGAAAAGAAAAAAAAATGCCCAGTTTTACAGTTTATTTGAAAATGACAAAAATGAATCTAACCATGTTTTGTGATAATTTCCAATAAAATCTTTTTTAATATTGAAGGCTTTCTGGGACAGGAGATGACTTAGAACAGTTCTTTCAGCCAGATCAGTTTTTCCTGTATCTTTTACCCCCGTAAGTATGATAATAATAATATTTCATATACATTAGATTTAAACTTAACTTTAAAATTTTAATGACAGTGTAAATTTCAATACAAGTATCCACTGCACTCTATTGTAATTCTTCACAAAGTAAATGTACTGTAGGATTTTTTAAAAAAAAAATTCATTTTGATTTTTTTTCAAAGTTAGTGCCAACTTGTTTTGTTTATAGTGATGGTATAATATTTGCAATCAAATTAACAACAGAAGTGCAGCAAGACAGAGTTAGGAATAGGTGTTATCCTGAGAACTCAGTAAAAGTGGGTTTTTTCCAAGCTTATTAAGGATTACAAACAAACTTTCTTGATTATTCTTAATTCTGAAGCTATTGACAATACTTACTTCTATATTAACTGATCTTTTAGGGCTATTCACACAATTCTTACATTTTGATGAGATACTTTTCTACAGGATCTATTATAACTTAATTTTCACATTGTTTCAGAATTATACTTGAGGCAGCATTTAGTTTACATGACAGGACATTTACAGACAATCTTGGCAGCATAATTATGTTCTCTGTTGTGGTAAGTTTTTTGAATATCTATAAATAGATCCTTGAAAAATCTATAAATAGATCCATTAAAAAATATATAAATAGGTCCTTGAAAAATCTATAAATAGATCATGGAAAAATCTATATATAGATACTTGAAAAAATCTATAAATAGATCCTTAAAATATCTATAAATAGATCCTTGCAATATCTTTGATTGTTTGTTCGTTTGTTTCATTTTACGCCTTTTTCCAACAGTATTTCAGTCATATAGGCGGGTAGTTTCCTAACCATCGTTCCTGGAGAGTTACACCAATACTAGACTACCTTCCTCCTCTCTAAACTACCAAAGCATCTCCAGATACTTGAAAATCATTGAAATTTCTTAATTGAGGTACTTAAAATGACTATAATCCTAAACACATTTTTACATATATACATGTATAGGTTCTTGAAAATAATGACAAAAAAGAAAAAACTAACAAGTTGAGCATTGCCCCTCCCTGCTGTGGCTCTTGTTTCTGTTATGCTAATGTTAAAAATATGATATTAAGTAAAAACATTAAACAGTCTCATAGTCTCATAACATAATTATTCTGTTTTAAGTTAACACAAAAACTAAATAATTTCCATTGACCAAAATAGTAAGGGAAAATCAGATGTTGCATTTTCCTTTGAAGAGGATTTCTTGTGAAGCGTGAGCCTTTGTTCTTTCATTCAATCTAGAAAGATTATTTTCTGAGTGCTTTAACTTGGCTATTATCACTGGAGATTTCTGGGATATAACATTGGTATTTATATTGATTGGTATTTAGAAAGAAATCAATGTAACAAAAATGTATAGTAATTGAATTGCAGAATCAAGTATAGGTAAAGAGTGATGATTAGTCTTTAAAACACATAATTCTCAGATTGAATTATAGATGAAAAGCGATAATGTGTCTTCATGTATAAAGCATTGTGCAGAATGATGTATAGAAAAACATTGATAATTTGTCTATAATGTTAGCATGTAAAGTTTTTGGAAAAACAAAAGAAAGTATAAATGAACAGGAGCTATTTGTTTAAAACATGTATTGTTATTCACTCCCTCCAAAGGGCAGAAAAATCAAGTATAGGTGAACAGTGATAATTTGTCTATTTTTAATCAAGGGCAGAATGAACTATAGATGATTAGCATTCATTTTTCAATGTGATTGAAGAACAGAATCAAGTACAGTATAGATGAAAAATGATAAGTTGTCTAAATTGTGTGTATAACAAAAAGTGATTGTTTGACTATAAAACTTGTATTGTTAAGTATAGACAAACAGTGAAAATTTATATAGTTATTGAAGTGCAGAATCAAATATATACAAAAATTGATACTAGAATTGTCTGTCTGGAAAATCATTATGGGCAGCTGTAGTCTACAAATTTTTAGATTAATAGTAAATAATATGACTTAATGGTTTGCAGTATGATATCCTTTGCAGAATATTAGCTTATTTAACTTACCCTTGTTTGAATGAAGGTGATTTATCTCCCTTTGCCCTTGAAGTGTGGTAATATTTACCCGGCACCTAATGCACATGTAGGCTTTACACTAACAACAACAACAACAATAACAATTATAACACATAACAGAAAACTGCTGCAGTAAAGAAAAATATATCTGTCAATACGTTTACCTTGCTGGTGGAACCTAAATCCAGCCATGATCGTGGTCTGTACTGTAAACTATTCAAGCGTAAAATTTTACATTAAAGGGACTCCACTGAGGTTTTTTGACAAGATGGGACTGGAAATAATTTTTCGAAATAAATGTGTCATTTGATGCAGGTCTAGAACAATAACTTGTGTGCAAAATTTCAGCTCATTGTTTCCAAAATAATCATTATTATTGTAATTAAATGTGAAAAGTGTTGCAATGCCTTTCACTCAAATCTCATTCTAAGAATAGCACAAATATTATCCAATTATTTTATTTTCTTTTGTATATTGTTCTGTTTAAAATGCCCCAGCTGATCTATGCAAGAATTTTTTTATGTTTTTAACATAGTGAAGTTAAAACAGATGATATTTTTGTCTCACCAATTTGATGTTGACTAGGATATGGGTTGATTTAAATAAGTTTCAAGCTTTTATGCCGTTCATTCAAACTAAATAACTTAGAGATCTGCTTAAACTAAAACATAGTGATATTGACATGTTTTATATTTAATTAATTATCTATACAACTGTCTAGACTTCTAACAATAATGTAAAGTGTAGATTTTGATGTTTTAAAAGCTTTCCCCCAAGACTGAAGTTAATGTTTAAAGGGACTCCACTGAGGTCTTTTGACATGAAAGAACTGGAAATATTTCTTTATCGAGACTTATGTGTGCCATTTGATGTAGGTCTAGACTTAATACTTGTGTGCAAAATTTCAGATCATTCTAAGCAATAAAATCACTGCTTGGGATATATTATTTTGATTCTAAAAGAACTTCAACAAATAAATGCTGCTGTACCTGATGTCAATCTAAATTTTGCCCAATTTGTTTCTATGCTTATTTTCGGCGCGTCACAATTTTAATGGTTAAGTCATGTCTAAAAATAGACCGTCAACAGTGATTTTATGTATATGTTAGTGTTCATCCGTGCTGTTCTACAGAAATTAGAAACTTTGACGGGAGCGATAGCGACAGGAGAATGTTTCTAATTTCTGTAGAACAGCACGGATGAATACTAACATATTTAGTGTCAAACTTTATTTGGCCTCATTATCATTCACTATATTACGTCACTATGCGGTTTTATGAAGTACTATGAAAAATAGAAGTTGACTATGAACGTAATTCGATATAGTATCGGCTTTTGTACTTCTATGAAAATTAACGCACACAATTTTAAAAAAATACAGTGTTTTCATTGGATGACAAATAAAGTTGGACACTAATGCACATTTACACACACTTTCTGTCCTTCTATGAGAAAAAATTTGGGTTGTGTTAGAATTTGTAAAAATGAATGCCTGATACAGTAAATACAAATACGAATTTTCAGAACTTTGTAGAAATGGATGCATTACCCTTAACTCAATAAATAATTTAATATGTTTAATGAATAGCATGATTTTGTTTGATCAACCGCATGTTTTTGTTTGTTTTAGGGCACAGTGATTGCATGCTTTGCTATAGGTGAGTATAATATAACAACAAAAGGTCTGGAGGAAAATCATTCCATATTGTTGCCATGCTTAGAAATGCAGGGTTTTCATTTTAACTGTTATCTGAGATGCCGATGAAAACAACCGATTAAGCCAAAGATCACGTGAAATATTTTAATCTACAGACAGGAAATTCAACCAGCATTTCATTAGATAATATGGATCCCCAATCAATCAATAATGAAAACCCTGAAATGGTTTCTGTAAATTTTGAGATAGTTTGGCTTCTAGGTGAATTTTGGATGATCCAGGAATAAATTGTTGAATGTATTTTATTTATGGGGGAAAAAGTTACTAATAGCATGTTTTTCACATTTTTTTCATGAAATTTATTTCATGAATACTGCATTGGCATGAATGTAATGTGTCAGAATTATCTTAACATATATTGTATAATTTATAATTTGTCAACGTTTAGTGTTTGTTTATATATAATAACTTAATTTTGAGAGTATTTAAAAAAATAAACCTTGGATCTTGCTAGATGTCAGTAAAGCTGGAAAGTCACCATATGACCTGTACAATGTTCAGGTGTGATGTTAAACCCAACCAAAAAAAAACAGTCTTCAATCTTGAAGAAGAAAAATGCCTAAAATTTAATGTATTTTATACATTATTTTTATCGATTTTAGCATTTAGAAGTACAGTTGTATCCTTAATATTAAATGGAATTTTTGAAATATTAAAATCTGAAGAACATATTTTCAGTCTCGAGAAAACTTGTTTCATGACAAAGGATTTAAATTTTTTTTTCAGGTTTGAGCCTTGTTGGGTTGGCTAAAGTAGGTGCTATGGAAGACCCACAGGCCACACCTGTACAGATACTTGTGTTCAGTGCCCTTATAGTAGCCGTGGATCCTGTGGCTGTAAGTTTGAGTTCTTGTATAATTGTTTTGTTATTATGGTTGCTTGAGATACTTATAAAATACGGACACTCCATCTGGTGCCTCTCAGGAGAATAGATTTAGTCATCCGGGGGTCGCTGGTTTGATCCTTTGGCAAGGCGTAGTTTCTCTGTGACAGTTAATTCCAGATATTGAGTCTAAAGGTCCTTTTGTGTCTCACAGCTGAGTCAGATATCAGATATGATGTTAGCAGTTGGTTAGTTGCTGAGAAATCAGTAATAACTGGTTAACTGGTTAATTATCCAGGAAAGCTGGTATAAGGTAGATTATAAATATCCATTGAGACTTGACCAAATTATGTGTTACGATTGGTATAAAAAGCAGAAAACAGACAAACAGGAAAAAGATCTTAAGTTTAAGCCCTTGGCAGGACAATTTTTCTTCCATTTGTTAAAAGAATTTGTCTCCTTTGATGCTTATTTACTTTATTACAGAATTGTAGTTTTGTTTGATTGTGAAGGAAACTCAAGTAATCTTATAGACAATGTCACACATTCTCCAATCCACTCCTGAAATTATCCAGTATTAAGCAATTAGTGAAATAATTCTTGCTCAAGGAAACAACAGCTTATGTTTGATAGGCAGAAATAAAAATTTCCACTTGTCCATTCGTTATTACAGTTAGAATTTAAGAGAACTCGATGCAGGGCTAGTAGAAAACTGTTGCCTGCCAATTGGATTTAGAAGCTACTCATCCTGCAGGACAAGTTACTGAAAATAATTTTCGATGCCTCATGATAGGGTTCAAACTCATGTGGCCAGCAATCCTAAGGTTACAAGTCATTCTCATTAACTGCACGGCTATATTAGAGATACCTTCAGGGAAATCAGCAGCTTCAAAACAAATATGAATATTATATGTGATTAGTCTGTAAAGTTGTGTACACAAATAACATGTCTGTAACATTTAATGAATATTTCATATTAAGAACATTGAATACAATATTGTAAGTGTGGGTTACCTTGACCTTTCAGCATCAGATGACAAAGACAATAAATATTTGCATTTTACAAGAACATGTGACTATTTCAGGTTTTGTTTGTTATACATGTTACATGTCACAAAACTCACAAATAAAGCATTTTTTTATGCAATGGATATTTACAGCAAAAATTTTGTGCTAATTACAACAATAAATTTGACACCTTTTTTTGATGCAACAGGTATTTACAGCATTTTTGCTATTTACAAAATTTTTTTCTGTCCTATTTGAAGGCTAATTTTTGTCATTGATACCATCTCTTAAGAATTTGCCAGTGGGCGTATGTGGCCCTGCCTCATCTGAACTCTCGTTATTATTTCAGGTATTGGCAATATTCCAGGAAGTGGGCGTGAACAATATGCTGTATTTTCTGGTGTTTGGAGAGTCTCTATTAAATGATGGTGTAACTGTTGTTTTATATAATGTCATGCAGATTTACAGTAGAATGGATACAATAGAAGCTGATCAGGTACGCTGAAATAACAGATGATAATGTTACAGTCATACCTGTGTAAAAGGTCATCTTAAAGCTGTACACCACCATATTTGTTTTGATTTTTATGAAAATTAAAAAAAAATGTAAAAATGATGTCAACTTTACAAATAAAATGATTTTACATATTGTTAGGGCAAAATTAATACTGTCTGCAGAAGTTGCCTATGAATTAATATAAAAGGGATGTTTGACATACAAAACTGTATTCCTCAACCAATAAAGCCGGAAATTAAATCGCCATAAGATCTTTGGAATGTCCAACAAACATAACTATATCACATGTTCGTAGAATTCAAAATGGACTGTCTTTTAAAAATAATGTTCCATGATTTTAAAATGCATAATTCAAGTTTTATGAAATTTATCTGAAACATTTTCTGTGTTTGTTATTTCAGATAGTGCTTGGTATAGTAAAGTTTCTAGTGGTAGTGTTTGGGGGTATATTTATCGGAGTTGCAACGGGACTTTTATCATCATTCCTCACCAGGTTTACGAACAATGTGAAGGTTGTGGAACCGATTATCATATTCGGCTTCGCTTATCAGTCGTACATTATAGCAGAAATGTTTCATTTCTCAGGGATTATTAGGTAAATTATGGATTTGTGTGTTTATGTGTGGGTATATCATATTTAAAGCAGCATGCATTTATGTAAATGTATTTAAAAGTAAAGCATTGTGAAGTGAACAAAGAAAATAATTTATACATTTGCAAATAGCATTTACAATCCACTTAACTTACCAAAAAAGAGGTGAAAATAAACAAAAATAGTGTTGTTAGTAACTCAGTACCAGGTGATAAATATAGCAAATATTGCAAGTAATGGCAGATAACTTGTACAAAAACCACACATAAAAAAATTATTTTCATTTCAGCATAATAGGATGTGGTTTGACACAAATGCAATATGCCTTCAACAATATCACCAATAAATCCAAATTAGCTTGCAAGTTTTTTGCCAAAGTCATAAGGTAAGATTTTATGGAGAAACCTCTATCTTACATTGATTATATCATCATAATATTATAAAATATTTTTTATTATTAAAGTTGCAGGCATCCAGATGAGTTAGCAAAATTTTAAGATGTTTAAAGTGGTAGTCTACAATTAACAAATTTTCCAAGTTTTTCAAGTAGCGGCATGGTTAACGTATCAGACTAGTAATCTAAGGATTGCTGGCCACATGGGTTCAAGCCCAGTCAGGGGCAATCTGTTGTTTCCTTGAGCAAGAACGTTTATATTTATTGTTTAATGGTTTGTTTCAAGGACAAATTTAAGAGTGTTTCAGTAAACTTATAACTTCCAGCACAAATGAAATAAAATAAATTTGTGGCCGAGTGGCTAATGTGTCGGACTTGTGACTTAAAGATTGCTGGCCATATGGGTTTAAGCCCCATCACATGCAAGCCGTTGTTTCCTTCTGCAAGAAACTGTACATTCATTGCCTAGTACTGGTTGTTTCCAAGAAGGTTTCAAGAGTGCAAGAGAGTTTCAACCGCCTCCGTGGTCAAGGGGTTAGAGTCGATGACTTCTAATCCAGTTACCTCTCTGTCGTGGGTTTGATCTCTGGGAGATGCTTTGGTAGTTTAGCGCGGAGGAAGATAGTCTAGTAATGATGTAACTCTCAAGGAACGATGGTTAGGAAACTACCCACCTATATGACTGAAATACTGTTGGGAAAAGGTGTAAAAATGAAAAAACAAACAAAAATCATGAGTGTTTCTTAAACTTTATAGCTTTCAACACAATCAAAATAAGAACTAACTTTAAATATTGACAAAAAAAATAGAATTTTATCATGTGGATAAAATATTGCTTGAAAAAAAAGTGTGGACACAGTTTTGAGTGATCTAGTATAAAAATTTATGTTATGAAAATTATAGTTAATTGAACAATTTGTATGAAACAAGCAAATGTTCAGAGTTAATGGATTTATGCAGCCAGCCACTCATTAAACTTGGTTTTACATTTTGCATTGCTTTAATTCTCTTACTGAAAATGATATAGGAAGTGATTTGAACTACATTGTATGTATAATACAAAGTTTGAAATTGCTGAGTTTGCTAATTTGTAAAGAATGTCTGAATCAGGGCAGCTGCAATTTGTCAAAAGCTTCTGTCCACTTTAACATGTAAAATTGAACACTTAGGTATACTCAACATGAATAGAAATGGAAGAGTTTTCAACTTGCTTTATTCTTGTATATAAATTACCTACTAGTGGTGCTTTAAAGTGCCAGTTAATGTCAGTTTCTTTCAAGTACACGTGGTATTGGTTTGAAGTACTCACTAGAAGATAGTTTCTAAGTTTCCGTTGAAAAATGGTATAACACACACTAGGTTGTTAGCATTTTAGACTTCATTTAAACTAAATCATTCCTTGACTATTTTATCTTCATTTTCATTTTTAAATCCATTTCACTTAACCTGTTAACTGACATCTAAATATCAGTGAAACTCAATCTGGATTTATAATTAATTTACCATATTTTTCCTCTACAGTCATAATCATAGTGGTAATTCAAGAGTTGTTTCCCTTTTCTGTTTATACAGATTGGTGGCCCTTTTTGATATAGTCCATTTAATTTTGTTTTATACAGTTATGCAGCTTTTAGACATTTCTTCAGACTTTAGGGTCTTTAACCCTTAACCTGTTGCTGGGTGTTTCAAATAAAATTCTATTTGAAAGACCCTGAAATTACCACAACACATTTTAGATAGCATGGCAGTGTACGCAATTATATACATTTTTGGTAAAATATCCAAACATTGTGTGGAAAAATGTCGCAAAAATATGAACTTAAGTGATAATAAATCCTTGATACAGATTTTAATTGTATGAAATCATAGCTTCCTCTCTTTTTAAATATAGCTCTGTGGTGACAATATCTGCTTGTTTTTCAGCAATACCTGTGAGATCATCATTTTCCTGTTTCTCGGACTGAGAACAGTACATCCCCATCATGTCTGGAATACAGGTTTTGTCCTATGGACAACATTACTTTGTGTACTGTACAGATTTATTAGTAAGTATACATGTATGTATATAATATTATATTTATATAACTGATATTCAAACATTTTTTTTGTTGAGAAATTTGGCCTAATGGGTGAAGTGTTGGAGAGTTCAAGTCCTGCTTGGTTAATGACAATATATCTCGTGTAACATCAGTACTGGTTTAATGTAGGAAATTGATTCATTTGTGATGAATTACCGTATAAGTTACGAGAAGTTGTTCCACAAATGACCATAAATGAACATTATTTAGCCTTTTGTCTGCTGGTGTCAACTGAATTTATTCATGTGACCAGTGCAGACTATGATCAACTGGCACATAAAATGCCATGTGCCACCCGATCATGATATGGTCTGCACTGTTTGCTTTACCGTCAGTACTTATTTTGAAAATTTTCCCTAAAATTATGAATGGTTACGTCCAGATTGTAAGATGGACAAGTCCATTAAAGATATTTAGTGGGGTAAGGGTTCTTAACATGTTTTGGCATAGTTTGACTAAATAATTAATTAATCAAAAGCTTGTTTTTAAGAAACAATGTTGTTAAAAACAGATGAAGAACATGAATACTTCAAACACAATTTTTTTGATATTTATTGTAATTGTACATGTATTGTATTGAAAATATTTTGAAACATTTGGTGATAAAATGATAACTTAAAATCTGTTATCTTCAGAAATCTAAAGTGGTGGCTCTGTTACCAGTTTAGAGCTCGGCCAGTTTGAACAGTCTGACCAGACTTAATACTGTTGGTGCTGATATCCCTTAAACTTTAAATGGATTGTTCCAAAATTCAAAGAAGGGCAAATCTATTACACAAAATCCGAAGGTGAAGGGTTATAAGAATATGACAATATTATTCTTTCAGTCATGTTATTATTGTGTTTGTTTCAGTTACCTTTGTGATGTCATTTTTGATCAATAGATGTGATAGATACAGAATACGTAAAATAAAACTTGACGAAATGTTTATGATAGTAAGTGAAAGTTTACTTTTATTGTAAGTTTTCTGATATTGTCTGAATAGTTTTTGGCCTTCAAAGAATAGTGCCTCAAATCACTGATGTAAAAATCTTTTGTCCCAATGTTGTTGTTGGTATGAATCACAATAGGGACTTGAAAATCTGTCTTGTGACAGCTGGTTCTTTAGTGGTTCTACTAAGGTGCACAAGTTATTTGAATTCATTAGAAACCCTGGCTCATGCACCCCTCGCAGGGAGTGGAGAATAGACGAGGAAAAGGGCAGAGTTTTTTATGCTCATTGAGTGTATAACCATCCAACTATCTCTGCAGGTCAGGGTCCTTTCTGTGGGTTTGATTATCAAAAAGTCCTCACTATTCTCAAGGGCCAGGGCATAACTTTCATGATCAAGCTGAAATGAATTGATTTACAGAATTTGTTCTTGTTTTTTTACCTCAACTATTCGAAGAATAGGGAGATCTATTGTACTTACCCCTGCATTGGCATCTCCATCACACTTTGGTTAATTTTTTTACAGGCAAGTTAGTATTTCCAAAACAACTGAAGGTAATGGGTTGAAACTTCACACACTTTTTTTTCTGTGGTTATTTAACATGGACACACATAGTGTTGGTGTCCCCATGACAGGTTAAGGTTTTACAGGCAAATTGGTATATTTAAAACTACTGAAGGGAATGAATTGAAACTTCACACACTTGTTCTCTGTTGTTATCTAACATTGACACATGAGTTACCTTTTTACAGAGTCATATCCTTTTTCTTACCATCAGAGTAATTTCCCTTCCTTACTGTCAAGCATTGAGAATAGCTGGAAGCTCTTGTTATTTTCAGAGTTTTAGTAGATTGACAATTCCCTCTGTTACCTTCCCTCCCTTCGATAAATGTTAAAACTGATAGAGACAGTAAGTCTACTATAAATTGCTCTTTATTGACAAGTTAAATGATATATGTGGGAAAATTGGCAGTTTCTCACTGAGAATAACCAAGTAACTGTACAAATTCTAGAAAAACGCAAATTACTTTAACTATACCAACCAGTAATTTGACTGAAATGCCAGATGCCTCACAATTTATTTTGAGGAACAATGTGTAGAAGAAAGGCAACTCTAGTTTCACTACATTTAGATATGATTGCAGAGTTATCTCCATGTGAATAATGAAAATAGTTTTGATATTTTGTGTACTGTAATTTGGTCAAATATTGATGTGCCTTTCCTGAAATTGATTCTATATCAATTTAAAATTTTACTTACTGCAAGTACCTACCAACTTCTCCACTGTAAAGGGCCAAAATTGTGAGACATGTCATGTCGACCGACAAATCTGAATTTCACAAATGTATTTCCATCAGTAAGCTCAAGCTGCCTGGCCTACTTAGACTCTATGGGGACATAGGTCAAGGTCACAAAGGTCAATGTCACCAAGGTCAAGGCCTGCAGGGGGAAATAGTGTTCGTTGGAACATATAGCATTTTTTAATTGAAAATCCTTGACTTAGAACAGTTCCAATTCATAGCATGAGAAGATTATTATACAAATTAAGTGATACATATATAGGTATATAATTATATTATGTTTATCACATAAACCATGGCACAGGACTGAAATTAACCCATTTAATAAAAAAGATATTACACTAGGGTAATAACACTTTGATGTGACATTATTTGCGTTATAAAACGTTATATCGTTACAATGCGCATCATTGAGAAATGACTCTATTTTACTGTAAACTGTTCTAAATTTAGATACAGTAAAAACTCGCTAATGAGACCAATGAAGGGACTTTACAAATCTGGTCTTAATAGCGGGTTGGTCTCATTAATGAGTTTGGTCAAACAGAAAACCAGGCAATATGTTGAAGGATACCATGTACTGTACACATGTTTAATTCTGGGCTAACCTATTTCAAATGAGAAGATATAAAGCATACACTATTATTTTTTTTTTATTTTCATTTATTTTATTTTACTTTTAACAATAGAAAAATTTTGAACTTCTTTAGAGGTACAAAATGTATTACGAGTGTCTTTAAACACAAACATATTTTTACATTCTTGTTAAAAGAATGACACGACTTACTCAATTAAATCACAATTTTACTACAAAGCACACACAACAATTAACCTTTAATTATTTTCACAGTTTTCATCGCCGATAACCTAATCGTATCATGTTTATGTTTGTTTAAAATTATGGAACGAAAGAGATAATGATAGCAGCAACACCTCCAAAAACTTATTAAAAGTTTTTCTGTTCAATATTTTGTTGTTTTAATCCTCCAGTTATGACATTAAAGGTGTGAAATTAAGAATATTATTGATCATTTCCGGGTTTGATACAAAGTAACCTTGACCTCTGCCGTAAATTGGATGTCGTTAAATGTTGTAAAACTAGGACAACTGTTGTTTACATCACGTGTTAAAAAGATTTCAGCAATATGCATGCATGTCAATATCAAGGTGAGAAACTGGCCGCGGTCGTATTTATGGGTTTCCAAATGTACAGAATTTACGAAATGGGACTGAATTTACTGGTCGTATTACGGAATAACGGGGTGGTCTCAAAATCGGGGTTAGCGACCATTAAAATAAAGAATAAAAAAATCGGGTCTTTAAAAAATCGTTCGTATTAGCGGGTCGGTCTCGAAAACGGGGTGGTCGTAAAGCGGGTTTTTACTGTATGTGATAAATAGAATATTATATTTGTGCAGATAAAATACTAAAATCATTGAAATCTTTGACAAAACAATATTATGCTCTCGTGAAGCTTGCATAATATAAATTTATTCAACTCAATAAATTAAGAATTAAATCTTCACTCATTCAATATCCTCTATGTGTCACACAATGAACATTTATGTACAAATAATGTTGATATTATTTTTGTTTCAGAGTTACGGAGGGTTACGAGGGGCAGTTTGTTTCTCGCTGGTTGCATTGCTAGATGAGGGCGAGTTCCCGATGAAAAATATGTTTATGACAACGAGCTTGTTCGTTATCTTTTTCACAGTGTTTATACAAGTAAGTGTTTAAATAACTTTATAAACAAATGCTTTTATACAAGTAAGTATTGAAACTACTGCATTTATACAAGTTATTATAGAAACTTTGCATCTGTACAGGTAATTCTGTAAACTACTGCATTTAATACCACTGCATTAAAGCATATGTACAAAAACCTAGTGCATTTATATAAGTAAGTATAATACTTCAGCATTTAAACAGGTAAGAATTCTGTATTTATACAAGTAAGTATTAAAAACTACTTTATTTATACCATCATATAAAAAAATACTGCATTTATACAGTCATGTAGGTATAAAAAAACCTAGTATTTAATTATACAAGTAAAAGGAAATGATACTGCTTTTATACAAGTAGGTATAACAAAAAACTTCATGTTCATCAATTATACAAATAGAAAAAAAACAAAAAAAACAACAGCATTTACTCAAGTAAGAATAGAAACTATTGCATTTAAACTAATAAGTTAACCGAAAACTGCTGACAGAAATTATATCAATTATATTCATTCATAGTAGGGAACATTTTTATATACAGTTGACTCTCGGTAACTCGAAATCCAAATAAATCGTGAAACTGACTAAAGCCACTTTTACGACGTGTTAATAATACATGATGACCGGCAATTAGAATTACTATGAAACGTGTGAATCACAAGTGACAACATCTCACCTTGATGTCTTCGACCTTTGATCAGTTGGTTGTTTTCACACTTTGACTAATTGAGATAAAAATATGTTGGACTTTAATTGACAGGACCAAATTTTCTTTTCGACTAAACAGGCGTCTCGATAAGTCAAAATTTGACCTTAGCGGAGTTAAAATACAAAGATAAAGAAGGAAATTTGACGGGACATTAGAAATTCTTCGACTAACGCGGAATTTTGAGTAAAGCGATTTGACTTATTGAGAGTCAACTGTATATACACCTGTTTTATTGTACAAAATTCAATAATTACCAATATAATATATGTTACAGGGTGGGACCATCAAATGGTTGGTAAAGAAGATGAGAGTGTCACTACAAGATTCATCAAAAGATATGATCCTTTATCAAGAACTTAATCAGCATGTAAATACATTTATATAGTATCTATTTATACAACTTAATTTTAAAGGCGCATTATGCCTCCAAAACAAATATGTTTTTCTTTCTTTAGAAAGGTCACACATAAGTTTTATCACATTTAAATAATAGTTTTAGAGCATGTATGATGCTTATCACCTGAAGAATGTAGCGGTGAATATGAAAGTATTTGTCATTACCAGATGTAAACAAATGAATATTTTGGCTTTCATACAAAATACTAAATCACAAAACTGTACTAATTGCCAAAGAGCAAACAGATGCAAAAAATGGTTCAGGTAATTGACCAATAAAGAACTTTTTGGAAACTATAACAGAACCATAGGAATAAAATGTTTTGATAAATAAAAATAAAACCATTTTTTAGACATAATTGAGATTGAATTTGTACCCTTCTTTGAATTTGGAACAGTCCATTTCAAGATTTAAGGGATTTCAAGATTGAAATAAAAAAAATTGAGATACATGTTTTTGTGTACATGTCCTATGTTTTACATCATTTTTCACAGTCTTGTACCTTTCTAGCTTCTTCAAATTGAGCTTTTAATAAAAATAATGATTGTGGTTGCAGGTATCCGATCATCTGATGGCAGGCATAGAGGAGATTGTAGGCATGTCAGGAAAATATCTTTTGAGGGTACGTATAGATTTTAGAAAACATTAAAAGTCAAAGATCTTGATTTATTGTCGTTTTAATATTAACAAATTATCAAGAACTCTCAAGATGGTATGTATTGATTCACATTATGTATTATTTGAATGTAGCTATATTCTGTATATGTGTATTGACTGGTGGCCATATAATGCAAAATAAAAGTATTAAAGACTGTGCCGATAACCCCCATCCCCCCCCCCCCCCAAAAAAAAAAAAAAAAAAAATAAATAAATTGTAATGTATTGCAATTTAATCTTGGCTTTTCAAGCAGTATTAATTGGGGAAATCCTGCTCACCATTAACATTGGTGCAACATATTGTTAAAGCAGGTCCACTGAGGTAAAAAAAGTCTAAAAATATAAAATTTGAAATTCTTATGTATGAATATCTGAAACTGCAGAATGCTAAACCATGTAGATTTGATTAAAGTTTCAAAGAAACATTAAGTTGATGAATTATTGTTTTCATTGTAGTTATGGCGGCAGTAGACATGCAATGGTATCATGAAAGTATTTATAAAGATGTCTAGTTTTTGGTTTTTGTGTTACAGGAAAAGTTTGACCGTTTAGATGATCGTTTTATCAGACCATTTTTACTCAGGGACCCAACAAAGTGTGATGGGATTGAGATTAGTAACTATTATGAGAAACTTGTGATGAAGTAAGTATTTGTCTACATAAAATCACAAGTCTTGTTGGTTAAATAAGGCGCCAGTTAAGTGTAAAGTACGGATGAAATCTAGTTTAGTGGACTCTGAAATGATCAATTGTGCACCTGTTTCCCTCATTTTGCTGTTATCTCGTTTTAAATTTTGTCATAGTTTTAGAAATATATATACAGTGGAACCTGTCTAATCCGAACTCGTCCGGACCAGAAGAAAAGTTCGGATTAGAAAGGTTTCCGGACTAGAAAGGTTTCCGAATTAGAAGGTTTTTTAACATGTTTTTTTCATGTTATTTGCAATATAGTTTGAGGAAAGAAAACGGGAATGCATTTGAAATTGCAATTTAGATATTTAATTTTTGCAGTCTCTTATCGTTCATTTTAATACATGTACATGCAGTGAATACAAAAATAAAGAAATAAAAAAATAAATCAATAAGCAAAAATATTATGTCCTCAAGGGTAAGTTAACCTACGATGTTAAACAGGAGGCCAAGACATGATTTGATATTCGTACCAGCATTTGTCAATTGTTGTTTACTCGTATCCGATTGTTAAAAAGATGTGTTGTTGATTCAGCGACTATCCGAATTCACTGACAGTTTTCATTAATTTTCATTACTTAATCACGTATCATTACATCCTATACAAAGGATTTAAAGATATTTCTATTGCATTATATCAAAATATTTATAGAAGCTGACGAAAAACAATCAATTAAGCAATTATAGAAGATATCAACGCAAGCTAAGTGTAATTTTCACACCTTCGCAGATCATACGTTTCACCCATTAATCAAGCGAAATAACACCTATCAGTTTGGTGTATGTTTGTCCTGTAATATGTGCGATTATTTGTTATTTTGAATGAAGGTGTGACATTTGGCAAAATCTGTTCGGATCCGAGAGGTAAATTTTAGAGTAAAATAAGAACAAAAATAGAAAAAATCGTCCGGAATTCGGAGTAGACAGGTTCCGGATCCGAAAGGTTTTTTACTATTGAAAATAGAACGAATAAAATCGGGACCGGACACTTCGTTCGGATAAGAAAGGATTCCGGATTAGAAGGGTTCGGATTAGCAAGGCTCCACTGTATATGTAAAACAGTCGGTGTATTAACATTGAGTTTCATTTTCCCGCCAAAAAATGTGATGTTATGGTTTGACCTGATGTGCATTATATGATGTCACATAACTCTGGTAATTTAAGCTTTTAAGAGAAAAGCCTATATAAGTAACTAATTGATATGAAAAATTAATGATAGAAATATTTTGATACGCAATAACATGTATATAGCCTGAAGAAGATGTGACATGGGCTTGTTATTTTTTAACTGTCTATTTTCAATTAAAGACATTTTAATATCAAAATGCAGAAATTTAGAAGCCAAAAGGACAGAGTTATGTCAGACCTGGGCCTGCTTGGCTTTGAATCCATGATATCAAAGATATTTCAGTTTCAAGAAGCCAAATACATGTATTAATAGCCATTTGTATAGAGTTTTATGAGACCATATAGATGTGCAGGCTTCTCTTTGAATCCTTGGTATAAGGGAAGTCTGGTAAACTGATATTTTACCTGGTATGTAATGACTATTTTATCATATCATTGTCACTTTGTACTTAAAACCCATTTTATTTTTTATCTTTTTTTCAGGGAACATTACAAAAATCTGCGACTATGTGGTGTGTCAAATCTACCAAGGGTAGAATCAGATTTGTAAGTACTTTTTCTTGACATGGAATCAGGAGTTGTTAATTATTAGCTCTGTGGTAAAATACAATACAACATTTTTTGACTGATTGACCTCTATTAAATAAATGTTTATGGACAGAATAGGGCATATAATATCAGAAATGTAAGAGTTAAGTATGTGATTTTTTATTTGCAGCAAAATTCTTTAATTATAATATGAAAAAAATTACAAAGAATTAAAGATTTTCTTTTGTATCTTTTCATATCTAAAATGAAGGACTTCTAAGCTTAGATGGATTATAAATTGGGAAATATTGAGAAATTGGTAATAACTGGTTAGTTATCCAGGAATGCATGTTAGGTGGATCGACAGACGAGACATTGGTTTTAAATTGGCATAAAATCTAGATAAACAAACAGAATGCATGTTATTATTAATGATTATATGATAATTTATCCTAGTTATTTTATATATTTGCAGACGGCAGATAGACAGCTCTGTGTGTTTGAAGGGAATGGATGACGAATATGAACAACGAGCACTGGAGAGAGATGGTAAATATTTTATACTTTTAATACATTTTACCATACTTACTTTATTTAGAGTGTAAAATGTTAATTTATTTTTACAGTCATCTGTTCAATCCCTTTATTTCCTTGCATGGGCATAATGTCATTTTAAATTAAATGTACAATTGGTACTGTATTATAGTATATAATGATGTTTGGGCGACTTTAAGGTAAGTGTGCAGTAACATATATAGATGAGCCATAAGAATGGATTAAAATCACGTGTATGTGTTTTGTTGTGTTTACAGAAGAGATAGAGATGAGGAGGCATCGTTTAGTGTCACAAAAATCAATGAAGGAGGCCGAGGGACCGGAGGGCATCGATTTGAAGAAACTGTTTAGAAGTGCCATGGTGTCTTCAAGACAGGTATAAATTGTACAATAATGTATCATATGATATTAGCTCTTACCCTGCTGGGACAATCAAGTGATATTTATAAAGCCTTTGCCACCAGTATAGTGCCATGCCAGCCTGACGTGCATTCTGACCAGGTTATGTACTGTTGACTTGGCGTAAGTGAATGAGTGGTTAAGGTCGTTGTCTTATAACCACTTGCCCTTCACTGTTGTTCGTTTGAGTCATGACAGGGACTTTGGATTCTTTCATGTAAGCTAACCAGCTATACTGTGTTGGTGTGACATAAAACCCAACAAAAAAAAATATATACTGTTGACTGAGGCTTTTTTAAAATTTCTATTTTGAATTTCCAAAAATTTGTAATGGACGGTATCATAAATAGAAACTGGACAAGTCCATATTAGAAATTCAGCAGGCAGAGGGCTAATATACTTGTATATTACTGAAAGTTTGACAGTACTCTTGCTACAATAAATTTTGTAAAAACTGTTTCTGTGAAGAATGTTTTGTTTTCTCGCATCTTTTCATCTTTAAGAAGTTATATGTATTTTACTCTTCAGCATGGCAAAATATCAAAGTCTTTATGCTTTTATGTTATAGTTAAAGGAACTCCACTGAGGTACAAAACTCAAAAAACATAAAATTTGTAATTCTTACATGTTGAATTGAGCCAGTTAAAACAGAAAAATATGAAGAAAAAAAATAAGATTTATACTTAAAATAAGTCTAAATTTATTGTTTTTTTGTGTGTGTGCAATTCTGAGCTTGATTTAAGTTTCAAAGCATAAAAGCATTTTTCATTATTGAGTCATTTTATACAATGAAAATGATTATTCTTGAATAACCAGTTCAGCTAATAATATTAAAATTTGTACACAAGTTTTTGGTCCAAACCTTTATTAAATGATACAGAAATCTTGAAAAAAATTCCTCAGTCAATATGTCAAAAAACTTCAGTGGAGTCCCTTTAAGTAATTTGCTTTTCTTTTCTTTGTAAGGAAGTTAAGTTAATATGTAAAATAGTTATAATTTGATAATTGATTTTGTATTATTGGTTCTTTTTGTATGAATTTCTTTTATGGGGCAGGGATTTGGTGTTATATGACAACATCATTGGGGCTGAACTTTATGTTATATGACAACATCATGGGAGTGGGCTGGGTGTTCTATGACTACATTATTGGAGCAGGGGCTTGTTGTTGTATGACAACATCATGAGGGTGGGGCTTGGTATTCTATGACAACATCATTGGGGCAGGGATTTGTGTTCTATTACAACATCATTGGAGTGGGGCTTGGTGTTCTATGACATCATTGGGGCAGGGATTTGTGTTCTATGACAACATCATTGGAGTGGGGCTTGGTGTTCTATGACATCATTGGGGCAGGGATTTGTGTTCTATGACAACATCATTGGAGTGGGGCTTGGTGTTCTATGACATCATGGGTGTGGGGCTTGGTGTTCTATGACAACATCATGGGTGTGGGGCTTGGTGTTCTGTGACAACATCATGGGAGCGGGTGTTGGTGTTCTGTGTCAGCATCATGGGGGCAGGGCTTGGTATTTAAGACATCATTGGGGGCAGGGCTTGGCAAAGATGGTTGTTACTTGTCTAAATGAAGAAAATAAAGAGTTGCAACCATTTTTTGCATCAAAATTTGTAGATTCGGTCTTTGTTTTTACAGAATAAACAATGTCTTAATGTTTTTGTATTCATATTTTTTAGTTTGAAAATGTAAGTATATCCCATATAATTATTAGCCAGAACTTACACCTTAAATTGGAATTTTAGATGATAAATTTCCTGTGGGTGATACATGTAGATTGAAAAAAATGTGTGTGTTGTTTAAAGGAAAAAATTCTATTTTGGTTTGGAGAGTGAAATTTTAAGTACACTGTATGGTATAAGTCAGTCAATATGAATATTGAGTTTTTCATTGAAAATTTTGATAAATATTGAGTTTTTTTACAGAAACTGTTGGTTAATATTCAAATTTTCATGGAAGACTTCATGAATATATAGATAATTACACAGAATGTTCTGTTGAAAAATCAGATTTTTACAGAAGTGTTTGGTGAATAATAAGTTTTTTGTTGAAAACTTTGTTGAGAAATCGATTATCATGAAAAGCAAAATTGGTGATTTGCTTTCAAATTTTCATGTAAAACTTTTGTGAATAATCTAATTTTAATTGGAAACTTTGGTGAAAAGGTCATTGAAGAATTTCATTCTGGACTTTAAAAGGTTAAAGTTACACACACACATTTTTTAGAATAGAAAAAAAATAACATCTCATTAGCATCTCCAACTTATTTTAGAGAAAACTTGATGCTATTTTAGGATAATAAATTTAGATCAGCTATTTAAAGATTTGACATGAAATTGTCACAATTCACTTAATTTTTATGCCCCAGGGCATATAGTAATTGAACCGTCCGTCCGTCTGTCCGTACGAGGTTAACCTAGAACGGCAAGTTGGATTTTTCTTAAGTTCTACCTGTACCAATGGCTTCTTAGTTTACACACTTACTAATCAATACAAAGTACATGATCTGGTCAAGTTACATAACTATGGCTTCCATATTTACCAAGTTATTGCCCTTTTCAGCACTTAGAAAATGAATAATGGTTAACCTAAAACGGCAAGTTGGAAATATCTTAAGTTCTATCTATACTAATGGCTTCATAATTTCCACACTTACTTATCAATACAAAGTACATGATATTGCCAAGTTATATAACTGTGTCATCCATATTTCCCAGTTATTTCCCTTTTTTCACTTTGAAAATAGGGCCTTGTCTAGTTAACCTATTCCGGCAAGTTGGATTTATCGTAAATTTCTCTTAATTGCTTAATTTATTTAATGATATCTTGCATATTTGGTAGGAGGATACCTTTAATGGTTCTCTAATTTTTTGTGGAGTAAGTGGTCTCTAGGGTCAAGGTCAAGGTCACTGGTTTAGAAAATAAATTTAAACATTTTGCTCATACAGCCTTTATTTTTTGGTTGATGTCTTTCATGTTTAATACAAACATGCCAAGGGAGGTCCTCCCTCTTTAGGTATAGTAAGGGGTCATTTGGGTCAAGGTCAATGTCACCAATGTCAAGGTCACCAATGTTAAAAATAGATTTTTTACAGGTGTATTAACCATATTCTATAGACAGATGTCATTTATAATTGATAGGAACATAAAATTTGATGGAGTTAGTGGTCAGTTGGGTCAAGGTCACCAGTGCTAAAAATAGATTTTTACACTTTTGCTCATACAGCCTTTATTTATTGACAGATATATTTCATATTTGGTAGGAAGATAACTTGCATGTTATTCTTACTTTGGATGGAGTTAGGGGTCAGTTGGGTCAAGGTCACAAGTGCTAAAAATAGATTTTTACACTTTTGCCCATACAGCCTTTATTTATTGACAGATTTATTTCATATTTGGTTGGAAGATAACTTGCATGGTATTCTTCCTTTGGATGGAGTTAGGGGTCAGTTTGATCAAGGTCATCAATGCTCAAAATAGATTTTAACATTTTTGCCCATACAGCCTTTATTTATTGACAGGTGTATTTCATATTTGGTAGGAAGATAACTTGCATGATATTCTATAGGTGTCAGTGGGTCAAGGTCAAGGGTGCCAAGTATAGATTTCTTACATTTATATATATTTGATAAAGTTGAATATTTATCACTTCACAAGTCATAGCAATGACTTGGCAACTTATATATTTCACAATTACATAATGCCATGACTCTGTCAAGCTATATAACTTGTGTTTACAATTTTTTGGCAATGTTTCTGTCCATAACTGAGTGAATGGGTCAACATTTTTTTAAATATTGCTACTGACAAGAATCGGAGCCGGGGGCATTTGTGTTTAACAAACACGTTCTTGTTAACCCTTAACCTGCTGGAACCACAAGTGGGAAGCCTTTGCCACTTGTATAAGATCAGGCCAGTCTGCTATGCCAGGCCATGTGGTCTATTCAGACTCTAAACAGTAATGTATGAGTGAAAAAAAAGAGTCCCCAAAATTGATTATGGATAGATCCAGAAATAGAAACTGGGCAAGTCCATTTACACAGGTTGAGGGTTTAATTAAAGAATTGTTGCAGTTTCACATTTAACTGTCAATGTTATTTTCTGATGTAATAAGATAGTTCAACAATTATTTCATGTATTTGTAAACTTAGTAACAACTGAGTCATAGAAATACATTGTATCTAAAAACATTAGCTTCACAAGTTAGTACAAGCTTTTATAGATGCTTTATACTTAGTATTTTTATATATATATAAAAATAAGTTTAAAATTTGTAATTATATGACATATCTCCAATTATTAAAGCTTTTATAATTACCATAAAATTTATGTTTTATGACACATATCTCCAATTATTAAAACTTTTATCATTTCTGTTTCTAGAAAATTTTATTTAATCAGATGTTTGTTTAAGAAACTTTGTGTAGTACATATTTTAAGAAGTTTTTGTTTAATCTCAGGATTACATGGTAAATAGTTATATATACCTTATAATATTTAACTCTAAAATCATGAAGGAAAAGCTTATTCCTAAATGAATATTATACTGCACTGTTTTTTGTAAAATAGAATTTTATTGGACGGTCAAGATTTTTATATTATCCGTATACACTGCTGCTGTAAATCTTTAAATAATTTGTTATATATATTTTTTTAATTTTCCACATAGAAAAGAATTGTGCAGTATACATGTTGTATATTAAACTCACAAATGCATATCAAAGACTTTGACATGATATATGGCCATTTATAAATTGTTGTTTGTTATATGGCTCTTGCCTAATGGCTTGGGTTATATAAACTTATAAACATTTAAAGTAGGCCATATAATCTGTCAAAAGTTTCTGTAACTTGTAATTTACTAATAATGTAATTTTCTCTCCTAATAATATATACAATGAATGTTTTTAAAATTACTAACATTTTTCTTATGGTATAACTATATTTTGTAAACTAACATCCGCTGCTTTAGCTAATTGAAAAAGTGAATAAAAATGCTTTTTATTATAATGATATTATAATATATAATGAAATGGTAATTTTTAACAAATTTAACAAACAAAATTAATTTTATTGTGTGCTAATGAATTTGTGCAAATTTCCCCTTGCAAGGCCTTTTCCCAGCTTCTTTTCGAAAAGGTCCCTGGCTTAAATTGATGAATATTTTATACAGCATTTTTGAAAATTTGAGAAATTTTTGAAAAAAGGTTGAAAACCACTTAATACATGACTTTTAAGTCAAGTTCATGCGTAATACAGAAGAATCATAATCACTTGTTTTAACAGTTAGATTTTTTTCACTTGACTATTTGAAGAATTATAGTTTTGTCAATTTTACAATAGTTATTTCCATTTTTCACCTATTTCCAAGCATTATTTTTTCTTTGGTCAATGAAAACTTTTTGTGAAATAAATTAAATAATCTGGGAGAGATAACTCTTTTAACTCTTATACTTTCAGAACTGAACGATGCTTTTGCAATTAATAACTAACAATTTTGTTTCTGACATGATACTAACAGTTTTTGATTTAAGTTAAAATGTTTATGCATGATTTTTAAAAATTTGCAATACAAATTAAAAATCATTAAGGGATTCCCCGAATTTAATTCTACTAACAAACCTGCAAAGTGTATTAATCACATGTCCGAAACTTCATTTATATGAACAGATTGTTGTTACAGAAAATTGATTTAGTAACTTTAAATTAGACTACAGTATACAATATATAGTATATTGTAAATAATTAACATTTAATGAATAAATATAACTATGAAATTGTTGTTAATCTACACTTAACTTTAAGCAAACATTAATAATCATTAATTTGGTTTATGTGTTAAAAATAATGTTTATATATTCTTAATTATAAACTTTTATTCATATACATGTACATACAGTATACAATGTATTTTCAGTATAAATTCTACATGTATTTTTATTATAGAGTATGTAACAATATCATAAAGAACAATTGAATCCTCTAACTAACAACAAATTTATGATAATACATGGCAGTCTTGGAAATAATATGATACAAAATTAATTTACATTTAATTTTCATTACTTTAAAGGAACTGCACAGTTACTTTAAAGGAACTCCACTGAGGTCCACAAGCCTAAAAACATAAAATATGATTTCTTACAAAGATCAAATCAGGGGCACTAAAAATAGATAATTTAAAAATATTCTCAGAATTAAATTGAAAATCATATTTTTGTGCTGTTCTTAGCCCAATTTCAGGTCAATTTAGGCCATTTTTCACAATTAGAATAATTATTATTCTGGAAAAATGGAGTGAGCAAATGATCTGAAATTTTGCGCACAAGTTATTGGTATAGACCTACATCAAATGGTACATTAATCTTAAAAATTTATATCCAGTCCCGTCATGTAAAAAAAAACTTCAGTGGAGTCCCTTTAATGTGTGGAATTTCGTTGTAAAGTCATCCAGTGCAAATCATATTGACAACTTGATAATTATTAAATTGTAAATTAAAATACATTAAAGTGAATATGCACCCTTTCGTATGAATGGATTATTTTATTGATTCTGATATCTTTAAAACTTAACTATCATGGATTACAAAATTATTTCTTTAGAATGCAAGAAATTGTAGACATACCTGTAGTTTTTTGATGAACTGGTATGATGTCTGATTTACCTTTTTAGAATTATCGAAACCAATTATCATTTAAGTATTGACATGGTTTAAAGAAATTAACATTTAACTTCTATTTTTTAACAGAGAACTGGCTTGCATTATCACGACAAGAACTTTGTGACTGACGAGCGACGTAACATGGTTAGTCATCTCCGACACAAGTACAAGAAAAATCAACGACTAAGCAATTTCACACCGAAAGTACAACGAGCCTTGTCATGGGACGAGGACAAAACAGACTTGGCGACAAGACGTTCGTCGGACTTGAAACTTAACCTGCGCGCAGGACGAGCAAAGACTGTCGATTATTCGCCGCTTCAATCAGTCAGTTCAGATAAGGTGTCATCACCGCCTGTATTTGGCTTAGAAGATACTGTTTTCGAAGTGGAAGATGAACAACAAGAGGGAAAACCGTTACTTACAAACAATAACAAAACTGCAGCAAACGTAGTTAAAAATCATGAAAATGAGCATAAACATGTGACATTCCAAAAGCAGGATGAGATGGGTAACTCTGTAGTGCCACAAAATATCAAGGCAGTAAACCATAATGAAAACATTGAGGGGGCCGTGAATAGACCAGGGCCGTCGCGGTCCCAATCATCGCAACATTCGGCTCATCTCTTAAGACAAGACGCTATGAAAGATCCCGATTCAAATGTTGAAATTCAAATGCAAGATTTAGGAAAAGATAGTAAGGAGATGCCCAATAGGCAGATGTCGGTGTAACTTTTAAAATATTTCTTATATTCTTACAGTAAGCTATATTCATATATTTTTATGGTAGATGATATAACATTTATATCATTCACTAACTATCACTTTTGAATATTGGTGATTTATAAATGGATATTACACAGCTTAAGTTTCTAATATTTATCAGTCAAAGAATTTATGACGAGAAAACAAGCCATTAGGGCTTATAAATAGCAATATCTATGTGTCCGATTTGTTTGTCAAAATTTGTTATTGATTATTGTTGCCCTTAACAGGTGAGCGTTCAACATCGCATGTGGTGCTCTTGTTTCAAACCAATATTTGGGTTATACAAAATGTTGAAAAGTCTTGATACATTAATGCTGTCCAAGAAATGGGAAAGGGGCGAAAGTGCACAGCCTTGACTATTCACAGATAAACATTACTGTAGACCATATATTGTCATATTATACTATATTATTTAATCACATACCCATATCGATTTTGCAACTCCTTAAAAATGTTATTGCACAGCCATGCATATATTTTGATGTGACGTCATTTATGTTATACAAACATAGTGTAAAGACAAGCTACACTTTAGGCGCATCATTGAAAAATGATTGTTTTGCACTTTACTTTAAACAGTCTTTATTTTAGGTATGTGATAAACAGAATACTGTATTTGTGTAGGTTCATTACTGAATTTATTGAACTCGTTGAATAAAATTATATCATGCTCGCCAGAGGCTCGTATAATATGATTTTATTCAACTTGTTCAATAAATTCAGTATTAAACTTACACTCATTCAATATCCTCTATTTAGTCAAGGTTAAGTGTATTAAGCACTTCGAGGACTTACCAGAGAAAAGTGCAGACATATTCTACTAGTATTTAGAGCGGTGTCAGCACATAGAATTTGTGTACTATGTACACTTCATTATTAACTTCTGTTTTAGTTTTGATATTGAAATCCCTCTAACTGAAAATGGACTGTTCCAAATTCAAATTAAGACTACACCAGGGTATTAGGGTTATTTCAACTCTAGTCCAAAATAAATGACCTATGTGCTGTTAAAGTTCATGTTAATGTTTTGCCTAGAAATAAGTATACACAACAAAGCAAAGTCTTATTTATTAGGACTGTTCCAATTCCATCATTACTTTAAGTTGCATTTGTATTTTGTTTTCACATTTACTATCAAAGTAAGTTGTTGGAAGTGATATGTATAAGTAACATGTAGTTGTTATTTGTGTAAATAATGTTAATGTTATATATGTATTATTTTTTTAATAGCTGTCTTTTGTTGTTTTAAATTGTTTTTAGTTTAGCAATATATTTTTGAGAAAATTATGTTTTTATTTTACATAATTCTTTTCACTTCGTGCCAGTGTATCTGTTAGTATCACATTTTGGTTAACATCTTTTTGTATCATCTCACTCTTTCATGGATGCCATCGTGCCATTAAAGGCCCATTTTGCCTCAGAATTAAAGATAAGTCCATGGTCATACATTCAGCTCTTTATGTTTTCATTTGTTTTAAAGTTTTTATTTTGCAAGAATTCTACTCCCTATATACATGTATAAATGTCCCACTTTATATTGACAGTTCATCTTTAAAGCTGCATTCAGCTTTTATTTTCAGTTGGGAAAACAATTCTGCATTGTTTCAAAGTATTAAAGTATTCCAGTAATTTTCTCTTGGAAAAGTGCATCATATTCAAATTAAACCCTTTTCAAAACAGCGTCCCAAAAGCTTATTATAAAGCATCAGTGACGCTCATTTCTTGAATTAGAAGATCTGGAATGAAATCGTCTGCTTTAATAATTTAAATATAGAGAGGGTACCATTAGATTACAGGTATGAAGGGGTTTCTTGATTGTTAATGTTTTAAATCGTGAGCAGATTTTCTTTTACATCCTCCTTTTTATACGCCCGTTTGAAAAACGGGACGTATTATGTGAACGCCCCTGGCGGTCGGGCGGGCGGCGTCCAATTTTGTCCGGAGCATATCTCCTACATGTATGGAGGGATTTTAATGAAACTTCATAGAAATGTTCACCACTATGAGGAGCAGTGTCACGCACATGAACCAGGTCTCTAGGTCAAAGGTCAAGGTCACACATAGAGCTCATTGAAAAACGCTTGTCCGGAGCAAAACTTCCACATGCATAGAGGGATTTCAATATAACTTGGCACAAATGTTCACCATTGTGAGGCGGAGTGTAGCGCACGAAATTCAGGTCCCTGCAGCCAAGGTCAAGGTCACACATAGAGGTCAAAGTTTAGATAAAAATATGAAGATGTGTATAGGGACGATTTAATCATCATTTATTGAGGGATTGTAACACAAATGGTCATTATCATGACTACGGCTGTGACACATGTACTTTAGGTCAATATATGCAAGGTCAAGGTCACTAAAGATGGTGAAATATCCAGATTTTGTCTGGAGCATATCTCCTACATGTATGGAAGAATTTTTTGTAATACTTTATGGAAATGTTCACCACCATGATATGTATTGCTCCATGCATGATCCAGGTCTCCAGGTCAAAGGTCAAGGTCACACTTAGAGCTCATTGAAAAACGCTTGTCCGGAGCAAAAATTCTACATTCATAAGGGGATTTCAATATAACTTGGCACAAATGTTCACCATTGTGAGGCTGAGTGTTGCACGCAAAATTCAGATCCCTGCGACCAAAGTCAAGGTTACACATAGAGGTCAAAGTTCAGATAAAAATTTGAAGATGTGTATACGGACCATTTAGTCAACATTTAATGATGGATTGTAGCACAAATGGTCATTATCATGACTACAGGTGTGACACATTTAATTTAGGTTAATATTTGCAAGGTCAAGGTCACTGGAGATGATTAAATATCCAGATGTTGTCCGGAGCATATTTTCTACATGTATGGAGGAATTTTAATGTTACTTTATAGAATTGTTCACCACCATGAGATGTAGTGCCCTGCACATGAACCAAGTCTCTAAGTCAAAGGTGAAGGTCACAGTTAGAGCTCATAGAAAAACGCTTGTCTGGAGCAAAACTTCTACATGCATAAAGGGATTTCAATATAATTTGGCACAAATGTTCATCATTGTGAGGCTGAGTGCCGTGCATAAAATTCAGGTCCCTGCGACCAAGGTCAAGGTCACACATCCTGTGCATATCTTCCCTACTGATTTGTTTTAAGGTTCATTTAACAACACAGTGCCAAGAATAAAAACTTGCTTGCTTGCATTATCCATAATGCCCCCATCTCCATCTAAAGCTTTCATAAACGGGCGTATTTTTTTATTTGACAATTGTATGAAATTTATCTAAAATTATATTTAATCATTAGAAAAGCTGAAGGTCACTTTAAGACTTTACAACCATATTCCTTGTAACGTTTTTTTTGTCAACTTAAAATACTTGGTATGCAAAATAAATATTTGTTTTATTATTTATATATACATTGTATTCATTGAGTAATAATGTTATCATATTATATCTATTTCTTATAAATTCCCTGTGAATTTTTTTAAATTTCTACTTAATATTTGTTTTTAGGAAAAAAATGGTGTTTTTTTCTACTTTTTTTGACATAGCTAGGGTGGAAACAGTTATTGTACTGAACAATTTTAAATGTCAGCATTAGTAATAACTTAAATTACTTAAAAGATAGATTAGAGTGGTACGGTAAGCTCCATAGGTTCACGGTTGGACTGTGAATTGGGTGACCTGGGTTCGATACCTGGCGGTTTTTGTTGTGATTGATCATGAATAATCAGAATATTTGCACACAATTAAGTTATTGGTCCATGGCCTTTTAAAATGGTACAAAAATCTTGAAAAAAATTTTCAAGGGTAATTTCAAGAAACCTCAATGAATGCCGTTACAGAATGCCGTTGGTTCCTATCTCAGCTGCCCGTTTGTGCCTGAAATAATGTAGAGAGGCACCTGAGGTAAACCTGGCGAGTTGCCATATTATGACCTACAGGTATACTGTGTTGGTGTGATGTTAATCCCAGCTGAAAAAAGGGTCCCTCTTAAACTGTTTTACGTTTTAAGTTTAAAGAATTTGATGTAAAATATGCATACCTGTTGCCTTACAGTTTACTTTGTAAATATTTTGTTGCATGTATAGATTATGAAAATAAGCAATATACGCTGTTCACAAATCAATGTTTTAAGGACATTCATTTGCAAATTTAATTTGTTTTCACTGAAAAGATCTCACTTAATTTAACTTGGTGTAAAGTAAGAAATCCATTTTTTCGATATTTTATTTGTTTTAAAATGTCAATGTTATATCAATAGTGGTATATAGTTTTGAGAAAAAGTCATCTTTTTAATTGATTTTTTTTCCAATGACTAAAATGTTACTTGTTTTGTGTTTATAGTGTTACCTGATTTCATTATGATAATGTACATTTATACCTCTGTTGCCTAAACATTCCTATATATTTTTTTTCTACATTATTATAATATTGTTTTTCTTGTTAGCTGAATGAGATTCTTTGATTTAATGATTTAAGGACTTTTCAGCTCCTGGACGTTTCGGCCCCTGGACGTTTGGGCCTCACTTGACAAATCAAGCTGTAATAACATAGGTTACAATGTCAAACAGGTTACAATGTCAAACAGGTATACTGATTAATCCCTGCAGTAGACAATACAATATAAGAAAAAAGTAGCCGAAAAGACCAGTGCCAAAATGTCTAAGGGGTGAAAAGACCAAGGCCGAAACATCCAGGAGGTGAAACGTTGAGGTACAGACTTAATGATATAATCATTATGGTTACTTATATTTTTGGGGTAGTTTAAAGCAATTTATGAATATAATTGCATGTGCAAAGGCATTAATTGTATTTACTTATTTTTAAATTACAAGCTACAGCAATATATTTGACAAAACTATCACATTAAGCTATTATACTGCATCATATATATTGAAAACATAAAAATGTGAAAAGTGCTGTAGCAAACTTTAATAAACATATTATTTTCCATGTAAAGAATTGTTATAGCAAACTTTAATAAACATATTATTTTCCATTTTTCTGTTGTAATTTTATTTTGAATGATTTGTAGAACAATAATTACCATATTTTTCTTCAAGTGACTGACATGTAAAAATATCAATAGAGCAGCTGAGATATGAAATACTTTTCATTTTATCTTAAAATGTTGGGTCTATTTATTGTATGTTGGGTTTATTTATTGTATGTTGGGTTTATTTATTGTCCTCCCACGGATCCCAATAGGCGAGCATTCGATTTGTGATACAGGGAATGTTGGTTGGATCCTTTGGCGAGGCAAACTTTTTCTTGTGACAATTTATCTCATACATTGAGTCTAATGCCTATTTGTCTGTCATCGCTGATTCTGAAATCATGCCGGGAAAAGTAGATAATTATCTGGTTTACTGGTTAACTGGTTAATCATCCAGGAAAGCTGGCTCGGTTCTGGGATGACTGTCTAGATATAGACAAAAATGTGTTAAAATTAGCCTTAAAAACACTTGAATTGTCGGCTGTAATATTATACGAATTAGTATAAATATATTATACTATTATCAATCTAATTATCAGATATTTAAGTATCATTATTAGCTTGGGTTTCTCAAAGAAGAAAATAGCTATTGCTATAGTCATGGTGGTGTTGATGTTGCCGTCAAAGAAAAATTACTGTGTGTCATAATTTTTTTTATTGCTTAATGCATGTGTAATGGATTGCATTCAAACTTGGAGAGACAAGACCTTCAAATTGAACAGACTGAACTTGACCTTCACCTTTAAGAGACCTTGAAATTCAAGGTCAAAATTTTGAATTTTGCTATATAGCTACACGTGTATACACAATATTAGCTAAAATTGGCTTTAACTTTTTTATTTATGATTGGATTGTTATCATCATTTGAAATTCAGACATTAATGGTTTTTTTACTATAATAAAATCCTCTGATGTGTTAAGAAATTAGAAAAAGTCGAGCATGGCCCGCTAGGCCTTGGCTCTTATTTTATACATTAGTATACTTTGTATGCTGTTGAAATATCATGTTCAATATTGGAAACCTGTTTATATCTGAATAAAGTAATGTTATATTGAAGCAGTCTACATTATACTTAAAAAACAGTGTCAATGGAAATTATCCTCCAGAACGGATATAATATATACAATTATCACCAATAGATGGTGCAGAAAATCTGTTACATGACTGATTCGAATTTATGATATGACATGTTCCAAATCATAAACATTATGTTATACATGTATTGCAAATATTAATAAAATATATTAAACTGTTGAACATATTTCATTTTATTTGGTTCAGTTTTGAATTGATCTCAGATTGAATTGAGTCTAATGGTCATTTGTACATTGTATCTCACCACTGATTCTGAAATTATTTTGGGATTACTTACTAGTCCATCACTTGCAGGGAAATTGATAATAACTGGTTAGTTATCCAATAAAATCGATAAGGTAAATTAACCCGCCAAGATATTACCAAAACGTTATTAAAATCGGCATAAAAATAGATAAACAAAATAGTCACATATATAACACATGTAGGGGGCCATTGACCATTTTACTTTGCTTTACATGCATGTAGATGGAGAAATACATCGCGCAACCTATCTGCAAATTGTTTATATCAAGGAGTGAGCACTTGAGAAGAACCACCATCTTTTTTAACTTAGAAAGAATGATTTGAATCAGCTACTTTAACTTGTAGGTCCATAACAGAGTCTGCAGTTTTCATTTGCATTCAGATATACTGCATATAAATACATTTGCACTGGGCTGTGGAGCTAAAAATGCGTTAAAATCCAAATACATTGTGTACATGTATTGTATATTTTCCAATCCCAGCACATATATACTTGTCACATGTATCAATAAAACTTTATTTAAGCTGTTTGTGCAAAAGATATCATATTTCATCGTCAACATGTATATGTGCTGTGTCTGTGGAAAAAGATATGTGTACTTTGCCGTTTTCATGATTATTTTGTGGTTATAAAAAATCACTCGCATAATATTATATATACTGAAACAAAAAATAAACTTTCTCCAAGTTTGAATGTAGATATGTTAGTACAGTTTTTCAATCCTTTTGAAACTCGATTTTTACGTTGAATAAACATATCGGGCTTTTAGACAAGGATTAGCTGACCTATTTTGCAAACAAAACAAGTTTTACAAGCTACTACATGTATATAAGTATGTACATCTAAGTGGTACCCTTGAACAACTGGCACATACTTTGCGAAAGTTTCTTTTTTGGTTCAGTATACATTATATTGTTAAACTGCAGATAAAAAATGTCTATATTCAAACACAAAAGGAACTCACAAACAACCAAAAAATAGTCAATTCAAACAACCAAAAAATAGTCAATTAAATAAACATTTATTTGAAACTCCTTTGCAAAACCGAGATCTATGCAGTGCTTTAATTGATGGGCGGATGGACCCTCATTCTGCATAGAGTAAATGAAAATACAGACATACATACATTCATTACTCATGAGAGTTTTTATGCTCCCCGAAAAGATTTCGGGGAGCATTTAGTCGCGCCATGTCTGTCCGTGCGTTGTCTTGTCCGGAGCATAACTTGAAAACCCTTGGAGATAAAATTTTGTTTAAACTTCATACAGTGGTAGAGGGCATTAAGGGGGAGTGCAGTGTCAAAGAACCATAACTCTATTTTGCCCGGTTTTTGAATTATCTCCCCTTATAGAAAAATCTTGTCCAGGACATAACTCTAAAACTATATGTGATATCAACATGAAACTTTGTAGGTAGATATATCTCAATGGGTAGATGTGCAGTGCACAAGAATCATTACTCTGTCTTGCCTTATTTTGGAGTTATTGTCCTTTGTTTATTTTTACTTTTTGAACTTTGTCTGGGAAATTACTCTAAAATTATAAGATATATCATTATGAAACTTTGTTGGTGAGTAAAAGTGCAGTACAAAAAACATAACTCTGTTTTGCCTAATATTGTAATTATCTCCCCTTTTAAAAAAATCTTGTCTGGAAAATAACTACAAGAGATATCATCATGAAATATTGTAGGTAGATGGATCACTAGTTAGATCACAACGGTTAGATGTGCAGTGCACAAAAACTTGAACTCTGTCTTGCCAAATTTTGTAGTAATTGCCCTTTGTTCATTTTACATTTTGAAGTTGTCCAGGACATCACTAAAACCATAAGAGATATCAACAAGAAACTTTGTAGGTTGATAGATTACATTGATTAGAAGTGCAGTGCAAAGAACAGTTACTCTGCCTTGCCTATTTTTGGAATTATTGCACTTTGAACTTTTTCCAGGGACATAACTCTGAAACTACAAGAGGTGTACTTTCCTGTGTCCAAAACCTATTTTGGGAGCATCACCCGGCTCAAACCGGGCTCTTGTTGTAATATTGGTCAATAATAAACATTAACTCATTATTCATAAACATATCGTGGCACAGAGGTGACATGTGTCTTCTTTTATTTATCTCGTGCTTACGTGCTTTATGTCATGGATACCAGATAATTAAGTGGTGCACATGAGATACTATATCATGGCCACAAGTTACTAAGACGTGCACGTGAGATAATTAGCTCGTGGGCACGAGATACTATGTCGTGGGCAAGAGTTACTAAGTTTTGGGAATGAGATAATTAAGTTGTGTGCACGAGATATTAAAATGTATGACATGGGCACGAGTTACTAATCCGTGACCAAGTGATAATTTAGTCCTGGGCACAAGATGTCTTAGCCATGATTTACTAAGGCGTGCGCACGAGATAATGTGTCACGGCCACTTAGATATCCTAATTACAAGTTTTAAAAACTTATGAGAAATAAAATTCTTATTTGTTCTTTGTATAAAAACCTTATTAGAAGTTTTAAAGTTCATTTTTTTAACTTTATGGTTCAAAGCTCTTGTTAGGGCTACCAAAGTCCTAATGGTGACTTCCTTTATAAAATCTATAATATTAATATAACCTCTCTTAATTGGACTATTAAGAGTTATAAAGTTGTAATTAGGTTTATGTCTCCTACTTATTAGTTAAAATTCTTAATTAGTTGCAACTGGGAGTAAGAATTTAAAGTTGTAGTAATGTATTTAACTTTGGTTTAGGAGTATGAAAGTCCTAATGCAGCTTTTATAGCTCCTAATTATAAGAGAGGAGATCCTAATTAGGCTACTAAAACTCCTAAACAGAAGTGAGAAAGTCCTAATTTGGCATTTAAAACTACTAATTGCGAATAAGTAAAAGTGCTTTTTTAAGAACATTAAGATTTTGTGCCAGACTATTCCGTACCAAATTATTTTTGGAAATGTATTAATTTTATTAGAGATTTTCGACCATGCGACCACATACATGCATCGAGGACATTTTGTATAGGAAGTGACCGTGCGACCACATACACGCATCACAGGAATCCCTTTCTCCTTCGAGAAAGGGACAAAGTTGTCCATCCTCTTACTAAAGGGCAGACTTGAAAATCATGCCATTTCCTTATTCTTGATAAGGAGGCGAATTTTTACTGACATGTTTTGAATTTGTTTATATACAACAAATATAACGCAAACCAATTGGGTTATCAGTTTGGTCATTTTTAACTTTGCTATGAAATTTTCAAAAGAGCATATATAATTTCTTGGGAAAATTTGAGTTAACAGTTTTTTTCTACTTTTAATTATGTGTATATAATAGAATTAGTTTATATTTTTCCCAACAAAAACGTTTTATATGCAGTAAATATGGGAGACAATTCGAGATATATTTCACACTTAGTTTGCAAATATTAACCCTGCGGCATTTTTGTCAATGTACGCATTTAATTTCTATATTTTAATAGAAGAGGTAATGTGATGGGCTGCAAGAAATACGGCAGATTAAACTTGAGCAGCAGACAATTCTGACACTGGTAAGACTGTTTTACTTTTCAAGCTCTAAAGAAATGTCTATTAATCTTGAAGAAGTTGAAAACGTGAATTCCTAAAGTTGAAATCATGAATTCGTGGAGATGAAATCGCGAAATCGTGACGTTGAAAACATGAATTCTTAAAGTTAGATTCATGAAGATGAAATCGTGAATTCGTTAAGTTGAAATCGTTAAACCACGAAGTTAAAATTGTTAATTCAGGAAGTTTATGAAGTTGAAACGTCCCCAGCACTCTTTCGTAAATCATACATACATATATAGGAAAATCTGGCCGTAATGAAAATTGTTTTGTCTTGTAAAAAAAGTTTTTTTTTCAATGCAATGCACCTTTCGCATTAACATCTTTTCTGTCATGAGAAACATATTACGACTGGTGGTTTGAAGCCTCAGTTTTGAATAAATGTACGATATGAATAAAAAAGATGAGAAAAGATTGAGTTTTGTTTTCTGTCACAATGTTAGCCACTTTCCGAACATTGTTCTGTCATCATAGGCAGCCTCGGACCCCGCCCCCCCCCCCAACAACAATAACAAAAAACTAACAAACATACAGCCATCAGTCATTTCTGCCTACAATTACGGTAGCATTTTCACTTCGACCGGGCTAGTCCGGACGCCTGTAACATTCTCCAGAAAAGACACACAGAATTGATATTTTGCATACGTGACCTATTGATGATTGGAACAATTAAATATGTGAAACTGTAATGTGATGTTGGCAAAAATAATACATATAGTTAATTGCATTTTGTACCTGTAATACCGATAGAACCACGGGCAAACATGCTTGTATGTGAAATGCCGGCACAAAATAATAAAAAAAGAAATCTGATTAAAAAGAACTTCTCGGTGTGTTAGAGCCATCTTAATCTGATGTCCTAGCTCGAGTCCACCACATCTGGGTTGCTAAATGTATGTAACAGGCTTTGCTTGCTCGGTTCTGGGGTCATTTGTGGTTATGCATGCATGCATGGTATGCAATTCTTGCTATGCTCGTCAACTAACTGGTCTAGACACGGGAACCAGTAATTTTCTCGTCAAAGCGCTTTAATTGGTTTGTTTCGGCCTTCCCTCGTGCGCTAGGTTAATTACTTTGGATTGCAGTCTGTTCGGGATACACAGCCTTATTCCTCGTAGGAGAACGTTTCCATGCTCTGTTGACTGGGGGCTGCCAGCTGTTGATAACAGTTTTAGCTGCCATCACTGGCACACCTTTGAGTAGTCCACGTGTTATTTTGAAGCGCGGAAATAATGCATGTCAAAACACAATCTTGGGATTGAGCACTTGCCACGTCTTGAAGATTTAATGAACTGGAAACTGCGGGATTTGCAATGAAATTCACGTAATCTTCCGCTATATTTTCTTGCGAGTAATTGTTCACTGGATGTCGAGAACAGTAATCTGCTATCATATCATTTTATTTAACCATAACCCATTACGCGATATACACGCCTTTTAACGCCTTTTTCACCCCCCCCCCCTTTTGTTGTCTCAAATGGTGGAAAAATGCCTTAATAAGGCTCCCAACATTTGTTTTTGTTTGAGAAATGTTGTTTAAAAAAGTGAACACTTTTTCGGCGCGGCCCCCAACCAAAAGATACATCAGGGGGTTGCCAGAAGGGGGATGTGGGGGGTTTGGAAGGAGTGGCAGTCCCCCTCATCGCCAAGAAAATTTTGGACTTGCTAGAGGCTAAAAATGACCCCAGATCATAAGGTAACGTGTAACCAACGCCGAAAAGCATTTGACTCTATCTCAATCCATTGAGAAGTTGCACCACTTTGAAATCAATTTTGATGGAAAAAAATCAACACAAAATAGTGATTTTTTGCAATTTTGAGATGTCCCCTCGTTGCCATGGTAACAGGAAATTTAAGCCTGAGCATATTGTTGCAAAGGCAATGGTCCAGTCAACACTTGTGCCAAGTTTGATTAGTATTGAAGCAGTTTTTTTTATAGTTTTATAGCAATTTGAACTTGTAACGGGGGACTTTTCAATGAAACAGCCATTTTTCACAAAATGCTCATGAAGTAACTGGTTAAACTTTAATTGACAATTTTTGTTTCTGTTATTGGCTATAACTTTTTTATTTATCAATGGATTAACTTCATATTTAGATTCAACATCTTCATTTACAAACACAAATTGTCAAGACCTAAAAGGTTGAGATGACCTTGACCTTAAGCTTTAAATGACCTTGAACGTCAAACGTCAAACTTTGGTTAAGTGGTCATAATTTGTTCTTTATGTACGGGTTTGATTAATAAGTGGATAAAATTATGATCATACGTCTGATAATCATAATGAATGTACAATTATAACCAAATGCGTATTAATGACACCAGGTAGACAATTTGTACTTTCGGCTTTTGCAACCACAATAATAACTTAATACATGTATCTATATAAATTATGTACTGTTTGTTATATATCTGTAAATTTACTTAATTTTTGATTTATTTACTCCTACATATTAGACCCGTTCTGTGTATTCTTACTTTATTTTCCGAAGACTAACGGAAAGGGCCAAAAAGTTGCGATTTGTGCCTATATAAATAAATGTTACGTAACTATCATTGAGTGCTAAATATAGTTGCGCGTTAACATGGGGAACGTTTATATTATTACGTTTTACATTTATTTAATGTGAATTTGAATGTAAGTTATAAAAAACAAGCAAACATAAAATAAAACTATTACAATATTAAAAACGATAAATAGTTTCGCGTTATTTACATAATATTTATGTACAATTAGAGTGATTGGAATGTTTATTACAATCAAAGGTAATCTTATGTCAATATAGAAATGAAGGTTTAAAATATTTTGTGTAAATTTGATTTTTAAGTATTTTATTTTAATCGATGAAATGGTTAACCATTACATCCGTATACATATACATGTACTTTTTGATTGGTCGTTAAATAATATTTATAGCATTTAGAAATAGAAACTAGGGTATAAATGTTATCGTATGACAGAAAATAAATAAAATTCCTCATAATTGTGAGTATCTAAAATCTGCGTTTTTTTCAATCAATATTATCAATGTGTCAAATCAGGCTCTTTTAAATTTGACAGACCCTGGTCAAAACTTGATAAGAGTTACGTGTACTACTTTTAAGTAACTACCACACCCAGGTAAATTTATAATTGGGAAACCTGGTATAACTATGGTGGCTGATTTGTGCCATTCGGGTTTTCGCCCCGCGACCCCGCCAAGCGAAAAGTCGAAAATTAACAAGTTAAAATGGCGGAGCGCGGAGCGAAAACACGCTAATTAGCGACGGCGCGGGGCTAAGTTTGATAAATAAAACTTCGTCCCGCGGGGCGCAGAGTGAGATTAAGGAAATAAAACGGCGCGATCCCGCCAAGCGAAAAGCCGATAATAAAAGTTAAAGGGGGGGGGGGGGGGGGTAGCGGTTCGAAAACCGAAAACACGCTTATTAGCGGGGCCTGCTAATTAGCGTGTTTTCGCTCCACGCCCCGTCGTATTATTTCTTAAATCTTGTCCCGCGCCCCCGCGGGGCGAGTTTTATTTATTAAACTTCGCCCCGCGCCCTCACTTATATAAGCGTGTTTTCGCTCCGCGACCCCGCCGTTTTAACTTGTTAACTTTCGACTTTTCGCTTGGCGGGGTCGCGGGGCGAAACCCGAATGGCACAAATCAGCCACCATATATAACGCATGTCATAGACATATACCTGTCAATCATAAATTTTCGGCTCTTTCCTTGATTTCATAAATTTCAGGGTGATTGGAACAGTGTAATTTAATTTCCAAAGCTAACGTAATATTCAATTTATTCAATTGATAACCCAAACGTCTTACGATGACTTCATGTCAAGATCAGAGTATATAGCGAAATCATGTGAGATTTAGTTTATAATAATATCGAATGATCGAATAATGTATATATACATGCATTTAAAACTGGTTTTCCTGCAGTGAGGTAGATATTTTTTATAGATCTAAAGGTAAATTAGTAGTTTGTATTATTACGTTTTATACTTAATTAAGTTAAAATAAGTACTTTTAGATATATAGTCCCACTTTTAAATAAAATTGTTAAAACTAATATGAAAGTAGGCAAAGCCAATGAACCGGGCATTTAGTTCAATTATTCTTATTTTACATTTTTCGTTTAAATGCACCGCTTCCGTTTTAAATTCGAGATCCTCGGCGATTATTCATAAGCCGGAAAGTTGCGACTATTCAATGATCGGACTACCCCGACGTTTATCATTTAAAATGGCAGTGCCCAACTAGAAATGAAACTGAAAATTTCAATGATAGATAAAGAATTCTATATATTTTGGAATAACTTTTTTTTCCTTTTTAATATAAACGTGAAGTCTAAAGCCGGACAGGTCAAAACCCTGGCCCGTTTCGCGGTCCCGGCCATTGACTTCCCCGTAAAATGGTATATTTTTGTACTGGTTCAACGTTTTTCACGTTGCTCATATTTTGCTCTCATCCAGTGACAAAAAGAAAGAAGAGAATATCTACTGAAAATGCACCAAACAGACAATCAGTAATGAATGCTCATAAGTCATACATACACTGAGTTTCATTTTGTATGTACTATGAAAGCTTTATCCGTAGTATATAGTTTATCCATGCAAATGGTATGGGGTTGGACTATTTAGGGCCGATCATACTTTTGACATGTCTGAACAACGTTTTTGGTGTAACTGTACCATGCAATGAAACCTATCTTGCTAAAAATGGTCACCGGTGTTACCCATGCAGTGCGGGATATTACAAAGTTTCGGATTGTGTCATAGACGGGGAACAGTCAAGATGTAGACCTTGTGGGTACGGGGAATATCTGCCCACGTGTGATGATTCGACACAGTGTAAGGTGTGTGATCTGTTTTGTCATGGAGGACAAGTTGAAATTAAACCATGCACATCAACCAATAACTTAAAATGCCAGTGCAAGGATGGTGACTATTATAAAAAAGACCCACATCGATTTTGTACTAGACATAGAAAATGCATCCCCGGAGAAGGATTAAAGACAAAAGGTTAAAATTGTCTCCAGTTGAGTTTAACCTTTTTTAAAAAAAATTAAAGAGAAATTACTTAATTAAACACATCCTTTTGATGCATTGATGCAAAATACTTGTATGTATATCCACATAAATCATCTGTATGAAGAAATAAAAAGGTTCGTTATTTAAAGATATACTATGCTCAAATTTGATATTAGATATTATTGATAATTGCAACACAGCCTCTTTGTAAATTTATAATTTATATTATTTTGTGATCTTCCTTTTTTTAAAAAAGGTACACCAGATGAGGACACCAAATGCGAACCATGCAAACATGGATTGACGTACTCAGAATCAACCTCATTAGACGCTTGCAAGCCATGTTCATTGTGTAAGCTAACACTGAGCAATTGTAGCGTTACCCAAGATGCCATTTGTGACAACATACCAGAAGTCCCGCCAGACACTAAGTTCATTCCTAAAGGTCATACTATTTTTACGTTTTAGATTAGGCTTGTTTTTAATATTAACCTTTCCTATGATAATAGATATTACTTATGTTGTGGGCATGCCATTTTTGTTTCTTTCATTATAAGTTTGTGCATTTGCTTTGCTTTCGTATGTATATCAATTATATCGGTAAGGTGTCAATTTGCGTCCCTTAGCCAATTCTTTGTAATATGTTTTGTCCTTTCAAAGTGTTTTAGTTCTTTTGATTAACTTTTTCGCAATTCTCGAGAAAAATAAACCATCAGCGATTAATCTGATTTCTGGTCTTTTTTATATAAAACATTGCATTAAATGGCTATGGCTTCATCAAAGTAAAAGAAATTTATTTATTGGCACTCGATGTTTAGTGTACGTGACCGACTTAATATTTTTTGTAGCTATAGTCCAACCAATTCATAAACTAAAATACTAGTATTTATGTTGGAAAAATAAAGTTCCATTCAAAATATTTTGTCATTCACCAATGGGGCATGTTTTGCATATTTGAAAAAATCAACAATAATTAAAATGGTTAAATTTAACAGAAACATTAACTGCTCATTAGTCCAAAATTAAACGCTGAGCAAGTCTACATAGTTGTTAAACAACAAATATGAATGTTTGTCAATGGCATAGGTGACTTAGAAGTCTTTGTATAGTCTTTTTAAAAGTACTTTTATAGAAGAGATCGAAAGCATAATATCTTTTAAAATTATAATCTTATTTTATTCAATGCTTGTTTTGATTGGTTGAAACGATTTTGCTTATTATGCATATGTAGGCATTTTGTTTATGGTTGTAAGGCATCTTTCATTTATTTATAAATACTTTTACAATTATTTGAACACTATATATGCATGCATGCATGATATTGTAGAATTTCTTTATAAATACTTTTACAATCTTTTGAACACTATATATGCATGCATGATATTGTAGATGTTGATGGTAAACCCTGGGTTGTAGTGATCGTAGTAATTTCATTTTCAAGTTCGGTAGTGGTAACAGGTGGTGTTGTCGTCCTACTGTGTGTTAGACGCAGGTAAAGTATACAATGTTCAAAAAGTTTAAACATTAAGCTGTAGCAAACTGTGTTAGGTGTTTAAACATTGTAAGCAAAATATTATTCAGTAAACGGAAGAGTCTTTACAGATTGAAACCTGATTGAAATTACAATTTGTACAGAATGATTTGCCACTTCTCCCGTTACAAACAGAGATTTTTAGCTATTTTTTAAAATTCCTTATGTCCATAAAATAAGATTTGTTACTAACATTTGAAATACATTCTAACTTTCATATAAAAAGCAAACATCTACAATCTATATGTATAGCATTGCTATCAATAAGAAAACGAAAACATATTATAACAAGAAATAACATCTTCAAATCTATATGTATAGCAAAGTGTACATATAGATTTGAAGATGTTATTTCTTGTTATAATATGTTTTCGTTTTCTTATTGATAGCAATGCTTTAAATGAAAATGAAATTGGAAGCTAAATTTTCTGGCATCTTTTCCCGGGTATTTTGACGGATACATCTTATAATTAATATACAAAATCAGATTGTCAAAATTCATTTGTATCTTTCAACTAACTCAAAATTATATGTTGATTCTATGATATGTACAGAGTAACAGTTGACAGTAGTCTGTCGGTAAGTCCGTCTGTACGTCAGAAGACTCCTCAAAAACTATTGAGGAATGGCCAGTACTCGGTCTAGATGTGAATTTCTTCGGTATTTTCCACTTCTATGATTTTTGTCAGAGTAATGAAACATTTTTGTGCTTTTAGTAAAATGTTAAACAGTCTATAAATGTGTTTCAGTCACGTAAGCGTTAAGTTTTGTCCTTTTTCCACTTTGCTATACATATAGATTTGAAGATGTTATTTCTTATTATAATACGTTTTCGTTTTCTTATTGATAGCAATGTCAATAGTTGGTTGTTAACCATCAGAAATAAAAGCTTGAGTGCGCTTGTTGGTCGATATGTCTGTTTAAGGTTATTTGATAATAACTAAAGTTAGGAATGGGATATTGTTAATAAACTTATATATTGCATGCTTTTGTGGTAAACTCGCTTAGCATTGCTTTTAACAGCCCTCTCCTTTACGGTTCAAATTCAAAGGCACTGATACTAAAAAATAGAAAAATAGAAAAATGGATTAAGGACTAAAATTAAATTGAGTAATGTGATCTTATAATCAAAACGTAGTGCATAACAAATATAGACCTTACGTTAGATTGCTTTAAGTCTCAAAATGGTCACAATCAATTCCATTATTAATAAATATGGAACGAATTTGGTCGATAACGAGAGTTTCGATTGAGATATTGTAACCACACAAAGTATATAGCATATTTCTTCCCTAGCAACCCATGCCAGTTTGGATGGGAAATGTAAACCATTTTTTCTTCTATCTGAAATTATAGGGACTCTGTGAATACTGTTTTTAAATAAGAACTAAATTTTCAAAGCTTTCTTTCATATACATGTACATTTATATCCAAGTTAGCTGTGGGGTATTAATCACTCAATGCAATAACCGTTGTGTATTAAACTTGTACAAATACAATGTTGTTTTTAACTAATATGCATTTGTTACACAAATTTAAACAGTTCTTTCAGCATGCAATAACAATGTAGTGCATATTATGTTTTTTCTTTCTTTTTGTTTTCCCCATCAGACGGAATAAAAGATTGTACTCTGATCTAGTAAGAGTGCGAATGTCAAGTCGCACGGTTGATGGACATGTTGACAGTCGAATTCATGGCCAATCAGCTGCCGAAAACTTAGCATTTACTGTGGACGACACGCGTAATCCTAATGTGTCAGGTCCACGAACAAACAATATCAAAAGTCAATCAGATTTAAGAAGAAGCATATCTGATCCTACTTTAGTTAATTATTCAGGTAGTTATTCTTCCTCGATCGGAGCATGTTCAAGTATAGAAACGCGTGAGGAAGGAATTCATATAGCTTCCACAGAATTTGAGAGCCAAAAATCTTTAAAAACAAATGACAATGAAGATATGACGGTAGAACATATTGATGCAGATGACATGGCAGACATCAATGGTGAGACAACAAGGGATATTAGCAAAGTTACCGATTCGTCGATTCAGCGAGATGAAACAAGATCAATTCACGGCCAAACTAATTCAGACACAAATGATATGGAAGAAAAGTCATCAGAAAAGTTTGAGCAGGAACATGCATCTGATAAGCCAGACTTGACTGAACAAGTATTTCAAAGCATTGTTGGTTGTATATCGAGAAAAGAAAATCAAGCGGCGAATGGAACAAGTTACGTGAAAAACAATGATGTGAATTTTAACCAAGCTACATCTGATGTAAGCTTAGACGTTGGTGATGTTGCTCCAAGACATGTTCAACTTGTGCCTCCATCATTAGAAAGCTGTGGGCAAGACGAAGTAAATACAGTATTTCAATGATTTATTTATTACTTTAAATGCTTGCAAATGCAAAATGAACGTCCAGATGATTGTCAAACACCGATTAAATGCATATTAAAACGTACCATGATCACTTTACTAAGTGCCTTTTAGATAAACAATCCAAAAAGAACATAAACTTGTCCTTTTTTGAATTTTAAATTGAAGGAAGAGCAATAATGTATCATGTAAAAGCTCATCAGACACAGAGTAATGAACTATCATTAAATAGATTGTTTGGTTTCACCTTTGTTTACCTCTAATTTTATGATATGCTGAATTTCAGACTGAAACAAAAAGAACTGCGGATACAAATACGACGGAAACTGGGTGTTCCTTCTCATTTGAGACTGTTACTTCATTTGTATCAGACGATAATAGACAATCTGATAATGGAACGCGGATAGATACATGTATATTTTTTTATATATTTTTATAATTTGCAAAAAGAATCTTCAGGTCATATAAGTTGATGTCACTGTATGTGGATGTCTTTATATTAGGTAGAACTTAACTGCGTAAAACTTAGCTTATTAAACTGCAAAAAAACCTGTATCGGGTTTTCATTTTCATTGTGAAATGTAAAAAAATCATAACAAAACTATTTCCTTATATGTGTTTTGCGTTATAAAAAGATGCGTTTAAAAACATTAAAACATGTTTTCATTGAAGTACTCTGGAAGTACAAATGTAAATTGCTAAACCGAAAACTGTAAATTTGGTATGGTCCACTATTGTGTTTTTCGAGCGCTACTTTTATACTACTCTTTCTCTGTCAAATACCGGTGATCATAGAGATTAAATTACAAAAAAAAAAGAATACAATCTGGATTTATTAATATACAATGTTCTTATATTTCTTCTAGTTTGGTTTGAAGTATGCACTTTTCTGTCACTGCAATTCGAATGGAATAAGTTTAAGCAGGTCTACAGGCGGCTTATGGGTACATTTAAGACTATATCTATGTACATATATTACTTATGATTTAGTTGTTAAGAGTTTATACATATCACAACCCAAAATCATTACTATCATGTAAAAGGACATAACATAATGAAAACATTTTATTTGAAACAGCATATATCTTCTAGTAGATTTGAAACTAGACAATACCTTCATGCAATAAATCAATGAAGTTTAAGGGATAAAATGTACTTACTTTTTTAGCGGAGACGAACGGACACAGAATATCAACCATTGATGCGTGCATGGACAACACTCTCCACGAAAACCAAATCCGACAAGAGACAATGTACCAGCTTATGCTTACCTGGAGGAAAGAGAATCCCGGTGGCACAACGCAAAATATCATTGACGCTCTTTCAAAAAGTGGAGAGAAACTTACGTGTGAAAATTTCACGTCGTTTATTGAAAATCTTAAGAAAAGTGATAAGTGACATTAACAAAGAGCTTTTACAGGATATTGACGAAAGACATGTTCGCGGTGAGTTGTCTACAACTATACAAATGTTGACTATGAAGGAAGAATACAAGGATAATTTCGGCAAATGAATAATCTACAGATCAGGGTTCTTAACAATAACAAAGAACGTCGATATACAATTAAAAAAGAGTAAAACAGTAAGAAATAATGCCCATATGAACCAGTTAACAATTCGGAAAATGAAAAAAAGAAGAAAGATATCAAACGATAAAGAAAGAAGAAAAAAAAACAAATGAGAAACAAAATAAAAAAGTGATTCAACACAATGTAATATTTACAATTTCTCATTTTTTATACTAGTATCATGTTTTCCTTGTACAATAGCTGTACTGAATGATTTCCTCGTTGTTGTTACGAAAGTCAGTGTTATGATTTGGCTTAGTTTTTTGGTTATTTTCTATTCCACATATTTTATAACTGCAGGTAATCAGTCAATGTTAATCTGATCAAAATTCGTTGATGTATTTTTCATTTGACTTTATGTCTTGTAGGCTTTTTTATGTATAAGTATAATGTCATGCAGTAGCCTTAGATGTTAAATCATTTTTTTTAATTTCAAAATTAACCAATAATATGTCATCATGGGCTTATAAGCCTTATATATTTGAAATTAAACTATGTCAACATCTTTGTTATGCTGTAATATAATCACTCACTAATAATACAACATTGATAATAAACTTCTTTGTGAACTTTTGTTTATTGGTTTGAATTGATTTGTAGACAATGTCTGTTCAAAAGCGTTAGCTTGTTTCTATTGATCCCAATTCTGAACGCGTTATATTTTTAATGCATTACTTTGTTTTTCTAAACACTAAAACAGTATTTACTAATTTAAAATGGCATTTGACTTTTATATCAAGTTCTCCGTATTCATAATATTGATTTTAATGTTATTAATTTCACCATAGGTTCATATGTACTAGATAGGTGTTTGCTTTAGTAGACAAAAGATGAACAGAGTTTACAATTATTATAAATAAGTTGGGGTTCAACTCGCCGATTATGTAGGTTTCCCTTTAGATCATTTGATATATTTCAATGTTATTTGAATATGTTGTGAAATTTGCTTCAATGTAAATTATCAAACACTATAGTTACATTAATTGTTAATTGTTTTAATTTACTTTATTATGCTCAATATATGTATAGTTTGTTGACACGTGTATTAGCTATAACAAGTCTCTTGTAATTCTTTCGAGAATGGCTATATACAATTTCAATGTTTTAAATGTTTTATATGAATATATGTGTATATATGAGACTATAATAAAGAATAAAATAAAATAATGTGTTGTTGATGGGACAAAAGAGATTAAAATAAATATTGAACATGTTGAAGCTTAATCAAAAGCTTCCAAAACAATGACACCTTTACTTGCCATAACTAGAGCATTGATATTCTTTTATGTGGCCCAGTGTTAACCCCATTGCGAACTATATATACATGTATTTAGCGGAATAATTGAGAGAAAAAAACAACCACAACCATAAAAACCCCCAGACCCGATGATACAGCTTTTTGGGAATATTATTGTATGATTTTACCAGAAATAGTTTTAAGGAATTTCATAAATACATATGGTTTACTCAAAAAGAAACATAAAGACATATTCCTACGACGACTGGACAGTTCCTTAAACTCTATCCGCCTAACGATTTGTTCGTTTCTTATTTCCTTGCAGTATCATTTAAACTAATGCTCAATAAAATAACATGTAAATCATATAACTTTCTCTGAAAAAATATCACTCCGATTAAACGCATCTGTTACATGTTTTTTTCAAGGTGGGTGGGGAATATTCATGCTAGAGTAATGAAATTTGTCACACATGATGTGGTGATAATAAGTAACAAATGTTTGAGGCTTGAAGTAGATACCTTAAGAAATGAAGGAGTTTTTTTGTAAAGATATTGTCTGACATAAATTTTAAGTTTAAAGAGGGGGTGAGTTAATTCTGAAAAATAGTGGGTTATTTCTGAAAAATAGAGGAGAGTCACAAATATTGTGGGTGATGAAACGGAACATATATTTGAAGTTTCAAGAAGATACCTTAGCAAATAGAGACGACACAGGAAAAAAGACAACACCTAAGTTGATGGGAAGAGAATTCTGAAAATAGTACTTCTAGAGTTATTAACCTTGTGGTTGATGATAAGAAACATATGTTTGAAGATTGAAGTTGATACCTTTATAAACTTTATATTAATGCAACAAAGGCAGGTTGTATTTTTTGGTAAATTATTACAAGATTTAGTAAGAAAAACATCATGTACCTCAAGAATATAAAAAGCTTATTTTATATAATCTACTTTGTAAACATCTAGATTTTACAACACAAATGTTCGGATTAATACTAAGAAAGTAAAAACAGTACATTATTAATATACAATGTACTTATTGATTTGGTTGTAGAAACCGAAAGTACACAAGTCAAACTTTTGACATTTATTCGGATTTGTTTATAATTGAAAAACAATTTGCATCTTTAAATTGATCATGATGCTTTAGTAGCATTTACGGTATGCATCATGTAGTAAATAAAACAATGTCTCAATGTTGTGGTAGGGTGTGGGTTTTGTTTTGTTACTGATTTTTCTTCAATTATTTTCCCTTTTGTATTTGCCTTTGCTTTTCGCGCAATTAAGTTTAACTTTACGTACGGATGTAAGTTGTATAAAATTATAATATTATAGTGGTAATAGATTTTAGTGATTACGAAATCGTTTATAATATTCAAACTTTTTTCAAATCTGAAAGATCATTGTAACCATAAAACTGACTTTGATAATTTATTCTCAGTTCATTGGAATCTATTTATTATACGTTACATTCTGAATTAATGTTTTATGGGATTAATTCTTTTATGACATACATTGTCGTATATGCAAATTAATCCTGATAAGCTTATTCCGTTCTGTATATAACGCCATATAGTTTTGTTATTTCCTTTTTAATACATGTATGTCTACGGATGACCACGAACGCAGAATATATTAGTGAAAATGTTAATGTTTTAATGTGTTCATTCAACTAATAGCCATCTTACTTTAAGTATATATTTATATTTAAATGATATCATGAAGTTCGGCCGGTATAAGATATAAATAGAAAATTAGAACATTTTTATAGCTAAAGATAGACATGATATAATTACATTGATATATACGCATGCGCTGTATTACAACGAGTACGTGTTATATAGATATTTAAACGACGCAAATATTAAAGTATATCACTTCAACCGCTGGATTTTCCAAATAAGAAAACTTCTTTCTTACATATTTAAGGAAGGTTTTTACAAAGGTATATATTTGATTGTTTTTACACTCAATTTCAGACACAATCTGATGTATATTGTATATAAATAATTTTAAACGAATACTCAGCAAATTTGTCTAGGTTATAAACAGAATGATTGGACTAAATCAGCATTTTTTCTTAATGCTTTTAACACAATGTCGAAAGTAAAAATGAAATGTTCTGAATTAAATGTTCTTTAAATCAAATTATTGATAAATTATAACAAACATAATATTTTAGGAATCTAGAGAGACTTTAGAAGAATGGCGCTCCCTAACGGTCCGATGGAGATTGTATTTTCCTTTGACACAACCGGAAGTATGTTCAGATGCATAGAGGAAGTTCGTGGCAAAGTCTCTGACATGATACAGCGTTTGCAAGCAGATATACCGGGTATTAAAATAGCTATATTTGCACATGGCGACTATTGTGACAAGGAAACCGCTTACGTCACAAAATTCATGGACTTTACTGATGACGTCGCTAAGGCCGTTGATTTTGTAAAAAATGCAAAATATACTTTTGGTGGTGGAGACGGAGGAGAGTGCTATGAATTAGTTTTGCACGAGGTCCGGACTAAACTGTCCTGGACACCAGGTTCTCAGAGGGCACTTGTTTTATTTGGTGATGACCGTCCACACGAACCAAATTTCCCCCAAAATAAGTTAAAAATTGACTGGAGTAAGGAAGCTGACTGTCTGGCATCGATTGGCGTTCGAATATACTCTGTTCAATGCGATGACTATCACAAAGCAGATTACTTTTACGAAGGCATTGCTCAAAAAACTGATGGTCAGCATCTCAGATTGAAAGATTTAAAAAATCTTTTTGACGTTCTGATGACAGTTTGCTATAGGGAAAGGGGTGATGATCTTTTTCATAACTATGAAAAAGAAGTTCGTTCGAGAGATGGCAAGGTTCACAAGGATTTAGATACATTATTTGGTGTCTTACGAAAACAATCATCAAATGCATCCACGTCTGTTGGTATGTCGACTCAGGTGGTATCAAAATCGAAACGCAATACAACATCAAAAGTCATTAAGAAGACTAAAACACCTGCAACTTCTTTGAAGCAGAAGATATTAACTTTAAAGAAACAAAGAAGAGTTAAATCACCAATTTTAAAGCCAGGCATATCTGGAGTCTCAAAACGCGGTATGTCAGCTAAAATGAAATTATTAATGAAGAAACAAATGAGAAAAATATCGACTGTTACAAAATTCAAAAGGTACGAGGAGAAATACTTACCGAAATTACGTCGGGAAAATGTTCCTTGGAGTAACTTTGTCTTACGAGAAATGCAGTGGTCTCCTTGGAAAATTGCTATTGCACCAGATAAACAGAAACATCTGAAAATTACGTGTGCCCGGAAAGGAAACGGGTGTGGCTACAGAGCTGAGAAAATTTTCATGGGCAAAACCCAAGTACCAGCTTTGTATGAAGTTTCTGTGCAGACGAAATATCGCGCAAAAAGACACATCATGTATCATAAACTGTTATGCAAAGGGTTTCGTTCATTGGAGTCAAACTGGGAAAATCGTTTATTTGGTAATTCGGACATTACTACACAAATTGACAGAGTTGTAAAGAAAGGTTGTTGTGTTTATGTCCGAAGGGTGTTATTAACGAAGCCAAAGATGTTGAATGAGGCTAACAAGTGTCTCATTCGATATGACTATGCTTGGAATAAGGTAAAATCAGAACGGACCGGTCATCGACAAGTTACAAAGAACTCGATTGACATTTCAAAAGAAATGGATATTTCATAATTTATGGCTACTTGTCGAGAAATAAACACCATTACGCTATATGGATTCTGCAGAATTAATTGCAATAATTAGTAACAAATAAAGTGCTTGTTCAACGATCACTCATGCATTTTCGTAGTACTTGAGGCCGCTACAATTTATTAATGGACTGTAAATAGAATACAAATTGGTATATTGGTGGACTTTATAGATACTGTCTATTTAATTTCTAATGAAAATCATTATGTTCATTCACATTTGTTAATTGTACTTTGGAATTTTGCAAATATTTTGTTAAATGTCATATTCTTTGCAGTTTCATTTTATTAGAATAGATAAAATGTCCATCTTAAAATAAAATACGATACTTATATTTAACAAGTTTCTTATTCACATTACATATGCAATAATGTTACCACTCAATTAAGAGAAATAAAGTCCCTATTACATATGATGCATATCTTTGCGATGACTAACCGTTGCATTTTTTTTTCATTATTTATTATTTGTGTTAACCTTCGGTTATATAATTATCATAAATGTTTTTAATCATATATTAACATGAGCTGTATAAATGTGGACGGCTATGAATGTTGAAATATCGATCAAAAGACAACAATGCTTTATCGTACACACAAAGTACACAAAGGGCTTGCTACGTAAATATGTTGAACAATAGAAACTATTGAAGTTATACTGATAGCATTGAATTTAAGCCAACTGAAATATTTTTATAAAAATTATTAAAGGTAAAAATATAATGTTTCCATTACCTAATGCATGGTCGATGCACGAGAGTTGTGTCATTGAATGTCTTTTGTTATTTTACACACATGACTATTGTACGATCGAATAGAATAAATGTACCTTAACAAAATACCTTATGCTCTAATTCGTTACACTCAAACGAGCATAAAACATTTACATTATTTAATAATACACCAACAACAACATACCACAGAGTTTAAAGAGGCTAGAGGGAGTATTTGTAAGCCGTCTCCACTAACCGTTTATTTTCCAAACCAACAAAGACAAAATTCTGGAAATAAATCTACATATCAATTTTTGTTAAGGCAAAAGTCCAAAAAAGCTTTCATATGACTTATAGTAATAAATTTACTAAGCAAATTCATCTGTTGAAATATGCCAATACTTCGTGTAAAAGTAAAGAAATATTAACTCTTCAATATAACTGAATAAGAGAGTTTTGTAAAATTAGAAGATTTTGAAAATGTTCGAAAAGTCAGGTTGCTGCGAGCGGGATACCCAACCCTACTCCAACTTTGGAGGGGAGGTATTGTTGAAGGATGAATTCAGACTCAAAACCAGCGACTCCTTCGAATCTTCCTGGCATAAAACCAAAATGTAGCGGTCTAAAATTTTATGTCATAATGGAATAAAGAAATGAATTTTGAAAATTATAAAAGACAAAGAGACAAAGATAATTTCTCCCTGAAATAAACTCATTTCATGTACATAATTATATGCAAACAGAATAATAATTCACAGTGAATCAAAACGGAATTAAATGAATATGCCTCATCGATTTTGAAAGTCCATGGATATTATTTATTTTTCGATTAAAGACACATGTTTACTTTGCTCCGAGCTGTACATAATCCTGAAATAGAAAACAATTGTAAGAAACATTTACAAAACTTTCTGTATAATATAATTTAAAATATTTCAATATTTTCGGAAATTTCACATCTAAACGGCTTGACAAATAAACCTCGAATGCCCGCTTTACTAATTACAAGAAACTCGTGCACTATTGCCGCCAAAAACATAACTTCCGATTACTTCCTTATAAGGAAATACTTAGTTACGGTGTATGATTCAGATAATAAATACATCTATTTAACCGAATAGCAATGATTTTGTGCATGCACCATTTGGTCTTACCGGAGGAGGAAGGGGGGGTATACTAAAATATATCTTTTATACAATTCCTTTTCAATATCCAAACAATATTAGCTTTATACGCTTTAATTTCAATGTACACGTAAGAAATTAAATGTTCTTTCGTTTCAAATAGAATGGAACGGAACTTGGTGAAACAGTTTTAAATGAAATGATTTTAAATGAATATAAAATATACATTCATTATTATCAATTGTTGGTTTTTCATTTTTTTATTATTTCAATAACAATTTTGTAAAAATGTAAAAAAAGTACTAATCTATTAAAATATTTGTATTCGCTATAGATAAACTAAACTGTCAATACTTTTTTGTAGACATAAGACAGGAAAGGTTTGTCCAACATTTATAAATAATTTTTAGCGCTACCCAAGATGCCATTTGTGACAGCATACCGGAAGTCCCACCAGACACTAAGTTCATTTCTGAAGGTCTTACTATTTTTATTTTTTTATTACGCTTGTTTTTGATACTTACCTTTCCTACAGTTATACATGCTACTTTTGTTGTAGGCATGTAATCTTTGTTTCTATCACTTTAAGTTGGTGCATTTGCTTTCCCTTTGTATATATCAAAGTTATCGGTAAAGTTGCATGTTTGACCCATAGCCAACTCTTTGTTATATATTTTGACCTTTCAAAGTATTTATTTCTTTTGTTTTATTTATTCACAATTCTGGAGAGAAAAAAAAACAGCAATTAATCTAATTTTTTTTTTTATAAAACATTGGACTAAATGGTCATTAATCAAAGTCAAATCATATTTATTTATAATTGACACTCAATGTTTCGTGTACATGACCGACTTAACGTCTTAGTAGTCCAACAAATTCATACACTAAAAATACTAGTATTTGTTTGAGAAAAATGAAGTTCCTTTAACAATCTTTTGTCATTCACCAATGGGGCATGATTTTTGAATGAAGAAGAAGAATTGTATTGCATATTTGAAAAACTAATAGTGATGATAATAGTAAGACTCAAAGTACAACACTTTTATTTTAAAATTAAATGCTGAGCAAGTCTACAAAGTTGTTAAACGTTTGACAATGGCATAGGTGACTTAGAACTAAAGTGTTTGTATAATATTTTATAAATACTTTTTTAGAAGAGATCGAAAGCTAATTTCTTTTAAAATATTAATCTTATTTTATTTAATGCTTGTTTTGATTGGTTAAAAACGATTTTTGCTTATTATGCATGTGTAGGCATTTTGTTTATTGTTTGGCATATTTTTTTTCTTTAAAATACTTTTACAATTATTTTTGAACACTATAAATGCATGCATGATATTGTAGATATTGTTGTCGTCCTATTGTATATTGTATTCTTATGTGGTAACTCGCTTAGCATTGCTTTAAATAGCCCTCTCCTTTACGGTTCAAATTCAAAGGCACTGATACTAAAAATAGAAAAATAGAAGACTGGATTAGGGACGATAACTAAATTGAGGATGTGATCTTATAAAAAACAAATATAGACCTTACGTTAGATTGCTTTAAGGCTCAAAATGGTCAAAATCAATTCCATTATTAATAAATATGGAACGAATTTGGTCGATAACGAGAGTTTCGATTGAGATATTGTCAACATACCAAGTATATATCATGTTCCTTAACCTAGCAGCCCATGCCAGTTGGAATGGGGAAGATAAACTATTTTTTCTTCTATCTGAAATAATAGGGACTCCAAAAGAACTTGCGAATACTGTAATTAATTAAGAACTAAATTTCCAAAGCTTTCTTCCATATACATTTATATCCAAGTTGAATGTGGGGTAGTACTCACCTTTAACGATAGCTTATCTTTATCCGTGGTGTATTAAATATGTACAAATACAATGATGTTGTAGACAAATATGCTTTATTAGAAAGATTTCAAAAGTTCTTTCGACAGTGACATTGTAGCGCATATATGTTTTTTTCTCTTTAGACGGAATACATATTAATTTTTATACTCTGGTGCAGTAAGAATGCGAATGTCAAGTCGCACGGTTGATGGTCATGTTGACAGTCGAATTCATAGCCAATAAGCCGCCGAAAACTTCGCGTTTAATGTGGACGACACGCGTTATCCAGATGTGTCAGGTCATCAAACAAAAAATATCAAAGGTCACTCAGATTTAAGAAGAAGCATATCTGATCCTACTTTAGTTAACAATTCAGGTAGTTATTCTTCCTCAATCGGTGCATGTTCAAGTATAGAAACGCGTGAGGATGGAATTCATATAGCTTCCACAGAATTTGAGAGCCAAAAATCTTTTAAAAACAAATGGCAATGAAGATATGACGGTAGAACATATTGATGCAGATGACATGGCAGACATCAATGGTGAGACAACAAGGGATATCAGCAAAGTTACCAATTTGTCGATTCAGAGAATTGAAACAAGATCAATTTACGGTCAAACTGATTCAGGCACAAATGATATGGAAGAAAAATCATCAGAAAAGTTTGAGCAGGAACATGCATCTGATAAGCCAGACTTGACTGATCAAATATTTTAAAACAATGTTGTATCTAGAAAAGCAAATCATGTGGCGAATGGGACAAGGTATATGGAAAACAATGATGTGAATGTTAATCAAAATACATCTGAAGTAAGCTTAGACGTTGGTTGTGTTACTTCCAGACATGTTCAACTGGTGGCACCATCAGTAGAAAGCTATGGGTAAGACGAAGTAAATACAGTTTTTCAAATGATTTATGTTTGCAAATGCGTCTAGATGATTATCGGACATCGATTAAATGCATATAAAAACGTACTATAATCACTTTACTAAGTGCCTTTTACATAAATAATCAAAATAAAACATAGACATGTCCTTTCTTTGTATTTCAAATTGAATTAGCAATAATGAATCATGAAAAAGTTCATCAGACACAGAGCAATGAACCATCATTAAATATATTGTTTGGTCTCCTCTTTGTTTACCTCAATGGTTATGATATGTTGAATTTCAGACTGAAACAAATGGAACTGAGGATACAAATACGACAGAAACTGGCCGGGTGTTCATCCTCATCGGAAACTGTTACTGACAATAATAGACAATCTGATAATGGGACGTGGATAGCACATGTTTATTTTTTATATTCTTTTAAAATTTGCAACTGCAGAGAAACCTGTAACGGATTTTCATTGTGAAATGTAAAAATAATTTCATAACAAAACTATTTCCTTACATGTGTTTTGCGTTATAAAATGATGGGTTTAAAACATTTAAAAATGTTTTCGTTTAATTACTCTGAAAGTATAAATTAAATGTAAATTGCTACACCGGAAACTGTAAATGTCGCATGGTTCACTATTTTGCTTTACAAGCGGTTTTTTTCAAATACCGGTGATCATGAAGATTATATTACAAAAACAAATTGAATAAAATCTGTATTTATTAATGGACAATGTTCTTACATTTTTTCTAGTTTGGTTTGAAGTATGCACTTTTCTGTCGCTGCAATTCGAATGGAATAAGTTTAAGAAGGTCTACAGGCGGCTTATAGGTACCTTTAAGACTATATCTATGTACATATATTACTAATGATTTAGTTGTTAAGATTTTATTCATATCTATATCTCACAACTCTTAAGCAAAATCATTACTATCATGTAACATGATGTAACATGTAAGGACATAACATTATGAAAACATTTTATTGGAAACAACATATATCTTAGACGTTTTATATACAAAAGATTTGAAACTAGACAATACCTTCATGCAATAACTCAATGAAGTATGGATGAAATGTACGTACTTTTTTAGCGGAGACGGGCGGACACAGAATATCCACCATTATAGACAATACTTTCCAAGAAAACCACGCCCGACAAGAGACAATGTACCATCTTATGCTTGACTGGAGAAAAGTGAATCCCGGTGGCACAACGCAAAATATTGTTGACGCTCTTTCAAAAAATGGAGAGAAACTTACGTGTGAAAATTTCACGTCGTTTATTAAAGATCTTTAGAAAAGAGATAAACGTTTTAGTGACATTATAACAATGAGCTTTTGCAAAATGTTGATGAAAGATAGGTTCGCAGTGAGTTGTCTACAACTATATAAACTATTGACGATGAATGAAATATACAAGGCTAATTTACGTAAATGAATAATCTACAGATTAGGTTTCTTAACACTAAGTAAACAAAGAACGTTGATATACAATTAAAAAAGAGTAAAACATTAAGAAAAATGCCCATTTGAACCAGTTAACATTTCGGAAAATTAAAAAAGAAGAAATATATCGAAAACGACAAAGAAAGAAGAAAGAGCCTTAGAAATAAAATGACCAAAACAATGTTATCTGCAATTTCTCAACTAGTATTATGTATTCCTTGTTCAACATCAGTATTCAGTGACTTCCTCTTTGATGTTACGAAAGCCAGTGTTATAATTTGGCTGTTTATTTTTTTTTTTTGATGACACACATTTTATAACTGCAGTTATACAGTCAATGTTAATCAGATCAAAATTCGTTTATGTATTTTTCATTTCAGTTCATGACATAAATACACATTTATGTCTTATAACAGAACTTACACGTGCTTGTGCCATGTTGTAATATTTAAATCACTTAATTACTAAAAGTACAAACTTGATGTAAACCACTTTTTGAATTTTTTGTTTATTGGTGTGATTTTGTCTGTAGGCAATGTTATTGAATTAGGATTTTTCCATATGCATTGATATTTTGTCATGCTGGAGCTTCGGATGTTAAACAACTTTTTTACACGAAGACAGTGTTTCCAAATGACATGCTATTGTTTTGTTGTTGTTTTTTTATATAAAGTTCTTCGTATTCATAATATTGATTTTAATGCTATTAAAAAGTTCATTTGTGTTTGTTTTCGTAGACAAAAATTAACAGAGATTATAGTTAATATGGAGAAGTTTGATCGCCAATTATGTAGGCTCCCATTTTGGTCATTTGATATGTTGCATTGTAATTTGAATATGTTATAATAAAGTTAAGTTAATGTAAAATATCACATATAATACATGCTTATAACTTTAATTTATTATCTCAATATATGTATACTTTGTTGACATTTGTTGTTGATTGGACGAAATAGTTTAAAATAAATATTGAACATATTGTAGCTTCATTAATAGCTTCCAAAACAATGACGCCTTCACCTGGCATAACTAGTGCTTTTAACATATGCTTTTATGGGCCCAGTACGTGTATACCTCATTGCGACAAGACAAAACACGAGAAAACCCAGAAAACACAAACATACACGCACGCACGCACACACAAAAATATTATACAGCTTTTTGAAAATATTCGTGTATGATTTTACCAGTTATAGTTTTTTTAAAACTTCATAAATACCCGTGATTCACGCAAAATGAAAGATAAAGATATAAGCTTACGACGGGTGGACAGTTCCTTAAACTATATCCGCCTAAAGCTTTGTTTGAGTAAAGCAATATGAGCCGCGTCATGACAAAACCAACATAATGCGTTTGCGACCAGCATGGATCCAGACCAGCCTGCGCATCCGCGATGTCTGATAAGGATCCATGCTGTTCGCTTACAAACCCTATAAAAAGTAGAGAAACTGATAGCGAACATTTTAAATTCAATCTGGAGCAGTTAATTAATAATTATCTACTACACAAACTTTTCTATCTCCAACGTTTCGAGGGGTTTAACCCCTCTTTTTCAAGGAGATTCTGTTTATTTTAACAGTTAATTAATAATTATCAACTACAATATTTTTATTTTTTGAAATAAACAGAAACTCCTTGAAAAAGAGGGGTTTAACCCCTCGAAACGTTGGAGATAGAAAAGTTTGTGTAGTAAATGATAGCGAACAGCATGGATCCTGCTCAGAGTGCTGGTCTGGATCCATGCTGGTCGCAAACCCATTATGTTGGTTTTGTCGTGGCGCATCATATATATCCGTTTCTTATTTCCTTGCAGTATCATTTAAATAAATATTTAATACAAATCGATATTTCAGTTTTTAGTGGAGCGTTAGTTATCAGTAACGAATCGTTATAAAAGGCGAATCACTATTGGTGCGAATCGATAACAAAATTCGGAACATCGCGCAGAGAAGTGCTCAGGAGAACAGTCTGTATCCTTGATACAGGTAAAATGAAACTTTTATGATTAAGCAGTTATTTTTTCTTATTTTTTTTCACAGAGCAAGGTAGAACATTGTCAAATCTATGTTTAACCTATTTATTTATTATTACAAAATATAAATAGATCTTACATTACATATTAGTGCTATAAATAGTTGGAGGAAAAACCTATTCGAGTGTGCTACATTTATCGAATTAGTGAACGTTTATATTATTACAGTTATATCTGTTTTGTGTGATTTTGGATATATGTATTTATCTTACCAGGAAAAAACAACAAGCAGATAAACAACAAACAGTGTTATTTAATTGGAATTTGTATTAGAATCAAAGAGAAAGTAATTCTGTATGAATATAGAAATAAGGTTTGACATATTTTGTATAAAAACTTTAAAGTATTTTATCATGATACATTAAACGCATATTCTCTGGTTGAAAAGGAAATCTTAATCGTTGAATGAAATTAATATCATTTATAAATAAAGGCTTGGTACGATTCAGATAAAAGTAATCAGTCTTATCTAAAATTGAGATTTTACAATTGAAATATTAACATTCTTTCTCAATGTGTCAAACTAAATAAGAGTTAACGTGTACATAATTGAAGCTGGAACAACATATTTTGTAATTTTACGTTCTATATGGGTTGCAGTAGGTTAAATCAATAAGTGGGAAACCTGATATGACGTACATGTCAATCGTATCTACTCGGGTCTCGCCGTCAATAGGGTAGGGAACTTTTACTTGATTTCTAAAATTTCTACTAGTTTAAAAGTACTTCTGAAAATGTTTATCGGTTACTAGCGAGATGAAAGTTAAAGTACGAAACTTACATGATATTTAAATCAGGTACCTATTCTAATCAATCCCAGCATGTAGTGAAATCACGTGAGATTTATATAGGTGATCAAATCTGGATTTCCTGCAGCGTGGTAGATTTGCATTGTATATACATGTATATCTAATTATATAATTTAAAACATTGTACTATACTACGTTTTATACATAGTTGAAATAAGCCCCTATAAATATATACAATGTATTAACTGTATATTTTGTAATTGTTTAATATTTTTTCACATTTCTGGTGTATTCTCTTATCCAGTGACAAAAAAGAAGAAAGAAAATATATACTGAAGAAGCAACCAAAAGGACAAAATTAAACGAAGGTTCATACACAATAATTACGTTTCATTTTGTATGTTCTATGAAAGCTTCATCCGGACTATATCCATGTAAATGATATGGGGTTGGACTATTTAGGGCCAATCATACTTTTTACTTGTCTGAACAACGTTTTTGGTGTAAGTGTACCATGTGGTGAAACATATCTTGCTAAAAATGGTCACCAGTGTTACCCATGCAGTGCGGGATATTATATAGTTTCGGATTGTGTGATAGACGGGGAACAGTCAAGATGTAAACCTTGTGGAAACTGGGAATATCTTCCCAAGTGTGATAATTCAACACAGTGTAAGAAGTGTGATCTGTTTTGTCATGGAGGACAGATTGAAATTAAAGCATGCACACCATCCAGTAACCTACAATGCCAGTGCAAAGATGGTTATTATTGGAAACCGGACCCAGATCGAATTTGTACAAAACATAGGAAATGCAACCCTGGAGAAGGATTAAAGACAAAAGGTATAATAGTTCTTTGACGATTTTTTTTCATTTGACATATAATATGATGTGTAGTAAATGACTGACAAGAGATGAATTCATTTAGTTATTAAATTATATAACAATCTGGTTTTGAAAAGAATTTCTTTTTAATTATAACTGTCGGTGTATGTGATTATTAAAACACGAAGAGTGTTTTTTTAGTAAAAATCTACAGCCATGGGAATATGTTGAGTTCTAGTACACACAGTTTTTATAAAAGGCACATTGAGCCTCAGAAATGTATTACATGGTTCATTTGTACAGATGAAGCAATCCTGTATTTTGTAATGTTTCTGAAACTGACAAACATGAAAATATAAAACAATATTTAACAAATGAAAAATATTATAAAATTCTGAGATAAATGGGCCTGTAACGTTTTCGTTTTGAAGAAGTGGAGAAATGAATTCAAGTAATAAAAGAGCATAGAAACACGAAACTATCTGATTTGTACGAGGGAGCGTAGCCCCCGAGTATTAATCAATTTGCCGAGTGTTTTGATGTTCTTTCTCTTTTGTATCATTGTCAAACATAAAATCACGTTCCCTGATACCATAATATGAAACCCCATGAAAAAGTGACCAATGAACGAGCATCTGAATATGATATTTTTGTCGCTGCACCTTTCTCTGCCGTCACAATAAGTAAACCCCAGCAAATTGAGCCAATTAATGGGCATGCTCTGGAGTGCGGGTAACTGATACCTGCACTCCAGGTAACGCACTGTGCATGTATATGTATACGATTTATCTCTGACACATTTTGAACAGAAAGGTCCCTAAGCTCTGATACAATTTATATACAATGAACGTGTATTTGTATACCTGCTAGTAATTACCTTTATACATTTATGCCTTTTTTCTTTCAAAAGGAACACCATATGATGATACAATATGCGAGCCATGCAAAAACGGCACATCATATTCCAATTTGACTTCATATAACGAATGCACACCATGCTCTGTCTGCAATATAACGCAAAGAAGCTGTAACAATATCCATGATGCTGTTTGTGGCGGCAAACCGGGAGGCACGACGAACACTCCCGAAGGTTGTTTTATATTAATCTTTTTAATTTGTCTGGTGTTTTCTATGGTCATAACAATACATTCATATATTCTGTGTTTATTTCTTCATAACTTAGAACATGTCTTTTTATTAGCTTCGGTATAATGTAGTTTTGTTTTCCTTCATTTCATTATTTGCGATATGATATTTTCCCTTTATACTACTGTCTATTATTATTATTTACACGTACAGCATGGTATGAGTTATCGTCCTATACCCACGGCCGAACCAGTAACCTTGATCCTGTTCCATGTTAATCAACCGTGGGTATCCGACGATAGGCATGAGTAGACTAGTATAAGAAATGCACGAATGCTGTAACATTGTATATACAATTGGGGCACAGTGAGTGCGCTTGGGTAAAATAATACACTGCATTTTTTGTTTATATAGTTATGCTCGTTTTGCATATAATTATGGGCATTTTGTTTAGTGTAATACATGGAATCATCATAACTTTTTAAATGTTGATAATTTAATAATCGTTTCCTTGATGTTGTCTGTACATTTCATTTGCATACTTTATTTTATCTGCATATTTTATTTGCATGATGAATTTTACATGATATTTTTGCATGGTGTATGATAGCTGCTACTTATAAATCCTTGGTGATAGCGTTAGGTGTAGTGGGTGGTGTTATCTTTGTCGTCGTCGTAGTCGTTTTCCTCTGTATCAGACACAGGTAAAGTAAAAACTGAATAATACAGTAATAAACTTGCTAAATTAGTGAACTGGGTTTTGCCTAGCTTTGAATTTGGAAAAGTTCATTTGAAGTGTATGGAATTGCAAGATCAAAATGTACACATTGTGAGCTTAGTACCAATTGTTGCCTGGTCAGACTGCATGGACATGCAGGGCTGACTGATTTTATTCTGGTGGGAGATTTATCATGTTGGTTCCATGAGGGTTATTGTTAAGACTTTCAGAAATGCATAAATATAATGCTAATTATTATTCTTTAAATATTTTTGAAATATCTATTTTAACACCATATTCAAAGAAAGTTAAATTAATAATAATAATGATGATGATAATAATTATGATGATAATAACTATGATGATAATAACAACAATAATAATTACATGTATAAAAATAACAAAACACATGGAATAAACAGATCCATTAGGACAAGAATGTAAGGAAAAAGTTCAATTTATACTTTGTTCTCAAATAAGTTTATGTTTTTAATTTTTTTAATTATCACTGTTTTATCACGAATCACACAATATCCATACCTCTCCTTTCTCAACCTTCGTGCACCCAGTTTGTGGGTGACCCCATTTATATTACCCGTCAATGGCATGAAAGTGGTCGAGGAACATACGATAATCAGCCTTACAATTATAACATACTGTATGGTTAAATAACGATTACATGAATATGTAAATAGTTATCACAAAAAATAAATTTGAGACCATATAAAAATGTTTACTGTTTTAAACAGCGATTTATTCTATATAGAAATGATATCTTAGATACATTAATACTGTCGGAAATTAGTTGAAACAGTAAGTACGTCATTTAATATATTGTTGAATTAAAGAAAAATATTTTAAGATACTGATTTTGTGTGTTGAAAAATGTTGTTTCCCTGAGATAGTATTTACTTGTCCGAGAACGAAAGTTGACAAAGTTGAAAAGCAAGGCAACTCGAAATCATAAACGTTTTGACACGTCATATAAAGTAATACAATACAAAGACAAATTGATTATTATGCTGTATCGTAAATTTTTTTTCATCAAAATCACCGAGTCCAATCGTTCACTATGTTTCCCAGGCGGAGAACGCATGAAGAGATCAATTTTACAGGTGGAAAACCGATACTGTGGTAAGAAAGTTGTCTTCAATTTCTTTGAAAATGCATATTTCACAAAACTTTATAGCCTATTCTGATCTAGTATGACTACTTTATCCGACAGGCATCTCAAACTGGCCATATCTTTGTTAACTTATTAGATCATTATCGACAACTGCACAAGAAAAGTCACAAAATTGACAAAATTGGTAAAATCGCTCTTTGATAGCCAATAACTTGACATCCAAGCAAACTTCTAAACATTTGTATCGCTCTAAAGGTTCTTTATTAACATATCCTCATCCACCAAACGCCTGTTCTATTTCTATTTCGTATTTTTGGAGTATAATATCGTTTAAGCGAATTTTCAAAATGAACGCATGAGCCGAACTTTTCATGTGGTTTCATAGGTTTGCAAAATGAACGCATGAGCAGGTGGTATTTTTAAAAACCCAAGTTTTTCCTAATTATCTAACAAATTTAACATATTCAAGCTTTAAAAAATTCAAATTTTATTTCAAATAAGTGAGAGACACTTTTTTTTACAAATTAAAATATACTTTGTACGCTGCATGTATATATATGCTAATAAGCAAAAGTACGAGGTCTGTTGGGAAAGATCGTGTGAAATTGAAGTAATTCCTCGTTTGTAAGACATATTATCAGCTTTAATAAACAACCTCTTATTGAATTACTTAAACAAATGAATATTGTTTTAATACATAAAACGGAGAGATAACTAAGTCTTGACATGTTGAATAAAATCAACAACTGACGAAATTAAGTTGATTTATATATTAGATTATCTTACATGACACTTTGGAAAAATCCTTGAGTTTTACACGCATTGTAAGTGATTGTTTAACAAAATATGTACTTTGATAATTAAATCATGAATCCTGAATAATTGTATACAACTTTAATAGTCTAATATGATAAACATGATACTCAAATAAATTATCACCAATATTACAAATCTTACATAGATATTATCGAATTTAAAGTTCTGTAAATAAAGGCAGGTAATTTGAAACACATTTTGATAAATACTTTGCCTTTCCTTCATTAAAATAAAAAGTGTATTATTTCTAAAAGAAAAACTTATAATGAACCTTAAAGATTATGTGTTATTTCAACATTTTCTTGTATGTTCATTTTGTTGTAAGGAAGTCGATACTTATATACTTGCTTAAAGATCCTGTATGTTTTTACCCCATGAGCATATTGCGAAAAATGGCCGTTTTCATTGAAAAGCCTCCTGTAACAAGTTCAAACTGCTATGAAACTATGAAAAATTCTTCCTTCAATACTGATGATTCAATACTGATACTCGGCACAAATGTTGACTACACCATAGCCTCTGTAACAGCATGCTCAATCGTTAAATTCCTGTTACCATGGCAACGGGCGGACGTCTCAAAATTTCCAAAAATCACTATTTTGCATTGTTTTTTTTCCCCCATCAAAACTGATTTTAAAGTGTCGCAACTTCTCAATGAATTGAGATAGAGTAAAAGCCTTTAAGTGTCTGTTACTAGTTACCCTAGGATCGACCTCAGGCCATTTTTAAGCCTGTCACATGTCCAAACTTTTCTTGGCGATGAGGGGGATTCCGCCCCCCTTCAAACCCACTCAGGCAACCCCCTGATGTAACATTTGGATGGGGGCGGCGCCGAAAAAGTGGTCACATTTTTAACAACATTTCTCAAACGAAAACCAGTGTTTGGGGCCTATATAGGACATTTTTTCACTGTTTGAGGCCTCAAAAAGTGTTGGGGGCAAAAAGCCGTCGAAACACGCTTATGTAAAGGAAAAGGTTTAGGATGTAACATCCTTGCGAAAGTTGTATATAAAGTCAGTTCTTACCAAAAAAAAAACAGATTTCTAATTATCTCCTTTTATTATCAGAAATTTTGGCAATATCCTTATCAAAAAGGTTTTCTGTAACTTTTAACATTAATAATTCTTTATTTAAGCCAAAGATTTTTCATATAAGAACATAAAATTTTGAGTCACAGGATCTTTAAGTGTATGTTACATATTTAATTATAACATACCATCAACCAATGATGTTGTATTTTGCAAATATTTTACTCAAAGCTTTAGCAATGAGGATTTATTATATTTTCACAGAATCGAACAGACCTTCATCTTATAAGCAATTTGTCATAAGGTATGAAAATAGGAATTCTGTTTGCTCAAACATTCGGAACGAAAATTTTGGAATTTCAAGGTTCAGTGATCGATAACATTTGAGATATCCATGAAAACTGGAGTAACCAAAAAATCCGCCTGCTCATGCGTTCATTTTGCAATCTGATAAAACCACATGAAAAGTTCGGCTCATGCGTTCATTTTGATAATTCGCTTAAACGATATTATACTCCAAAAATACGAAATAGAAATAGAACAGGCGTTTGGTGGATGAGGATATGTTAATAAAGAACCTTTAGAGCGATACAAATGTTTAGAAGTTTGCTTGGATGTCAAGTTATTGGCTATCAAAGAGCGATTTTACCAATTTTGTGACTTTTCTTGTGCAGTTGTCGATAATGATCTAATAAGTTGACAAAGATTTGGCGAGTTTGAGATGCCTGTCGGATAAAGTAATCATACGAGATCAGAATAGGCTATGAAGTTTTGTGAAATATGCATTTTCAAAGAAATTGAATACACTTTTCTTACCACAGTATCGGCTTTCCACCTGTAAAATTGATCTCTTCATGCGTTCTCCGCCTGGGAAACATAGTGAACGATTGGACTTGGTGAAAATGTCAATCAGCATTTAACTTTTTTGGTCACTTCAACGTAATATTTGTTCGAGGAAGTTAATCACATGCAAAGTGCTCTTCGTTATTGATATAATTATATAAAAGCAATTCATGCCCATAAATGCTTATATGTTTCTCAAAAAAGTTTCTTTTTTTGTGTCCTGTTAAAGATTCTACCTGAACTACATTTTGCTTCTATTGCTAATTGACAATAAGTAAAGTTAGAGTCAATAAATGATTTGTATGGAAGTCAAAATACTTACATATACATGTATTTGTTTACATTTTGATACTTTTCTGACAATTATTTTTCAGGACTATGTTCTTCAAACATGCTCTAAAACCATTATTTAAACGCTATGAACTTCACTTAAAGAAATGAAAAGTCATTCTTATCTAAGGCATAGTGTGCCTTTATTTTTTGGCATTGATGGTTAGATTGTATTTGATTTTGCCTTTTGATTAATGTGCATTATTAAATGTGCCGACCAAAATATTCATCTTGCACATGAAAGTTCTAAGCGATGTAAAAGAAATGAAGTAACAAGTGTAATACATGTACTTTTCCTTTTTATTTTACCCACTAGACATAATACTGGCAATGGCAGAGTGCAGACGTCTAGTAATATTAGTAATGGACGTGTAAACATACCTCCAGATAGCCAATCCACCAAAAACTCGGACAAACGTAGTCCAGATGTGACAGGTCGACAACAAAACGGTCTCAATTGTCTAAGAGATGTCAGAAATGACACAAATAATAAGCCTACGTCCAGTAATGAACTGCGAGATGAAGGTGTTTCTAAAAACTCTAAAGAACTGGAAGGAAATCAATCTCTGAAAAATCATGACAAGGACGACGAATGCTGTATTGATATGACAGGCAACAATGTGGCATATAGTTCTGGCAGTAAAGCAGCTGATCCGTCAGTTCAGAAAGGATCATTAAATGGACAAGCTAACGAAGAATGGTCGACTGGGCGAATTACCGCTAATGAGATGAACAAAAACTTTGAAGAAAAGAAATTTGAGCCAGACAGCAAAACTGATAAACCAGATAGTACTGAACAAATATCTTTAAACAATGGCAGTAACATATCTAAAACTGAGGCTCATGATGTAAATGAAATCGGCGCCATAAACAACGACTATAGCAAAGCTAATGGAACTCTATCCCACACGAGCATAGATGCTGCAGGTGTTCCCTCGAGACATGTTCAACCAGAGACGTCATCATTGCAAAGTTCTAGAGATAATAGAGTAAATATATATATTTTTTCTTTATGAACATTCCTGGCATTCAGTATTGCCACAAGTTAAAAGGAACTTTCAGATCTTTATCAGGTACAAATTACAGATTATACTCATATTCTAATACGAACCTTTAAATTTTATAAAAAAAAACACGAACCTGTTCTGTCTCAGCCAGTGGAAATAATTTGTTAATCGCTTATTAAAGTGTTCAAAAATTGTTTTATTTTCACATCGTATTTGTTTGTCTTGCATTTCAGAGAGAAACCAAATTTTATGCAACTGATGATATCAATACGGTTGAAACTGGGTGTATCCCTTTATTGGGAGCTGTAACTTCAGTTCAGTCAGACGGTAATGGACAATCTGATAATGGAAACGGGACAGTTTTATCTGATAAACGTAGGTTATTTATATCATTTACAAAATGCTTTCTTAAGGCGAACCTCTTGAAACCATTTATTGTAGCTTGGTACATGTGGTATGATTTTATTGGAAGGCCAACTATCTTGGGGTCTTAGGCATATCGGCATATCTCTCTAATATGTTTTCAGTGAGATTTGGCGATATATATAATAATATATAATATATCGATTATTGTCAGGGGTTTATTAATTATTTCAGGTAATTAAATGAACAATGTTCATATTTTCATTTTCTTGGACAAAAATGAATGCCGTGGCATACATGTACAAGACCTTTAGAAAGCCACGACACTGTTTATATACTGTTCATGTAATTAACAAACGCTTGGAAGTACAGAGAAACATTTTATTGTAATTGTGGAATTTTAACAATTTATTAGAAAACTTATTCCAAATACATTCTTTATTTTTTGTTTACCCTTCAGGTTGTTATGAAGTGTTTACCTTCATGTCTCAACACTTAAAATGGAACACGTTTTTGAAGTTCTACAGGCGACTTATAGGTAACTATAGGAGTAACTAAATATAACCATGTCTTTTAAAATGCTTCTGCAGACTTGTTTCAGATTCAAAATTAAATTAATACTCGTTTGTTGATACCAATACAAAGGCAACTCCGTCATTAGGTGTTAAAAAATAAAAAGGATTCATAGGTTTATAATATGGGTATTGAATAAGTTGAGATACATTAAGTATGTAATGTTTTTAATTTTTAGCGGACACAGATAGTAAGGCGCTATCAAATGTTGAAGCTGATATTGAGCACACTCGTCAAGAATGTCAGCCTGTCGAAGAGACAATATACCGGCTAATGCATATCTGGAAACAGAGGAACCCTAATGGCACAATGCAAAGTATTGTTGAGGCATTAGACAAATGTGAGGAGAAGCTCATGTGCGAAAAACTAATGTCATTTATAAACAATCTTACAAAAACTGATAAGGTTAATGGTGCTTTAAAGAGTGATATTGTGCCAAACATTGATGAAAGACATGCTCGTGGTGAGCTTTCTACATCTGCACAGACTGTAGACAATGGAGGAATTGTGTAAGGATGTGTTTAGGAAAGAAACCATTCCTTAAACCATGAGCTATATGATATAATAAACTAGAGAGTTCCTGTAAGAAATAATTAAGCTCAAATAAGCCAACCTAGACGTTATTAAGGAAAAAAAAGAAAACAAACAAAATACAAACATATTAAAATAAAAGCCACAAAAGCACCGTATATGCTTGGCAGTTCTTCATTTTCAGTATATTGTATTCGGTGTACACTGTATGTAATTTTCATACATCTGCTAAAATGACACTTAAAAATGTATTTTTTTCAGTTATTTCACATAATTATACAAATTATATGCATAATATATTCGGTTTTGATCTCATTATGTAGATACTGTGTGATTAGATATGATAGACATTGTTTCTTTCTTTTGTGTCAGTTTCCATGCTGAAGTATTAAGAGCCGCGCCATAACAAATCCAACATAATGCGTATGCGACCAGCATGGATCCAGACCAGCCTGTGCATCCACGCAGTCTGATCAGGATCCTTGCTGTTTGCAATCAGTGTCTCCACTTGTTATAGTGTTTGTAAGCGAACAGCATGTATCCTGATCAGCCTGCGTGGATGCACAGGCTGGTCTGGATCCATGCTAGCCGCAAACGCATTATGTTGGTTTTGTCATGGCGCGGCTCTTATTATTATTATTATTAGTAGTAGTAGTATGTTGTGCCAAAGGGAAACTTGAAATTGTCACATATTCTTAATCATCAGCAACTTTGCTGTTGAATTTTACCGTAAAAGCAATATACATTTCGTGTTCTCTCAGCTGGAACAAGGTAGTCTTGCTACCATGTGTTAACAATCTTTTTTACAAACAATTTGTACGATATTTTAAAATATTGCCGCTGAACCTCATATCAAGTTTTTCGATTATTGAATTCTTCCTAGTCTGGTGCTAGTTTGCTTTAGAGATATTTAGTTGTTCTTTGTATATCTAGAATAGTTAGTAAGTTAATTATTATCTTGATATACGTAAATGCTCCCTACTTGAGGGGCCTGCCTTCTGTAGAATGTTTAATATAAGAATAAAGGGTTTAGTAAGGCGACCTTTAATGTTCTATTTTGTTCATTTTATAGATTGTCATCATAATTTGTAAACGCAATCAGGTTAAATTTAATATTTAAGTATTGTTTAAATTCCATTATTTTCTACTAAATATGGGTATTCAGTGTTGATATTCGTTGTTTTTATATAGAGTTTACCAAAATTAGAAATAAATTAATTATTGATATATGTTTAATAGATTGGTTTCTTATCTCTTACTCCCGAAAATTATTGACCCTTTTAATTGTTATAACTAGTACCATAATAATAAGATAAATTAAATCACTGCTCAAGCAACTAAAATAGCAGTAACATATTTTGTTTAAGTGTATAAAAAGAAGCTGTACATCATTTCCCTGTAGTTTTTAAGAAAAACTATTCTTTGCATTTTGAATGCATACTTCCAAAGTAACCTTACGAATGAAATTCATTTGTTTATAATTCACTAAATCATTGCATTTTGTAAAAAAGCATATTAATATTTTGTTCCGGAACATTTTATTCTGTTTCCGTATATCTACACTATTCATTTGTGTTGCTTTACAGAACATTCTTTGCTATAACCCTTTTTAGAATTGATTATAAAATTATGGAAAAAAGGGTAATTTTGCAGTTCATACTTTATAGAAAAAAATGTACGATACTGCTTTAAGTTGCACTTAAAAGAACGTAACGAACTGTACATTTTTGGAAATCACTATCACAAATTCCGACATTTATTTAGCTAAATACCATTTAAAACCACAAAAAAGAAAGATAAAGAAAATATAATCTACTGTCCTTGATCGCTAAGTAAGTCGATATAGTCTAGATCAGTTTTGATTCCATATACATACTTTTTTGTCATTTTGTCATAGACAAAGAAGACAAAGAAGAATTTTTGTCATAGACTTCACAAAGTAGTGATTTAACACGTGCATACTCTAAAAGACGCAATTTGTTATGTATGTATTTATAAACAAGCTTATAGCTGATATTACTACACTTTTTTGTTTAAATCATTGCTGAGAGTTTACAAAATTTAAACAGCAAAAAATACAAAACGTATCTATTTCACTGGAAAAAAAACAACAAAAACAAAAACGACAAAAAACAAACACACACACACAATAACCAACGTTCCTTTAATTGACCTTTAATTGATTTTTCAACAGTTACACGCCTACACTTTATTTACTTTGACAGATATCGTTACAATTATTAACTACCGGCGTACTTCATGACGTAAATAAGGTTTAACGAATTTTAGTCACTATAAATTCGGTACTACAAAGAATGTGTATGCATGATTGCGCGTCTCTAAAATAACATTGATTAACATAAAGTCTATACATTTGTTTATATGCACTTATTGTTAAAAGAAAACGTAGAAACTAACACATGTTGATGTACGTTTTTTAAAACAGACAACTGCATCATCATAAAATTGTTTCGTTGGCATGGTGCGAAATGGACGTACAACTCCTGTGTTTATGAAACAGTGACATAGTATATGTCCTCTTTTTATGCTAAAAGTTGGGATTCCATAAATACGATCAATATTTTGACAAGACACTGACTAGACTGTATGATTGAATGGTACTTAATTTAAAAATAAAAATTAATTCGTTTGGAAATATGTCAAAAATTTGTGATAATTTCATATAAACGAGGTAAGAGAAAACTTTAACTTAAAAAAATAATACATGTATATACATTAACATATACATGTGTGTAAATTATTGCGCAATACTTGTGAAATACCAGTTAAGGTTAAAATGTACTGACAAGTCTTAACGGTAATCAAATTGCTTTAAAACTTGTCAATGCAAAAATATTAATGGCTAGGGCTGTAGTCCAATATAAATTATTTAAGACTTTACAGGCTTGTTATTGTGTATGATGGTCAAGCCCGACGTGTAATAGCTATTGCTCATAAACACATAACAACATAAAAAATGAAAAAATGTCTATTGTCTTGCCTTTTAAGCATTAATCAAACGTTTATCAAAGTTTCTTTCAATTTCATGCTCAGTCAGAATAAAAAATCTCAATTAATGTAGATCTAATTATCAATTTGATATAAAATATAAACAACAATCTATTTTTTCCCTATCCGCCATACTGGTTAAGTACAGCACTTTACAGATTTATTCCAAATTTTTTAACGGAAAATATACAGTCCATGGGTATATATTTCGTTCAAAAATATTTCGGTTTAAACTATTGACGCGTTCAGTTAGTCGGACAGATTTCGCGCGACGGCCATTTGTTTATCGGGTGTATTAGGAGTTGAATAACATAAAAGTATTAAACCATAAGTATTAAAGTTGGAATATAACAGTTTAAATAATTTGTTAAAAGGTATTTCTTTTTTACTGTTGTTCACGAACAGCTCAAACTTAATGTATTTATACGCTTACTTAGTGATTTGTCGTGCTATGGATTTATGGGCATTTTCGATATGACGTTGGTTTGCCATGAAGTAAAAATATCTCAAAACAACGTCATTTGAAAGGTCTAGCTAGGTTCCAGACTACATTCTTTTTCATATTTACACCTGATTTAAAAGATACTTGACATGCTGCAAAAACCAGACGGCAACAATCGTCAAATGTCGGAATAGCCGAGATGTTCTGATTGCAGACGACTATTCTGGTTAATGACGTCATGAAATGAAAAACGCATATGTATGATATTTATAAACACGAAATGCATTGAATTTTGTTTTATACAGATTGCCTTCTATCACATCATGAATATCATATGAAAATAACGACAAAATGTTTAAACTTTGGCTTGGTCCAATTTTGTTTAAGAATAAATGCTTGATCTATTTTGTTTTATATTGGTCAGGCAAAATCAAAGCTATTTATAGTTTATATATAAAGCACATTTGGGAAACCAAGATATTTAGATACTAAGAAAAGTAAGTTTCTTTTACGATTGATTTTTTTTCTTTATTTGTTTTATACAATAGGGAATGGCTACTGTAGTAGTATTCCGTCTCCAAAGGACTGTCCTAATTACCATAAGATCGTGACCGAATCACGCGAACAAGTTAAAATTGCATATGTCTGCGATCGAGTTATATTTAGATCTACTGTCGCAATTCTAATGTGGAGTATTACGTCTGGTGATCGGTAATTTAAAAATAGCCCATGCATATCATTAAACTAACAACGTGCTGATCAGTATATCTGTGATCAATATTTGTTTGTTTTTTTCATTTTACGCCTTTTCCCAACAGTATTTCAGTCATATAGGCGGGTAGTTTCCTGGAGAATTACACCAGTACAAGACTACCTTCCTACGTGCAAAACTACCAGATCATCTCCCGGGGATCGAACCTATGCTAGAGGGGTATCTGGATTAGAATTTATCGACTTTTACCCCTCGACCACGAATAAATAGACTAGTGACATAGATATTTTAAGTGTAACATAGTTGATACATGCATATTAATTGGTGTCACGTAACGAAGTCTTTGAGTGCATTTACTTGTCTTTATAATGCTGCTATTTAAATGAAATTAGCAACTGCCAAAACGAATGACTCTGCGAAAAAAAGAAGGGAAAAATGGAATGTGCACACCTTCCCTTCTGTATGATAGATAGATACTTTTGTTTTCTCCACGTGGGAGACGACAATGTTAGTATTGTTACGATTGATTATTTTGTTTATTAGTTTTATACAATAGAGAATATATTTCAAATCGTTTTTGACCAAAAAATATTCGTTTTTACAAAAAAAAGTTGTTACTGTTATCGTCAGCATGTTTCGGTTCAGTTATAATCAGTGGACTTCTGGTCCTTCTTTTGTCCAAATTTGCATGCATAACACTGGTGGCACAAATGGGCACAGGTGCTCGTTCAGTCTTGGGGTTACCCTACCTACCCCTTTAAAAGTGAAACATTTTTTTTTCGAAAAACAAATTCCTAAATAAACCTTTTATGATATACAAATCATTTTTAAAAAGTGATAATAATTGACCCTCTATACCTGTAAAAACATAGGTACCTTGGTTTTTACTGGTATACAAGGTCAATTTATTATCTTTTTTATAATTATTTTTATCATAAAGAGTTGATTTAGGAGGGTTTAAAAAAAAAAAAATTTTTTAAAGGGATAGGATGATGGCATAACTGGGCAAGCCTTTTCTTTTAAAAGGAAACTTTATTTTGTTTGATATTGGTCAGGCAAAGTCCAAGCTATTTATAGTTTATATGTAAAACAAATTTGGGAAACCAAGATATTTTTAGTCCATGCACGAGTATTGATTATGTATTCTCGTATACATTTATAAATATTTGTTCAGTTTATAACGCAGTATATCATTTGTATTGTTATTTTATAATTGTACAAACAGGTATAGTTCAATTTGTTTTAGAATGTTTTTGTTTTGATGCTTAGTGAATAGCATGTTTATTTGTCGTGTTAACTTAAAAACGTTTAGATTTTCTATTGGTTACTATTTTACCTACTGAATACGAAAATTATAAGCTTAGAGCCAGTCTGACCAGGATCTATACTGTTTGTACCTCAATTTGTGTATCTGATAGTGAATTTCGTTATAAACTTTTTTTTCAAATTTAAAATAAATTTACCATGCTTAATAAAAGGGAGATTACCAAAGAGTAATTATGAAAAATGCAGTCTTGGTTAGAGTTATCGCTAACATTGTTGACATAACAGTATCTGTAACGTTGCGTTTTCTTTTCGTTCCATTAAATCAACGATGTCTTCTAGCTTTCTTCCTTCATGTCACTTATGGGCTTTTGTTTTTATATTTTATAGTTGTTGTGAGTGCAAAAATATGATTGTGTACGCATTCGTACTATTATCACTGATCAGTGGTACAGTAATTGCGATAACACAACCATGTAACGAGACATACGTTGCCGAGAATGGCCACCAGTGTCTCCCATGTGATGCGGGACATCATAAAGTGTCTGACTGTATTACCGATGGCACACAGTCTGAATGTACCAGTTGTATGAGTGGGACGTTTATGCCAAGTTGTGACACTGCTCCGAAGTGTATAACCTGTAGGTTGGATTGTCCTGATAAAAGGCAGGTCAAAGTGAAGACTTGCACGGACGTAAGTGATATAGAATGCCAGTGTGAAATAGGATACTTTTGGAAACCTAGTGTTATTGGTCCAAATCACGGAGAATGCAGGCCGCATCAAAAGTGCAAAGAAGGCCATGGAGTTGTAGCAAAGGGTATGTAACAATTATGAATTTGACTTTTTAGAATCCATACAGTTTAATGTTGTCATGTAACTTTTTTTCTCCATAAAATTTACAGAATCAGTTGCAGAAATCTGAAAATTGTACAAGCTTTTGAGAATCGAGCATAAGTTGCTGCTTAATAAACGAATACATAATTTTTGTTAGTATAGTCTGTTTGAATAAGTAGACGTTGAAAATAGCTTTCCATGTAGAATAATTCATTATTTATGAAAGATATTATTGAATAATGATTTTAAGCTTGCTACTAGATTGTTTGTAACTATATTATGTACACTTGTTTCAACCTGTAAACACTAAATAATGATCTTATACTGAATTGTTTCTTATGGTTGTCAAACGGATTATCTTTTCTTTGGTCAAATTTTATCATTTGAATATTTTTTGATTATTATTCATCACATGTAATGTCTTTTTTAGCTCGACTATTCGATGAGAATAAGTAAAGCTATTGTAGTCACCCGAGTGTCGGCGTCGCCGTTGGCGTCCGCGTCGGCGTAACCACTTATGTTAAAGTTTTTGTAATACCTCAAATATTTTCAAAGGCCATTGACATATGGCTTTGAAACTTTGCAGTCTTGTTCACCATCATGACCCCAACCTGTAGACAGGGGGAGGTAACGGTATCAAGCATTTTGACAGAATTATGTCCATTGACATATGGCTTTGAAACAAGTTGAAATTTTATACTTTTCTTTGAGAGCATAATAGGACTCTCTCCAAGGCCTATATCTGTAATATGGATTTAAAGAAATTTTTTACCTTTTCTTTACTTAGCAAATTTTACATTATCAAGGCTTTTTTACTATCAAGCACTAAGAATAGTCGAGCGTTGCTGTCCTACCGACAGCTCTTGTTTAAATCGTCAAAAAGGTTTCATTTTGTGCTTTATTTTGAAGGTACACCATACGCCGATACCAAGTGTTTGCCATGTGAAAATGGATTTACTTACTCTAACAGTTCGTCCTTTGATTCCTGCAAACCGTGCTTGTCTTGCAACACCTTTATAGAGACACAATGCACAGCTTTTAATAATACTGTTTGCAGAGAACAGCAGCCCAAACCACAAAACGAGAAGTCTTCCGATGGTCTAGGTTTGTGTTTGGTTGCAATAAATTACGTTTTTCCCATAGATTATTAGTATATTTTTTAACGTTTTTTTTGTTGTTCTGATTTAGAGTTTATTAGCACTATAAATTGTGTTTGCAACAGCATGTCAATGTATACGAATGGCAACGCATATCGTCTATTTGTCATCTTTATTTGATTCCTAACGATATTTCTCTAAAATATTTTGCTTAGTTTTCAATTGTAGTACATTGTAAGGAAGTTGGGTAAAGAATGCACTATTTATGCAAAACATATCATTTAAATCTAAAGACAAAGATCACGTTTTTACAGTTATAGTGTTAAATACCGTATATCAGGTTATTTTCGCGTTAGGCAAATTTCGCGACTCCGGCAGTAATATAATTTTAGCAAATCTATTTCTCGAGATTTTGCTTTGCACAAATAACGTCTTTTCTGACCCCTCTTTTTGTCACAGATTAATCGTTTTCACAGAAATTCACGAAATCCCAATATTAATTGAAGGCGACTTACTCGATTCTATTTTTCGCGATATTCATTGCACGCGAATATAGCGAACATTAGATACTCGTGAAAAAACCCTGATATACGGGTTTCAATATAGCGAATAGGAAATAACAAATAAATGCATGAGTTTTGTTTCAAATTTTTTTCCTCGGATTTAGCATAAATCATATATCATGAAGTTTTAAAATTACCTATTGAAATATAGTTATAGAAAAATAAACAAAAAGCAATATATGCTTTTCTAGTATCATTATATCCAGCGACAACCATTACTAAAAAGATAAGCTTTATCAAGATTATTGTACGGGTAACAAAGCTTAAAATGTTTTTGTTTTTTTTGGCATATTAATGCATTGATTTACTAAGTGTTACTCTTTTGACCCATCGCGATCTTGCATATAATATATTATATGTACGGTATAGAGCATTGGTATGGTTACTGCTTATGTATACAAATAATGCAATAGAAGATACACTAGCTAAATGATAAATGTACCCTACCATCACAGCCGATTTGTCTTCCCCACTTTATAAAATTACCAAATATAGGAAATTTTCAAGATCGTCAGAGCTTGTGTCAATTATAAATGATATATTGTAAAGAGTCATCATTTGAAAAATATGATAACAAATTAGGATTTTATTGATAAGGATCCCTATGTAAAGCCTGATACTTAGTGTTACATTACTTAAATAAGTATTTTAATACACCTAAATCTATTGCAAATGGTAATTCTGTGTAGCAGATACTTTATAAATTAGATAATATCACTATTTTAAGCAAGTGACATTTTTGATATAGTTACATTTGGCCAATTGTTTAAGAAATGATATATCGTAAACAGTGATTTTATAGCTATCGGCCTTCGTGATTGTATAATTATTTTCCTGCGCCTTTGAACTCGAACCTTGCATAATTCTACAACAATGCACTCAGAATTGACATATTTTTAATAATTCCATCAGCGCCGCTGAATAAAGGATGCGTTTGGCTTAAGGTTTTGATTTAGAAATGGTTATGGGATATGTGTATACTACTTCCGCTGTTAGACTAATCTATTGTATGTTTTATAATCACTGGTTGTTGTTTATTATTTATGCATGGTTTTGTTTACTTTTCTTCTCTAGAACCCGGTGTTATTGTGGGAATAGTAGTTGCGGTAGTTATCGTAACATTAGCAATGCTAGCTGTTCCCATATGTATTCGTGTTAGAAGGTATAAGGCTGTTCCATCAATTTATCTTTAAAGCATATTTTCTTTTCTAGAAATAACATAAGTTAATTGCATCGGCTTAAACAAATATAACTCATAAAATACCTTTTTTATTTTACATATTATCATATATTTTTATATACGAGGGTTTTTTTTAAAAGATGATATAAAACTTCTATCGAATCAAAACAAATTTGCATTTGAAATCTATTCATGACTGTGTAAATTCAATTATACATGTATTTTCCACTTTATATGCAAAATTTCATACAGTTTATAATATTGAAATTAAAACTAGTTCTTCTGAAAGCCATCTTTCTGTAATTATTCCTGAATTTATAACTACATCTGATTACTTTTAAGGTACAGGAACAACTTGGAAAATGAAAAGACAGGAAATGTTGAGCAGGGACTTGGCAATGACTTTAGTCAGACTCATGTTGATACAAATAACACCGGACCTGGTCGTAGTTTTAGTCTCTCTCGTGATACAACAACAAATCACAATACAAATGGCGAGAAAGCATCTGGTGAAAGACAAAACGATCCAGCTAAAAATGGCACCGATTCATTCATTATAAACCAAGCATTCGATTCAGACTCAGAAGATAATTTGGAAATGGAAAAAAGTAAAGGCCAAGATGAAGTCATATTTCAACTGAAAACAGAAAATTCTTCGTCAAAACAATCAAAGTCAAGCTGTGCATATACCAAAGAGATAAAGAGAACTTTAGAACATAAAAATGATGAAAATCCTGACGAATTGTCTTCCAATCAAAGTGATTGTTGTTCCATTCATTCAAAAGAACCATGTCGAAACAAAGGAATGCAAGTGAGTAATTCCGAAAAAGACTCAGATGATAAAAACAGTTTATCTAATGACACCGATTTATCAATTGATGCTTCCGCACTGGCACCTCGCACTCTGCCACCAGAAGAAGATGAAGAAAGATACAGTAATCAACCGGAAGAAGCTGGATTTGATGGCATGGTAAGCTTCATTTAGCTTAAAAGTCATAATGAAAAATATATGGGATACAAGTATAGTTATCATAAATCATCAAAAAATATTTAAAAAATGTTATACATAGTACACTTTTATACACGACAAAAATGCATTGTTTATCAATTTAATATGTTGTAAGATTATTTATTATCATTTTTCTGACCTACTGGCCTGCGCATTTGGTGTAAGACTGTACGAAATAAAATATCAGGTATCGGTGACCTTAATAGATAATGTAGAATAATTTTACATGCCAAAATTAATGAACTCTTAAGATTTCTTTCAATTATGGTATTCAAGCATATTCTATGTTACGAAAATGTTTATGTTTAGTTCAATCAACATCATTACCATGACCGATCCCGTCTGCTTAACTTAACATACGCCCAGTTTTCGTTAAATAAATCCTCTTTAACTTCCATAGTACTATACATTTAGTACTTACCTTTGCTTTTTTCAAAGAAATATATAGATAGAAAAACCGAAATAACCCAAGACAATTCTTGGTTATCAATGCTGCTTTAATAGTAGTAATAAGCTACAGTCCAGGCCTTTGCCTTACCTTTCTTCTCCTATTTATTCAACAAAGTTAGAATTCACAATTGTTGCCTTTAATACTTGCAGACGATACATCCTGATATTAAAATTTAATATGGAATGCTACAGTTTTTATCTTATGCAATGTTATTATTAGGAAAGATGTGGTGATGGACCTGTGAACTCTTTGGAACAGGACAGGGAAGGTGTGCAATGTCAAAGAACTTCAATCGAGAACGATTCAGTTGACAGAAAAAGAGACGTCAAAGGTATTGTCGTTTAAAATGTTAAACATGCAAAGAAAACAGGTTTATGATTGAGAAATCACATATAGTGTAGATAATAGTTTCTTTTTACAAAATGGCGTCGACAATTTTGTGTTGCTTAAACGTTTACTGAATTGTCCTTGAAGGGTTTTTTTTTTTGGTTACAAAAGGTTGTTTATATAATGTTAACAACAGTAGATCAATATGGTTTATAAGAGAAGATTGAAAAGTTAACATTATTTAATACTAAGAACATTGTGCCATAACTGAACTTAAATACAACAGTAATCTCCTGGGTACATTTCATAAAAATACTTGGGATTGGTTTTTAGTCATAATTTTAAAACTGAGATAGACAAAAAAGTCCTCAGTGTTATTTTAATACAAAACTTTAGATATTTCTTTGTAGTGCCTCCGAGCACTTCTAACTTTTATTTTAAGTCATAAGTATGAAAATCAAGTGCACAAACAAAGATGGTGGCTGTTGTCTTATTGTTTGACTGAAGAAGAGTATTTAAGTCCCTATTTCAATTAGTGTTACATTTTAGACTTTGGATTTCCTATGAATGCACCACCGATAGATGATAAGCCAATGGATAATTCGTTTCAGATCCCGTTGACTTGCCTGATATTGTAACTGCTGCAACAGAAACAAATAGAAGTGAAGAGAGTCGCAAGTCAACATGTAAGATTAACTGTTATCAAAATAAAATAGAATAATGTTTCACCCTTTTATGGCAAAACATTTAGTCGAGTTAAAAAACAAATTTTCGTTTATAATCAATTTTATTAAGAATAATTCGTTGGTTAATAAAAATACTACAAACTTGTATGCGTGCGCGGAACATTAACAAATTGATGACACTGTTTGGATCTTGTCAATAAATTCATGTCATCAGCTCGCATGATTTAGTTTGCTGTGTCTTAACTATTTTGATTAAGGAACCAACATATCCAGTCGACATCGCTAGATTATATGACATGTCAAACATAGTTGACCAATGTTTTGTGTATTCATACTAAAGGTCCACTTGTCAGTTGTCCCTCATCGCTTATGCATTCGGGATAGGTTATTAGAAGGTCGGTTGGTCGGACAGATACCCGAAATGTGACCAATCATCATCAGATCGTCGTGAAACCAACCAACCAAACTATGTCATTTTCCATAATTATGCATTAATGTCCAAAAGCTTAATTATGTCATTTAGTAGCTTTAACAGCTTTAAAGCAATAGCCTCCAGATTCGTGTTTATTTTCATGTCTATTCATAGAATGTAAACCGTTGTGAAGTGAGCAAAGAAAGTAATATATACATTGCAAACGGCACTTACAGTCCACATAAATAACCACAAACTTGTAACTATTATTATTACTTACATCTTGATATTTTCTTTCACTTTTCTTAAAATCATAGGGCATGTTTTTTAAGTTTGACTTTTTTCTGTTTGATTTTCAGTCTGGTTTGAAGTTTTTGATTTCTTGCAACGTAAGATGCTCTTTAAGGATTTTATAATGTTCGCTAGGAGACTTGCACGTAAGATCTTGTTTTGTTTTGTATTGATCCGTTACTTTTGTATACTTTTCTTTATAAATATATAAATTCACGCTTTATTTGCTTTTTCTGTCTGTTGAATACTTTTTGTTACATGGGTAATAAAGTGTAGCGTGTTTGTTGAATTTGCGAACGATTTTGATATTTACCACTTAATCAAGTCCAGAACGCATTTTCTGTATCACAATCCGTCTTTAATATAAAACATAGACTTCCTTCTACTTGTATCTAAAACAAGACATGTTTAGCTTAACAAAAAGTATTTCATTAGCAGCAAAAAGCAAATACTGCTCTTAACAAAGACATATTAAGCTTCACAAAATTGTTAAGTTTGGAAAAATCGAATGGGTTATGATGGAGAAATAAGCTAAAACATTTCCTTGAGTGAATCCAACGTAAACCCTTTTAGTTTCGTTGTCGATGTTTTGAGGGGCTATTTCTGGTGTACAACAGTGCTGTACGCGCGTCATTGAAAATATACTCTTTTTAACAGTTTAACAGTGTACCGTTCTTATTTTATATATATGATAGATTCAATACTAAATTTATTGAACTTGTTGAATAAAACAATATTATGCTCGCAAGAGGATATGACTTTTTTCAACTGGTTCAATAAATTTAGTATTCAACCTACACTCATTCAATATCCTCTATATATTTGAATTCACTTTCACGTTCTTCAGATTAAAATGCACTCAGGCAACTTGAATATAACTTTATTCATTTGCATAGTGTTAACAATAACACTTAGGGAATTTATTTTATTTTTAATGTCAAAAATGTAACGCATATATCAATTGATTAATTCATATTATGTATGGTTTATCATTTTTTGCTTTCATTATAATTACATCATTTAAAAGATATGCTTTTATCATAGTGGAAAATGCAAAGTCAAACCAAACTAAACGAACATTTTAAACAGAATTAACGATTTTATCAGTGAAAACTATTGTCCTAGCATTGATATTTTAACAACGAATGTCTGAAATAACTTCTTAATCTTATTTGCAGATAATACAAATAAAGAGTTCTCTGAGACAATTGACGTGGTGATAGAAAACTCTGGAGAAGGCAACGAAGGAAAATATCAAATATTGAAAAGATGGCGAGAGGCCACCCCAAACGCTCAGCTGAAAGATGTGATAGGCGCAATGAAACATTACAATCTGAATGCTTTATGTGCTGACCTTATAGATAAGTTAAAAGATAAAAATCTATTGGACGCTGATACTGATGGCGGTTTTCTTGATACAGTGACTGCACAAAGTGGAAATGACAATTCACTATATCCAGGAAATGATCTGTCCGTTCAAGATGCTGATATTTACATAGAAGAAAATGATCTAGCGTACGTTGGACATGTCGAAATGGAAGATCTTAAATCTTTCAAATATGAAGATGATGATGCTGGGTGTATAAGTTAACGAATGACATATAAATATTAGTTTACAAAAATATAGACAATTCATTTATAAGACAATGACTAAGATATCGTCACATAAGTGCGGTAACGGGTTTACTCCTTCAATTATTCATAGGAGTTAACCTATTACTGTACTAAGGTGACGATACAATACATGCTATTTTGGCTTGCGCTTACCATTAAACCGAGCCTGCAACATTTTCAATTTTACCGTGTTAGACTTTCTTAAGTGACTGTATATTTCATTATAAGAATAGGTGCAAGGAATGACGTTGGTAGATTATTTTACAAGAGGCATTGTCTGGATTTAAGTTCAACCATAAACCCTAAAGCTCTTAAATAAATTTGTTTCCGTTTTTGGATCAGTCTTTACTGCTGGAAAAGGCTGATCACTTACCAAACAGGGTAAAGGTTAAATAACTATAAAATGCTAATATAAATCCACTGCGTAATTTGGGCATACTTGTTTTACAATTAATTTAAACACTGTACACTATTACATTGTTAGTTATTTAGTTACTACAATAAACTTTATACTATATGTATATTAAGTTATAAATAATTAAGTTATTAAGTTATAACAATGAATATCAATATTTTTTATCTTTCATTGTTAATTTAGTAATGCCACGTTTTACATAACATAGTTTATAGTCATACAGTATCCAAATATTGCTGCGTTTATAACGTTCATGTAATACTTAAAGGATATTGAATGAGTATAAGTTCAATACTGATTTTATTGAACGAGTTTAATAAAATTATATCATGCGAGCCTCTGGCGAGCACAATATCATTTTATTCAACAAATGTCATAATATGTATTAATAGTGTCATAATATGTTTTAATTGCTATTGTATGTATAAATTATTTTAGAATTTAGTGAAATAATATATTTCTGATACAGTATAACTGTATTTTTTGTTCTAATTAGTGTTGTATAAATACTTTTGTATATTGTTGTTTTTATGAATAATTATTTTTACATGTTATATTTCATTAAGTTTAGGAACATGTATTTCTAGATTATGACATATATGTAAATTGTATGTATACATGCATGAATATATGAAATAAATACCGTAAGGCATGTTTTCATCCGTTTACTAATATCTTGCCTTATTTTACTTAGTTAATGATTTTGCCATTCTATATTATGCATATAAGTATTTTGACATAGAGTTTGTAATTTGATTTATATACTAATGCCATTGTCTAACACACAGGAGAAGTGAAATATATTTTGCCATTGTTCATTTATGTTTTCATGTTGAATCATTTTGTAATCGTGAACTGTACACAATGTATTTTGAAATTTTAAAAGGTTTTGAAAATGTTTTTTAAAGTAAAACATTATAAAGTGAACATTAAAAATGATTTTCACATTGCAAACGGCACTTACACTCCACGATATTCTTTTAAAAGACAAATATAAACTGTGTTATGCTAGTTTTATGCATTAATATTGCAAAAATATGAATTAATATTGTCATAATATGTATTAATATTGCAATAATATGTATCAATAGTGTCATAATATGTATCAATAGTGTCATAATATGTATCAATAGTGTCATAATATGTATCAATAGTGTCATAATATGTATCAATAGTGTCATAATATGTATTAATAGTTTCATAATATGTATTAATAGTTTCATAATATGTATTAATAGTGTCACTATATGTATTAATAGTGTCATAATATGTTTTAATAGTCATAATATGTATTAAAAGTCATAAAATGTTTAAATTGCTATTGTATGTATAAATTATTTTAGAATTTAGTGAAATAATATATTTCTGATACAGTATAACTGTATTTTTTGTTCTAAGTTTGTATAAATACTTTTGTATATTGCTGTATTTTTATCACTTATTAGTTTGACATGTTATATTTCGTTAATTTTACGAACATGTATTTCTAGATTATGACATATATGTCAATTGTATGTTTTTTTAATCTGAATATTTTGAAGGTTAAATGAATATCATTAATTGTTCATTTCAGTGTAATATATTTTGATAATTGATATGAGATCAGGAAAACGGAAGGAAAAAGGTTGTTGTCTTTTTTCCTTTTGTCTATTTGGTTTGATTTTTGCTTGGTTTAAACAACACAGTGATTGTCCAATGGCCACTTTCTGGCTTTACCGGCGCAAGTGGGAACCTAAGTAGAACCACTGACATTACGTTAGCTAGCTTGATAGTTTCCTCGCATGAAATAATTCAAAGTGTCTTGCAAAATTCGATCCTATAGCGGTAAGGGGCAAATGGTTTGATATTTAAGACCTTTACCACTTGGCCAACAATGCCCCTTCTTTTGTTTAACATACCGCTTTGTTAAATGAATAAAACTATATTTAAAGCGGGTCCAGTTCTATCAAATCATTGTGTATATCATGACTGGTTATTTTATATAATATTTGCTAATAAAAATAGATTTACTTAAAAATCAGATTCCTCAATGCCATTCTCAAACTCTCTTTGTAAGAACAGTGTGTACACAAATTTACACTTCTTTCATAACATAATTGCAAATCGGCTCTTACTCGGCTGAAATAAGTGTAACCGCTTTTTTGATGAAGAAACCAGTGCTGATAGTGAAAATTGTGATTGGCATATTTTAATTAGCAAGGTCAGGTGTTTCTAAAAAGGCTGATAACACTGTAACAATTTGAGGATACATTCAATTTATTACATAGATAATACACGTGGAGCTCAGCTCGCAGAGACAAATGAGTACACAGTAACTTTTTGATATCCTTTTAACTCTAAAAAAATGTCAATTATTAATTTCTGACTGTTAATATTTTCTAGAAAAGGTAAGCAAAACATTTTGTTTCATATGACAGGGATGAATTGCATAAACAATCCTTGGTATTGTTGAAAATTCATTGTTTTACTTGCCAGATTAAGTAATTGGACCCCATCCTTGTTCGTACGTGACTGCTGGGGAAAAAATATGCTTTAATTAAAGAGGTGACACTTTTTATATTTTTATCTGATATCAAGTTGTAAGAGCCGATTTGCAGTTATATGGGTAAGACTCCCTACGGTCGTCTTAATACAAACTCTTACCCATACAAATATCTGTAAAAAATGAAATAAAGTCTTCAAAATTTTGATTTTGATTTTGAAGTAATAATCAAAAATACACTGTAAGTGAAATAAGTAGCAGAGGATTTGACAGCAGACTGTTTGCTATACTTTATCATGTTCACAATCTTATCAAAGAAAAACAAATAAAAAACAACGACAAACAAATGAAAACTTAAGCGAAGAGCATGTTTAATTTGATGCTCTTCCATTAGAAGCTGATTTAATGTTTAAAAAAACCCTTTGTAATACTTGTCTGGAAATGAAGACCATTTCATGAGATTTCTTTAACCTCTATTAACATTTAAACTGTATCATTCTAATTTTCAAAATAATTATCCAGTTTCCAATTTTATTGTATGAAATAAAACACCATGTCTATTGCAAAGAAACAATATATGGACACGACATGATATGAGCAGTTAAAAGTATCTGTAAGAGCTTAACATTGTACTTCATAAAGACGTGTTTTGTCAGTTTTTCATCCCCTTTTTAGGCCTCAAATAGTAATGAATGACCTACAATCCTATCTGGAAGGTAACGGTGCCGTCGGCATAGAGCTAGATGACGTTTTCAGTGACGAAATTTGGCTTAAACTATTGATTCTTCTCTATGCAGACGATACTGTTATAGTTTCAGATAACCCCTCTGATTTTCAAAACATTTTAAATAATTTTAACGAGTACTGTGATCAATGGAAATTAAAAGTAAATCTTAATAAAACAAAAGTCATAATATTCGGATGTAGAAATCGTAACAACTATACTTTTACCTTAGGAGAACATAATCTGGAAAATACCGACAGTTATCACTATCTAGGCTTAACTTTTTCAGCGACCGGGTCTTTCCTTAAAGCCAGACAACACATCAGCCAACAAGCTAATAAAGCAATGCATCTTTTATTTACAAAATTAAACAATGCCGGCTTACCCCCGGATCTTGCTATGAAATTATTTGATAATACTGTTGTTCCTATCTTAACATATGGATCTGAAATATTCGGTTATGAAAATCTTGATCTGTTAGAAAAAGTACACAGCACCTTCCTAAGACGCTTAACTTATGCACGGAAAAGCACACCTAAGTATATGCTACATGGAGAACTAGGCCGATACCCAATTTATATAAACGTTTATACAAAAATGATATCCTTCTGGACACGTTTGCTTCTTGGTAAAGAAAATAAACTATCTTCAAAAATCTATTACTACATGCTTAACCAAACAAACACTAATTTTAAATGGACTAATAAAATAAAAGAAATATTGACGCAAATTGGAAGACCAGATATTTGGCTAAATCAACAATTCGTTATCAATAAAAACTTGCACATTACTGTCAAGCAAACTCTAATAGACCAATATAAGCAACACTGGGCAAGTCTACTACAAAATTCCAATAAAGGGAGAATTTATAATTCATTTAAACATGCGCTAGAATATGAGAAATATTTTAATATTCTTCAAAAAAAAGATTACATTACACTTTTCAAATTTCGAACTTGTAATAACCGCCTTCCAATAGAAACAGCGCGATGGTCTCGTGATAACACAATAAATAACATTTGCAAGCTCTGCAACTCTAGAGAAATAGGTTCTGAGCAACATTATTTATTAAACTGTCATTTTTTTAATTCTGAAAGAAATTTGTACATCCCCAACTTGGTTGAAACTTCTTACTTTTTTCAAAATATTCTATCATGTAAAAATGAACATACTCTAATGAAGTTGTGTAAATTTGTACGCATAATAATGTTAAAATTTCAAGGTATGTCCTAAGATTTATATAATTGTTATTTTGTTCCCCTAATGATATCTCTGCGTGTGTGTACAACAACAACAAAAACTTTATTTACCTGTCTGACAATTAAGTAAAAATCCAGCACGAGTTGTCAGTATAGTCTGATTTTATTGACCTGTCAATAATGAATACATTATAGCACTCATTTAAATATTCGATCCCACTTCGGTTGTGTCCGTTTATTTTACGAGAATTAATATGGAGTATATCAGTAACGTTTGGAAAACTCCCACTAGCTTAATGTTAGTTCTCGTAACATCCGCAATAGCACAGTCGGTTAAGTGATTACCTAATGTATGAGAGGTCCGAAGTTCGATCCCTTCTTTTGACATTCTTTTTAGACTTATTCTGTCTTTATTTTTAGGTATATTTTAAAGAAAATGGTCAAGCGCTTGCAAAATTGTCTACACGGATATGAAACAACTAAGAAACACTGAATTGTCACATTTTGTATTGTATTTTACGGCACTGAGATTATAATCCGAATGAATTTTCAGTAATAATTTTTAAACAATGTTATATACAAAAATATAGTATTTACAAAATAGTGCAAAACATTTTAAAAACAGAACAACCATAACTTCAAAAAAATTGAAAATAATTATGTATAAGAAAAAAAAACCTGGACAAACACTGTCTCGATCTTACATGATGTAGGACATTTTGTTATTATATACCCGTGGTTTACCCTATTGCGCTATAACGGTCAGTGTAACTAATTCATAGCAACTAGATAATTTTATCACATCTTACTGCGTACATCTCACGGAATTTACCGAACATTTATCGAATATTAATATATTCTGTGCATTGACCGTATAATGAGTATGGAATTGACAGGTTAATAAAATCAAACAATACTTTCATTAACATCACAATGACTGACTAGAAAATCCATTGTAAACACGGCGTTATTGTGCGAATGCACGATTTTCACGAGCTCTTACTTTATTTTAGATTTAAAACTAAGAATGCAGCGGCGTACCTTGTGCGAACATTCTATTATTTTTTTTTCTCTACAGCTGTTTTTTTTTTGTTTTTTTTGTTTTTTTGTTTTCCCTAACATGTCATATTTGAGCAGTATTTTTTTTTTTTCTTTTCTATAACCAGTGATGGTAAACAATATAATGTTTTGTGTGTGCAGAGGAGCATCTGAGTTCCCCCACAATCGGATGAATACTTATATATATCTATTGTAAAATTATTGTATCATTCATGTTATAGATCTGCTTTTTATACCGGACACTATTATTGCTAAAAAATATTGTTAAACCTCATGTTGTATACTTTGATATACCTGAGTGAAATAAAGTTATCTGTCTGTCTGTTTGTCTGTCTGTCAGTATGAAAAGTGCACTATTTAGGCCCAAAACTGGGTTTTTTGTTTGAAAATTGTTAAAAGTGTTCAATTTTTCGGCGCCGCCCCCTATCAAAAAGGTACATCAATGGGGTGCCAGAGGGAAGATGTGACCTCTTCTCATCGCCAGGAAAATTTTCGACTTATGACAGGCTTAAAATGGCCTAAGGTAACGTGTAACCAACGCTGAAAAGTCTTTTACTCTATCTTAATCCTTTGAAAAGTTGCAGAATTTGAGAAAA